ATGTTTGAGGAACTTGATTTTGACACCTCATTCCTGATTGATTCTGCACCCCCTCAACCACCCTCCAGACCACCCTCCCATCCCAACCACGCTCCGCACCAGCCCCGTTCTTCACGCCCTAATTCCCCCCCCACCCTGCCCGCCATCCCCGTTACTAGATCCCTCGCTACAACATCCGGTTCGTGTCGGTGTTTTCAACGCACCTCAACAACGCAACTTCCCTGGAGGGCCAACCCAACGCTCAAGACATCAAGGCGCTGTCGCAACAACCCGAGAGCCTGGAGTCAGTTGGAGGGAGGAGCACGGATAGGAATGGAACGGCTGAGGGGATTGCAAGGAGCGCTGATATGGTGGAGAGGATTGAGACGATGGCCAATCAGCAGTCGCGACGCATAGATCTGGACCAATTGGATCCGCTCGTCGTGGATCTCCTGCCACTCGCTGATATCATCATTTTCCAGGCAAGCTGCCTTTGGGGAGTAGACCACTGTGACCATTTTCCAGGCAGCCTGCTTGAACTGAACTCATACCGTATGGTGCAAGAGAAAGTCTTAGCTTTTGAGTCAAATTTCACTGTCCCAACCAACCCACCATGGCATTCTTGCAGGCGACCAACTGGTGGTACTCCCCCTCCAACCAGTACTACCTCAAGAACCGCCGAGTCAACTCATGAGGTGCCACAAGATTTGCCTGTCTGTCCCAATCCACCATTGCACCAATGCAGGCGACCAACTGGTGGTACTCCCCCTCCAACCAGTACTACCTCAAGAACCGCCGAGTCAACTCATGAGGTGCCACAAGATTTGCCTGTCTGTCCCAATCCACCATTGCACCAATGCAGGCGACCAACTGGTGGTACTCCCCCTCCAACCAGTACTACCTCAAGAACCGCCGAGTCAACTCATGAGGTGCCACAAGATTTGCCTGTCTGTCCCAATCCACCATTGCACCAATGCAGGCGACCAACTGGTGGTACTCCCCCTCCAACCAGTACTACCTCAAGAACCGCCGAGTCAACTCATGAGGTGCCACACGATTTGCCTGTCTGTCCCAATCCACCATTGCACCAATGCAGGCGACCAACTGGTGGTACTCCCCCTCCAACCAGTACTACCTCAAGAACCGCCGAGTCAACTCATGAGGTGCCACACGATTTGCCTGTCTGTCCCAATCCACCATTGCACCAATGCAGGCGACCAACTGGTGGTACTCCCCCTCCAACCAGTACTACCTCAAGAACCGCCGAGTCAACTCATGAGGTGCCACACGATTTGCCTGTCTGTCCCAATCCACCATTGCACCAATGCAGGCGACCAACTGGTGGTACTCCCCCTCCAACCAGTACTACCTCAAGAACCGCCGAGTCAACTCATGAGGTGCCACACGATTTGCCTGTCTGTCCCAATCCACCATTGCACCAATGCAGGCGACCAACTGGTGGTACTCCCCCTCCAACCAGTACTACCTCAAGAACCGCCGAGTCAACTCATGAGGTGCCACAAGATTTGCCTGTCTGTCCCAATCCACCATTGCACCAATGCAGGCGACCAACTGGTGGTACTCCCCCTCCAACCAGTACTACCTCAAGAACCGCCGAGTCAACTCATGAGGTGCCACACGATTTGCCTGTCTGTCCCAATCCACCATTGCACCAATGCAGGCGACCAACTGGTGGTACTCCCCCTCCAACCAGTACTACCTCAAGAACCGCCGAGTCAACTCATGAGGTGCCACACGATTTGCCTGTCTGTCCCAATCCACCATTGCACCAATGCAGGCGACCAACTGGTGGTACTCCCCCTCCAACCAGTACTACCTCAAGAACCGCCGAGTCAACTCATGAGGTGCCACAAGATTTGCCTGTCTGTCCCAATCCACCATTGCACCAATGCAGGCGACCAACTGGTGGTACTCCCCCTCCAACCAGTACTACCTCAAGAACCGCCGAGTCAACTCATGAGGTGCCACACGATTTGCCTGTCTGTCCCAATCCACCATTGCACCAATGCAGGCGACCAACTGGTGGTACTCCCCCTCCAACCAGTACTACCTCAAGAACCGCCGAGTCAACTCATGAGGTGCCACAAGATTTGCCTGTCTGTCCCAATCCACCATTGCACCAATGCAGGCGACCAACTGGTGGTACTCCCCCTCCAACCAGTACTACCTCAAGAACCGCCGAGTCAACTCTTGAGGTGCCACAAGATTTGCCTGTCTGTCCCAATCCACCATTGCACCAATGCAGGCGACCAACTGGTGGTACTCCCCCTCCAACCAGTACTACCTCAAGAACCGCCGAGTCAACTCTTGAGGTGCCACAAGATTTGCCTGTCTGTCCCAATCCACCATTGCACCAATGCAGGCGACCAACTGGTGGTACTCCCCCTCCAACCAGTACTACCTCAAGAACCGCTGAGTGAACCTGACTCGCAGCACCGTGTTCGAGCTTCAGAGACTTAAGCCTCCTTTTTTCTTTTTCTTTTCCTTTTCCCTTTTTTGCAGGCGACCAACTGGTGGTACTCCCCCTCCAACCAGAACTACCTCAAGAACCGCCGTGTGAACCTGACTCGCAGCACCGCATTCATGCTTAGAGGCTCAGACTATTTATTCCAAACCTTTTTTTTTTTTTTTTGCAGGCAACCAACTGGTGGTACTCCCCCTCCAACCAGTACTACCTCAAGAACCGCCGAGTGAACCTCACTCGCGACGCTGCATACACCATCGGTCTCACCACGCTGAGGAACTATGTCACTCGCTCGGCCCTAGCGGCTGCTCGCGGCTTGAAGGGGTTCAAAGGGAAGGCGGTGCTGCTGGGTGCTTCGCCCTCCCACTACAATATACCCGTGCCTGGAGTCAAGCCGGGGTTCTGTGAAGTGCAGGAGATGATGACGCTGCCGCAGGTGAGCGATTGGGGGGGTGACTTGGCATGGCATCAGCTGAGTGGATGGGGGGATGACGTTGCATGTGGTGAGCGGATGGGGGGATGACGTTGCATGTGGTGGGTCATGCCTGCCAGAAGAAAAGAGGATGACATTCCCTGTTTCAATTTCAGGACACAACCTGGGTTGCAAGAAGTGGAGAGTGCAAATTCCCCCAGAAATGTCCCCTGTCCATTCATTCCTACCATCTGATTCTCTCCACCCATCCCCCACCAGAGGTTTCTGTAGTGCATTTTCACAACCCCATTCCTCTTTTTGCAATGACCACAACTCCCCGTGGTAACCCCATTCCTCGACTGCAGCAACCCAATCCACACTCAGAATTCTTGCTTACTTATTCCTCTCCGTTGCATTCCCTTCCCCCCTTCAGACAGTTGACTTCCGCAGAAGCGATGTGAAGACCAATGTGTTCAGAGAGGTGCAGAGGCGCGTGCTGAGGGACTCGGTGATTCGCTACGTGGATGTCGGGCCAATGAGTGACTGGCGCCCAGACGGGCACCTGCAGAACTGGATAGTGACAAGTGAGTTATCTCGTCTGGTCTTTATTTTTATTTTATTTTTAATTGCACTGGCTCTGCAAATTGGGACATGGATGTGGGCTGGTGTTTGACTGGCTGACCAATGGTAGCTGATGATGTGTGGCTTGAAGGGGTAAGGAAAACGTTGCAGAAGATGTTGATATGTTATGGGCGTTTCATAACCCACGCTTATTGTGCTTCCCGTTCACCCTCGCAGGTGGCTCAACCAAGAAGAATGACTGCTTGCACTGGTGTGAGGCTGGGGTTACAGATGCGTGGCTGGAGATGGTCCATAATACACTTCTCTTCTGACAAGCAGTGTTGCCATTACATGAGCAAAGGCAGCTGAAAGGAGAGGTAGCAAAATCAGCCTGTAGGTTCTGCATAGCTTGTTGTACAGAGTTGGAATGGAAATATTAGAAGATTATCTCCATTAGCATGCTCAAGCAACAGCAATTCTTTATCCCCAGTGGCAGGCTCTATTGGAGCTAGTATTATATTAAGCATTTGTAGTCCAACAAATAAACCAGCAGTGCTGGCTTGTGTTGAATACCGTAACAGGTTGCCGGCTATTGCCTGTTAGTGTATGACCTAGGGTTAGGAGGAGGGAGCGCCACGACATGATTGAATGGGACAGTTCTACGAGGCACACCTTCTACACCCTCCTCTTCATCATCGTCAAACTCCAATGAGTAGCTGCACGCATAAACAAGTAAAAGGACAAACTCCAGGGACAAGTTAAAAGCAAGAAGAAAGTAAGAAAAGTTTGAAAAGGTCTTTAGACTGGCAAGCACAAAAGGGTGCATGTTAAGACCAGGGGTTGTGTACAAGCTTGACTGAAGAAGAGTGCTAGAGAAAGGTCAGTGTGGTGAGTTTGTAACGTGAGAGGGAGGGCAAATGGAACGCGTGCGATCTCTTACTCGTCGCTTTTCCGCTGTTCATGTTGCCATCCCACCATGCGACAAGGAAGCGTTCCAAATCAGGCATGGACAGGGTATAGGTTGGTGGGCAAGGCAGAAGAGAGAGGTTGGTAAACAAGAAAAACCCTGGTGGAAGCAGGTTACAATCCGGGTATGCTACCATCCACAAGGCAGGAATAAATGCAACGGAAGGAACTGAGGCACGTGGCGATTAGAACGTTGAAGCACAGGAAGGTCAACAACTGTCGATTTTGGTACACAAGGGAAATTAACAGAAATGGAGCAACCTGGCTCGAGGTAGCACCAACCTTGCGTGGTTGCCCAACCACTGTTGCTTGATAAAGTGCAGTGGTGCTGGGGAACACCGCCAGCACCCTGGATCCAGGAGGGAAATCGGAGGCTGACATCCACTCATTGCGCTTGTGGAAGGGGATGATGCAGGAGCCAGACAGACGGTACTTTCTGAGATTTTGGGAAACAATTAAACATGTGCGGAGAGGAGAGTTGCGAGGTTGTACGTATTTATGCTGGCTGCGGTGGAAAAATATCGCTAGCTTCACTGCTGGTTACAAAGAGCATCAATTGTGAGGAAGCTTTACATGTCAGGGCTTTTTTTTCTGTGCTCACCTCTGCCCACCCTCATCCTCCTCTCCTGGCTCCTCATCGATCACGTCGAATCTGCAGTAGAAGGTAAGGAAGCAATAAGCTACACGTAACAATGAAAAGGAACCCCGGAAGTAGATGATACCCGAGCAGACATCTCATTCTTTCCATTCACAAGTATATGGCTCTCACCTGTTCGCCTCCCGGTCAATGCGCAGGACCTTTACAACAATCCACTCATCTTTGCCATCCTCAGTGGCAGAAACTCGTGCTGCGACCTGATTGTAAGAGGGAAGAAGGAAGAAAATCTGAAACCAGAAGGAAGAAAGTCCGCATACGCTTTGTTCTGAACGGATTTCCTCATCTCCATAGCATACCTCAGATTTTCCTACCTCACCTGTTCTCCCACCACAACCCGTGTCAGGGCAACTGCCAACGCTGCAGAAGCGCCATCATTGAGGCCAGCAGAAGATGAGCCCAGCCCTAGAGAGTTCCCTGGACCACCGTCCCCACCGGCTGCTCCATCAGTGACTGGAACTGTGCGCTGACGTTTCTTCCTCCCACCTTCCAAAGGACCATCTGAACACAAGGGATTGGAGAGGAAGATGAGACTCGGAGAAACAGGTAACAACCACGGCTGTTGTTTCTTTCAAGTGACACTGTACAGAGCGATTGAAAGAGTGTGATACATCCCACTATGCAAACCTGAATGTCTGGATAGATTCCTGAACACTGAACATGCGATTGCAATAACCTGCCTGATTTCTTTTTGGTTCCGTGCGGCGCTGAAATGGCTGACGCTTGTGATGGGTCGAGTTCTCTGATGCAAGAGGTACAGAGACTGGAACGGGGAAGCAGAAACGTACGAAACCGAAGTCAAATCAGCAAGTAACTAAGTCGAAAGGAATGTCGGCGAAAGATTCCGTGACAGGTAACCCGCTTTCATGGATGACTGGAAGGGAGCAATGCGAAAGAGTGTGCAATATTGTACGCACCTTTCTTCAAGATCTGCAAGGCGTTTGGCCTCCACGTAGAATCCCCGTAGCTTTATCCACAGCTTCTCTCCAAAGCGTTCTGCCGTCTCTCGTGCTGCACTCGTTCAGAAGAATGGATGGGACACACAAGAACAAGTTATGAGCCGATAAAGGGAACCTTCTAAACATGAGAACGATGCCCATTACGTACGGGTTTGGCTTAATTTAGAGTGGATTTTATTGATCTTCTTCACAACAACGTCCTGCTCCCGTCGAACGCGATCCAATTCGCGAAATTGCTGGACAACTGATTCAGGAAGTGGTGTTGCTGTGGCAGCCATGGAGCGGAAAGTCGGTTGATAATGTGCAAGCTTTTTGACCCGACAATGCGGCGGAAGCCAGTGGAAAGCACCAAGAGCAAATGTGTTTCCACATATTTTGCTTGCGTCAATTTTTGCTCAGTTGGTGGATTCTTGCTTGGGGGAAATGTAACCGCACTGTAGAAAAAGCATTGTGGCTCGAGCGACTCTGGTTACTGCGAATCCCGATGTTCTGCACTCTGCTGCAACCACTGAAAAGGGACTATGCTACAGCGACATTCGCTCATATCCGAAGCAGCCTTCGTTAAACTTGGGAAACCCGTACACGAATTCCTTCAAACTCTAAAGTGGTTACATCAGGGACTCGACGAAGCAATGTGGTTACATCAAACCCGCAATGTTCACACAGCCTGACAAGTCACGATGACCCTCTTTGGGGGTTGAAATGTCGTCACCATCATCACAACTAGCATTCAAGCTAGGAATCGTAGTCACGAACAAGTAGGCTCCCCGTGTCATGGCTGGGATCAGGGATGGTTCTCCCGTCTCTAGTAGACAATGGCCTCTTGTTACTTTCCAAAAGCGCGAAAGATTTGTCGTGCTTATCCTCCTAATGCTGGTTTGTGGAGTGTGCTACCGTCTGTCCTTATTTCCAGCGGGAACTGGTTCATGGCATCGCCGGCTATCCTGGAAATCAGGAAATAACATAGAGAGCATTGCGGATCATGCAAGCGTCCTTGCCGTGACATCAGGAGACCAATATCACTCATCTCTCGTTATGCATAATGAAGTCCAACCGTGGCAGGTAAATAGTCCCCTTCCGAGCTCATTTTGGCCCTTGCTTCTGATTGGGGACATCTGATCCTCGAATTCATCAGGCACCCGAGATCGCTTTTATTGCTAATCAAATGATGAAACAATATGGAAGACTCGACACTAAGGCCAAAAAGGACTGCAAGCTAATTCGAGACACTAGCGCGGTGCTGTGGAAGAATCACTCCAACTACGACGTTTTGACGCGGTGGAGGTCTCCTGGCATTCCAGGCTCGTTCTTCGACCACGCTATCAGCTTCAGATATAAAAGGATGGAAGGTGTATCGCCTCGACTGAAAAACTATCAGGCAAGAAGCTAACTTAGCCAATATTTATGCGATGACATGCATTGTTACTAACGCGTGGCTCTATCCTTTCAGTGCCGACTTCTTGTCAGAGGACAAGACTATGAGGCTCTTAGGCGCCTACCAGTGGTACAGTCTATTCCCTTCACCGACCAGCAGAAAATCGGTCCAGTGTTCACAGACGAAAATTTGCATATTATTGCGGTGGTCTTCCCTCAGGTGTGTGACCATTTGCTTCGTCATTCTAATGTGACCTAACATCTTGACGAAGCCGTTTTCCCGCGTAGTACCATGCATTCAAAGAAAATGATTTGTTTTGGGGAACAAACTTCACCGAATGGACAAACTTGAAGCTGGCATATTATAACCCGTGGAACTTTCAACCCATCAAACATCCTATTGAAGCTTACGGAGGTTATTATAACATGCTCGGCCATTCCCAACGGTCAAGAATGGGAAAGCTGGCGAGGTTTTATGGCATCCACGTGAGCATAGCACACAAAGTTACAGTTATTTTCTGTTTTCTTTTCTCTTGACCCACCTGCAGAATCTGATTACGTTTGCAGGGGTTCGCATTTCATCACTACTGGTTTGAGTGCAACACTGTATTTATGGAGTCGGTCATTATGGAAATGCTGAAAGATGGACAGCCAGACCTCCCGTTTATGCTCATTTGGGCAAACGAGGCCTGGACACGGCATTGGACTGGAGAGACAGGCGAAATACTTCAGTCACAGGTAAAAGCAATCTTCTTACCACAACGAGCTGCACGGCGTGAGGCAAACATACTCAGTTCATGATCCTTTGTTGCAGAGCTACGGGAATGAGACATGCTGGCGGTTGCATTTTCAGTGGCTGCTACCCCTTTTCAAGCACCCTAACTACATAAGAGTCAATAATAAGCCGGCTTTTGGAATCTACATCGTCCCCCTTATCAAGGAGCTGAAGCCAATGCTGAAGCTTTGGCGATCACTCGCTAAAGAGGAAGGTTTGCCTGGCCTCCATATTATCCAGTGCCTGGGCCATAAAGACACAGGTGTTTCTCGAAATGTCAATGCTATCATGGAGTATCAGCCCAATCTGAAAAAGGGGCGAATGAAGACTGAATCTTCAACAAAAAGGCTGCACAAAGCTCATTATCGGGGGGAATATCTTGGTTGGGACAACTTCCCAAGGCACAACCTCGACCCACATTTTGTCGTTGGGGACCTTGATGATGATCCTGTTCATGTGGAGGCAAGGCTGGAGGAGAGATTCAGAATCGCTCGAAATGATGCGAACAATGGAACGACCCCCAACCTCTTCTTCCTCACAGCATGGAATGAATGGGGAGAGGGGAACGTGCTGGAGCCAAACAACATTTTTGGGTAAGTTGGTTTGTTTTCTCTACCACGTATGCTAACAAATCATGTTTGCCTGACCTTACACTTTCCCTGTGCAGATACGGAAACTTGAATGCAGTTGCACTGGCGTATGAGAACAGCAAGAATGAAGCCAGCAATGACATCGACATTCTGAACAAGCTGCACGAATCTATGGATGAGTGCAGATTGAAGCTGGACATTCAGTACTACGTCGATCTTGCTGGTACAGACCTCTTTCATCTACTGAGTGGTCCTGAACCGGAAATGAGGGTAATTGAGAACTGGCAGACAGAGGGCTTCAACAAAGGCAGAGAGTTCAGGCTTGCGAGTGAGCTGGAGGATGCTGCTTGCACTGGGAAAGTGCATTGTCAGTTTCTGTGCGGAATGACTTTGGACAAACACATGGTAAGATACTTGTTGGAGGTGGACAGTGACAATGTTGGGCGTTACAACGAGAGCTCTTTGAGTGAACTTAGATGGAAATAGGATGCTTGGATTGGAATGCATTGTCTAGTACATGTGCTAGAGATTGGCAGTGTATTTTATTGTGTAGTTTATTACTAGTATTTGCTGTTCGCAATGAAAAGGTTCTACTGGCTTTATTCTTCATGGAACAAGTAAAGATTTTGCAGATTTAGAGGAAAAAGAGGAACACAATTACGTGATATGGATATTTGTGTGACTCACCTCCCAACGCAACTTCACCATATAACCACACGTCACTTATGGGACGTGAGTTTTGTCAAACAGCAGCAAAGCCACAGCGATATCGCAAGTGATAGAAGTTGACCGCTCCCTCCTCTCCAACCCAGATGAAGCTGCACCAGTGACACTTTTTCCTTCACCGCGCTCTCCTGTTTTCCTGCACAATGCTTTCGTCGTTAGATGCAGCGCTCGAATCAGCGTCTGGTAGGTCGTCATGTTTTGAACTTCGGTAGCTTTCTCCCTTATACGCTTTCGAAAAATGTAATTCTACCCTTTTCTACATTGACTCTTTTCTGGCTTATGCGTCGGATACGCCTTCTTTTTGCTTTGCCTCGTACACTACGTCCTCCTTAGCTTCTTCCTCTTCTCTTACTATTGCAGGTCCACGAACGGCTGCCTTTCAGCCGAAGCTCAAGCCTCGCGCTAGGAAGGGAGGAGCTGGTGGAGGGGCGGGTTCTGAAGCAGCTGCGCCCACAGGACAATCTGGCCCAGCAGCCGGTCCATCAGGACGGCACACTGCTCCAGCGGGAAATCTAGGGGGTGTTGCGCAGGCGATAGCGCCCCCTCTCCGCGCTACAGCCGCTGCAGCTGCTGCCGTCCCATCCGAACGAGCATCAGCACCAGCGCAACGTCACCTTCCTGACGCTCCGACTCCCGCTCCACAACTACCCTCCCCTTCTGTAGCGCCAGAGGCTCTTGTTTCGGCCTCACCCGCACCGTTCCCTTCGGCAGCATTATTAGCCAGGGAGACTCATCAAGCAGAGGGGTTAGATTCGATTCAAGGGGGTTTTGGCGCCCCTTCCAGAACTGCCGCTGCTGCCCCTTCCCCCGCCGCCACAGCAGCCACTGGTGCAAGAGCGTCGTCTGCATCTGCCCCTGCTGCCCCTCCAATCGTTCCCTCCTCACGTGCTCCTACCCTCCCCGCTCCTGACACGTCTGCTCGTCCCCCTCCGCCTGCTCCTGCGCCTGCCCTAGAAAACGGTCCTCATATAAATGCCGCGCGTTCAGCCCATACTGCTGCTGCCCCTAGTGCTGCGCCTGGCACTGCCGCGGGAGCAGCAGATGTAGCAGTGCGGGGAAATGGGAGAGGGAGGGAGAAGGAGCAAGGGGTATCTGGGGCTGATAAAAGCCGAGGCGTGATTGGGTCGGGAACCAAGGGAGTGTTCTTCCCACACTCGTTCCGGATTGGAAAAAGGCGTAAGTATCTCTGACTAAATCCTGAACCCTCAACCTGAAGCGCTAGAACCCTCAACCTGAAGCGCTAGTAACCCCAAATCAGGATTCATCCGTCGACATCCTGGCATGTGCAACAAGGCATGCTGCGACTTTTACACCATCCCGCTTCCCATTTAACCTCACAGGCCACGCCCGAGCTGCTGACAGCAGAGGGCATATTCCCATTCCCGCTGCCCTTTGCTCTTTCCCAAACCCCTCCAACACCCCTCCCGCTTCCACCCCCTCTCCCCTCTCTCTCTTCTTGCCACCTCCCCGACACACCAGGGTCGCAGGTGACTCCGGAGCTGCTAGCAGCGGAGGACCTGTCGGGCTTCACCATCCAGCAGATCATTCAGCGCTCCGAAGTGCTCGACCGGGAGGTGAGGAGCGAATGGATTGGGTCATGGAAGCCAAGGTAAGGGTAGGCGATCAATATTCCAGCTTCACCTGCAGATCATTCAGCGCTCCGAAGTTCTAAACCGAGAGGTGAGAGGCTGAGGTGCTTGGGTCAAGGTAGGCGGGCATTTGGTAGGTAGGCAAGCATATGGCTCAAAGCAGGTGATTATATTCCAGTTTCATGATTCAGCTGATTGTTTAGCGCACCTAAGTGCTCGTCAGAGAGGTTGGAGAGTGAACAGCTTGGGTCAAGATAGACAGGCTTGTGGAGGTGCAATGTTGATGGAGGTGCGTTCTCAGGAGGCGGAATGGCTTTTGACGTAGAGCCTTTATTACTTTTATTATCTTTTGTTCTCCCCCACACTTTCACTCCTCCACCCCTCCCATATTCCCTCGTCCCCTTTCCCTACCCTCCCATCCTCCCCGCACCCACGCCCGCCTGTCCCCGTCGCCCTCACCCTGTGTGTGCAGAAAGAGAAGGAGGAGCAGGAGAAGAAGCGGATAGAGGAGGAGGTGGAGCGGAACAGAAGGAAGCTGGCCAGGCGGCGAGGGGAGGATGTGGATGAGGACGGCGAGGGGTACGTGGTGGAGGGTGCTGCAGGATATTGAGGGGTGATGTGGAGAAAGGTTGGGAGGGTTGATGTGGTGTGGTGATATGAAGGGGTGATGTGAAGGGGTGGGTTGGGGATGGTGTTGTTGAGGGGTGGGTGGTTGAGGGGAGAATTAGTGAGAGGTTTGGACAGGTGGAAGGGGAGAGACAAGCAGGGTGGTGGAGAGGAGTGAGAGAGTGTAGAGGGAATGCTTAAAGAGACTACATATGTGGCGGCTGAAAAGAAATTAAACAGTTTCTTCCTGCATGTACCCCCATCCTCCCACCCGCACCCACCAGCCCTGCTGCCTCTGCTCCTGCCAGCAACCCCCCACCCGGCAGTGGCGGGGGGGTGTTCGCTCCCCAAGTGACAGTGATAGACGGGCGCATTGTGGTGAACGAGGCGAGCTCTGAGTCTGAGTTTGAGGCGTCCCTTGTCCTGCATGTCCCCCCATCCTCCCACCCCCTCCCACCAGCCCTGCTGCCTCTGCACCTGCCAGCAACCCCCCACCAGGCGGCAGCGGCGGGGGGGTGTTCGCTCCCCAGGTGACAGTGATAGACGGGCGCATTGTGGTGAACGAGGCGAGTCTGACGGCGGATGCGCAGGGGGGGAGGGACGATGCGATGGAGGGGTACAAGCGGGTGGAGGAGAGCTCAGCACGGCTCAACTATGGCACGCATATGAAGAGAGAGAAGAGCGACCGGTGGAGCGTGGACGAGACAACCCAGTGGTACCAGGTGGGTGAGTTTTTTTAGGCACCTCAGAAATTGTTGCAGGCACACAAGGCTCAACTAAGGGACTCATATGAAGAGAAAGAGTGATTTGGTGGAGCGTCGACGAGACAACCCAGTGGTACCAGGTGGGTGGCTGTTTGAGGCGCCAACGAATTTGTTTCGAACCTGTAAGGCTCAACCACGGGCACCAGCAGTTCAACCGTTTGTCACCGACTTGTAGATGCTGCAGGCGCTCTTTCCCAAGCTCTACACCCCCTTCCCTCGTCCCCTCCTCTGATACTCCTGTAATGCTTCCAGGCGCTGCAGCAGTTCGGAACGGACTTCATTCTCTCACACATAGACACACGACTCTCCACCATCCATCCCTTCTGTCTCTCATCCATCTCATCTTCCATCCCTTCCACTCACTCCCCTCCAGACAAGCAGCAGTATGAGCGGTTGGCCTCGGCTCTCAACCCCCAGCTGGCACTGCAAGTGAGAGAAACACTGGCCGGCTCCTCTAACTCTCCTCCCGCTCGTGCCTCTATTGCCGCCACTGCTGCTGCTTCTGCTGGTGCTGTTGCTGTGAGGGGGAGGGAGGAGGCGAGCAGGCAGAGAGTAAGCCGGCGGCAGCAGCAGGGAGGAGCAGTGATGGGAAGGCCTGGGGCGGCTGTTGCTGCTGCCACCGCAGCTGCTGCCAATGCTCTCCATAATATAGCTGCTTCTGCCTCTGCTGCTGCTGTTGCTGTTGGTGGTGCTCTTGCTGGCGCTGAAATGGATGACGGTGCTGGTAACGAGGCGGTTAATGAGGAGGATGAGGGGATGATGGAGGAAGTGGAGATGGAGGAGTGGAGAGCCGTAGCAGCAGAGCCTGCAGGAGAGGGGGAGGAGGGAAGGGCAGAGGAAGCAGGAGTTGGGCTAGAGGAGGCGCATGGGGAGGGAGATGGTGTGGATGGTGGGGAGGAGGGAATGGGTGGTGAAGGTGACTATGGGGAAGGTGACTATGGCACAGGGGCGGATGGAACAGGGGATTATGGGGTTGTGACACAAGAAAGTGCTGCAGTGACTCAAGGTGAAGGTGACTATGGTGAGGCGGAATATGGGGAGGGGGAGGAGATGGGAGGGACGATAGGGTATGAAGACCCGTTTGCTGCGTATGGAGGGGACGGGGAGGTGGAGGAGGAGGATCCTCTGGGTGGGTATGGCTGATGCACTGACGCGTTTCCATCTTGATGCCCAACTTGAGGTAGTCACACATATTAGGAAAATCATGGATCAGATTATGTACGTGCTTCTAGTAATATCAAATAGTTACCACTATTTGAACAGTACAACCCCCAATAGGGAAGTTACAAACTCGTGTTCACACCACCATAGCCCACTGTCCTCCCCAACACTTGGCTCAGCCACTCCCTCGTCCTATCAACCGCTCCTATCCAACTTCCAACCATGATCATTCAAGCTTTCAACACGATACACATCACTTGCTCCTCCAGCATCTCCCCCTGCCGCTTCACGATTTATGCCCAAGCTGCTTCACCGCTCTACAAACTTGTCTCCTTGGCCGATTCCCTGCCCTGCTGTGCTAATCCAGTCAGAATGCTAAGCTGCTTACCATAGCTTAATCAATGTTTTGAAATACCACTCCAGCCCAACGATTCAGATCACTGTTTCACTAATTCAGTGTGCTGCGCTCTGCTGTGCCCTCAAAGCTCTTGCTCTTAGGGACTCCTCGTAGAACTCTGATAGGCCGTAGTAGTCACTGCAAGCCGTGCATAAATGAAGCAGAAAGCACAGAGCAGATTACAGATAGGAGAGGAAAACAACCTCAGTCGAATCCAGAGGCACCGCACAGACAGAAGAGGATCGGAAAAGGTCAAGGCAGTACCAAGAAAGGGATGACGTGAACTGACCAGAGCTGTGGAAGGGTTTGGCAGCGGTTGACACATCTGCCCTCCCCGACCTCGTAGTTGGCGTGATGGATGATCATCTCCCGTATCACATGCTTTGACCACTTGTAGTCATTGTCCCACCTCGCACACTGATGATTGGATTGGAGGGGTGGTTTTGGAGCAGCAGAGCGGGAAGACAAAGGTGCGTTTGGCAAGTTAATGCATTAGCCCTTCCTAATCTGTTTAAAGCAGCAAAGGAAAAGGCAGAAGAGAGTTTGGGGCATGTTGACAAGAGAGGAGAGCAGAAGCATCTACCAGCAAGAAACTCCCCGCACGACTCAAAGTGCACCTCCCACCCACCACCTCCCAGTCCCACCTGCCTCAGAAACAGCCTCTTCACCACCTCCCAGTTCTGCTGCCCCTCTGGGCGGAACACGGTTGGGTTCCACAGAGCCGCTCGCGCTGCCATGGCTGATGATGCTCCTGATGGGTGGACGGAGAGACAGGGATGGGAGGCATGACAGGGAGGGGAGGCATGGCATGAAGGGGAGGCATATTTCGAGACGTCTTGAAACACAGCTGGGTTCCAGAGAGCTGCTCGCGCCGCCATGGCTGAGGATGCTCCTGATGGGTGGCAGAAGAGATAGGGACGTGCAGGCAATGGCAGCGAGAGCATGCATCGTATGAAAGAAAGGCTTGGCAGGGAAGGGGAGGCTTGGCAGGGAGGGGGAGGCTTGGCAGGGAGGGGGATGCATGGCAGGGAAGGGGGCATGGAAAAGAGAGGTGGCAAAGAGGAGAAGTGCAGGCATGGCAAGAGGGGAACGATGAGGGGTGAGCAGGTGACATACTACAGCCGCCCTTCTCACCTGTTGCTGCTCGAATGGAGTCGAAATCACTGTAGCAGAAGACGTCCCCATTGGCAATGACTGGGAGGGAGAGCGACGACACCACTGCAGGGAGTGCCTCCCACTGCGCCTTCATTGATGGGCGGTGAGGAACCTTCCTGGAAGGCATGAGCAAGAAATGGAAGGAGGAAGAATGAGAGTCTCGAGAGTCACCTCTTCGGGTCCCAACACGGCGAGGGGGAGGGGGGGGGGGGGAAGGAAGTGACAATATCATCCAGTCACTAACGCTTATTACCTTGAGTGTGTGTCAGTTACCTTGCATGTATCTCCCTTTACCTTGCATGGAGACCCAGATCCAAGATGCCTGTGCTTTCAACAGATGCCCCTAGGCAAAGTCAAGTTTGAGGAGGGGCAATCCCGGCAGGTAGATCTTGGCTGGGAGTAGTGTATTATGCCCCCTACCCGCACCCACTACCTTGCACGCAACCCCCTTCCTTCACCACCCTCCATTCGCTCGTTCACCTTGCATGAATGCCCAGAGCTGAGATTCCCGTGCTCTCAACAGCACGCGCAAAGTCGATTGTCCGGTGGGGCGAGTCGAGTAGACGAATCTTGCAGGTGACTGCGATGGAGGCAGGCAGGTTGCGACGCAGAGTGGTAAGGATCTGAAGGACGGGGTTTGAGGGGTTTGAAAGGGGTTTTGAGGGCATGAGAGGGGTTTACAGGGGTTTGGAGGGGTTTGATGTGGAAGAAGGCTTGACAGTGTAGGGGAGGAAAGGATGGCGAGTTGGGGATGTGATGTGATGATGTGTGTGGGGATGATGAAAGGGGTTTGCATTGGGGGTGACGAATTCACGTTCAGCATGGGATGCGAGGGCGTGTGGATGATACATGGGGAACAAACTGGACATTTACAGGCAGAACAGAACGGAGAAGGCAAATCACAGATCAAGGCTCACAGGTGACGGGACACCACCAGACACAGGTAACATACGCTTGACTCACGTCGTATGCAATTTCCGGCTTTGAGAGCCGCCATGCGCCATGCGGTCACATAATGCCACCCCCCTGAAATCTAAACTTTAAACCCTGAACCCTAGTTGGTGTGAAACATGAACCCAAGACCCTGGGCTTACATCACATGTGTTTTCTGGGCGGGAGAGCAGAGCAGCGGCCATGCCACATATGCAGTCAGACACACATAGGGTCAACTCACGTCACATGCAACCTCACAGCCCCACTCACGTCACATGCAACCTCACCGCCCCACTCACGTCACATGCGTTTTCTGGGCGGGAGAGCAGAGCAGCACCCATGCCGCCACTGGTGGAGAAGGGCTTGGGGCACCCCATGTTGATGTCTATGGCTGCCACGTCATTGCAGCTGAAGGGTGAAATTAGACATCAGATGGGTGGGGGACGGTAGTGGAGCGATGGGAGTGGAGAGACTGAGAAGGGCTCGGGGCATCCCATGTTGATGTCTATAGCTGCCACGTCGTTGCAACTGGAGGGAGAAATGAGGCATAGGGTGGGTGGGGGATGGTAGTGCAGGGGCCAGATTTGACACACGGGATGACACTTCAAAGGACACTGATATTGACACAGGGACAAAATAGGAGTTGCTGAAGGAGTGGCTGAATAAGGCACAAGGCATAGGCAGATGATGAGACAGAAGAGGAGATGAGGAGGATGAGAAGATGAGAAGAGGGCGAGGTGCTAGAGAGGAGGAACTGACACCACTTCAGCGGCCCTTAAAGCCCGGACAGCATCAGCGGTGCCGATCTGGAAGGCCACTCGCGTCCTCTCAGCCTCACACGTGCGAAACACCACAATGCCCGTGGTGGGCTCCACGAAGTCAACGGAATTCAACGTAGCTGGAGGATGGGAGTGGGAGGTGGGGGGAGGGGAGGGGAAGCGAGAGAACGTATTGATGCCTGTGGGGTTGGAGGGGAAGAGAGGGAACACCAGGATCCCGTGCTGAGTCTAACACGTCAACGGAATATAACGCAGCTGGGGGACGGGGGTGGATGTGGGGAGAAGAAACGAAGGTGGTGCTTGTTTTCTCTGCTTGCCAAGCCAGAGGTTGAGCCAATTGTTGGTTGCTATGAGGAACAGGCCTGACACTTATGCGCAGTGTGGTCTATCACCTCCTCACTGTACACCAACCTCATTACATAAACGCTTACAACCCGTAATTGCATGAATATAACACAATTAATATCACTCACAGTTGACCACTCTCTTGCACTGTACAAAGCGGTGGTCGATCACCTCCTCGCTGTACACCATATCCGCGCCACAGTCCAGAGCAAGCAGCCGGAATGCGAGGGTGTTCTGGGCGGCACGAGTGGGAAGAAAAGGTTGGGAGGGGTAAGACTTTTGAACCGCTTAGAGACCCAAAGTTGAAGTGTAGAAGTTCGGGGGAACAATTAAAGCTCGCGTCAGGGTAAAGACGCTTTGGAAAGGGAAAGCTATGGGAGAATTAAGAGAAACACCATTCCATTGTAGTACAAATAAGGACCCTGATTGAACGAGCGTCGCTTACCACTCTAACCATGGGAGCGAGGATGTTCATTCCTCTATACGTCAGCTCCCCTTCTCCTAACGGAGCTTTGCCCATTTCGTTGTAACCGGGTAACCCTGGCGCCCCCACGCCTCCTTCGTACATGTCATCCGTAAACACGTACGCTTCGTCCGCTTGTGGCCCACCGTCAGTTACCATTCCGTCCGCCAAGTTGCCGGTCGTCATGTCAACGGCAGCTCCGTTAGACCGAGTTTCAGATGGATGAGCGTTACAAAAAGATGCTCCATCGGACGAGCTAGTGGCGCAGGAGAGCTCAATGTCGGGCCTGCTTGTGATAGGAAGCGTCATGGTGACTGGCGCGTAAATCACGCGACGACAGTTGCATCAAACGCACGAGCTGCTCGACTACAACACGGAGGCTTTTTGCTGTTAACGAGCTCACATCAGAATCGCGAACGTTTGGCTGCTCGTTGAAAGAACAAAAGCGTCAGTCTCGACTCTCGAGTCGGACTTCGATCGTCAAGTGAAGACTACCAACCAACCACGCTTGCTGGAATTTAAGGTGAGGTGCATTCGCAGTTTCGAGAGGGATGATCAGCAGTTGTTCGAGACTGGGTTCTCTACGTTGCGATACGATTAAAGTAGGTTCTGCGTGATTACGCTGATACCCGCTTGTTAGCCTTCTGATCGTCCCCTAGCGCACTCTCCCACTGCCCAATTGGCGGCGGGCTGCTACTTGTGGCGGGAATTTCTCGTGAAGTAGCGGCGTTCCCAAAGTTGGGGAGCACTCGATATTCGCACTACAAAGAGCTGCGATCAACAGCAAGACCTCACTCAAAGCGGAAGCATACATATTTTGTGCAGTAAACAATTTGAGGCGGACCCCCTCCTTCATTTTCTCAGCTCAAACATGTAACCCTAATCCCAGCTTCCTAAAAAACAAAACTATGGTAACATTGACTGTGAGACTCCCACTATAATTTCGTTACAATACAGCTAGGAATACTACAATTCTACTATCTTTGGCTTTGCCTTATTGCTTCTTGAACTCCCTCTTCCCCGCCCCCCCTTCTTGACTTTCCCCAGCCCCTTCTTTCTTTTCCCGCCATATCCCCCCTTGTGCTGGCCTGGGTGTATATTCGCCCCCCGACCTCCATTCTCTCCTCCCACCCCAACATGAAACACCCCACAATCCCCACCAGCCACAGCACCATCAAGTGAGCCGCCTGGAAGCACTCCCCCACCCCCTCTTCCATCTTCACTTCCAGCTTCCCCATCTTCCTCCATCGCTACACACCTGTCTCCACCGCCCAGGCCATCTCCCCCATGTGCATCAGCCCTTCGAATACCACCCTGATTCCCACCATCATCACCATCAGAATCTTCACTCTCTGGTTCTAGTTCTGAGTCAGAATCGCTGCTACCTGCCTCGCCCTCCTCTCCCCCCTCCCCGTCCCCTCTGCCCACAGAGCTCCCCTGTCCGGCCCCAGACAGAGCCCTCTCTGCTGCCGCCACGGCATCAGCAGTGCGCAAGTCAACCAGACCCAGTGATAGGTCCTGCAGGTGAGAGGGGGGGGGGCGGAGAGAGTTATGAGAGCAGAGAGAGTGGTGAGAGCCGAGAGGGTGGCGAGAGCAGGGAGAGTGGTGAGGGCACGTGCGACTGATGAGAGCAGGGGAGAGATGGACAACAAAGAGAGGTGCGAGGAACGGCAACTCATCATCTCTACATGCTGATTCACCATCTCTTAATGCTGACTCACCATCTCTAAAAGCTGACTCACCATCTCAATGTGTTGCTGTGAGTCGTCCACTGCCTCCATGCTCACCGCCTGTTGGCCCTGCTCCTGTGGTGTGATCATGGGACGGAGAGGCAGAGGGCCGAACAGAGAACAAAACATTATGTATGAGGCGCATCAAGAATTAACTAACCGCTTCCTGCCCCTGCTCCTGTTGGTGATCAAAAGAGGTCTGGTCAGACATGGTTGAGGAGTGAAGACCAAGGGCAGCGTGTCCCAAGTCCTAATCTTCCCTCGTACCTGTATTCGCCCATCCCCACCTGTATTCGCCGCTACACATCTCTAAGGTTCGTTGCAGCTTGTATATCATCTGCTCTCAATATGGAGTAAATTGCCGAAATTCCGACCCCCATAACCACAACCACGTTCGTGTAATTGCTTGCTTTCTCGTCACCAACTCTCACCACCATCCACGCCTCTATTCGCCCATCCTTACCTCCATTCGCCCCTTTGCACCTCTCTGCACCCCTCTGTACCTCTATGGCTCGCTGCAGCTTCTGGTTCTCCTGCTCCATCTGGGGTAAGAAGCCCCGCAGGCGAGCCAGCACTGGCAGCACACGCGAGGAGAAAGACGCATGGAGTAAGCGGGGAGAGAAGTAGGGGGGAACTGAGAGAAAGACCCAGGGAGATACGCAGGAAAAGGGGAGGTTTCACGGTTGGAGGTTATTCAGTCAGGTGCGAGGAGGTGGCGCGACACACGAAATGTTGAGGCGCGAGGAATGTAGCCCGCAAATAAAAAAAAAACCCACACAAAAAACAAAAAAACAAACAAACAAACAAACGCCAGGAAGGAATCAGGGTTTGGAGGTTCGTGGGTTTAACGTTAAAAAACCCCGAGCCCTGAACCCCGACCCTGGCGAAATCTACATGTCGCGAGGTCGTGAGTTGTACGGTAACGCACCCGAACTCTCCCCAACCGGCGATGTGAACATAGCTGGCGGCGCTTGGCCCTGCCATGGTGGCTTCTGCTGCTGCTGCTGCTGTTTCTGTGCGCGCGGGTTTGTTTTGCCTGGTTGTGCCAACAGACGCTCCACTGGATCGGAGAGAGAAGAGGAGGAGAGCCGGACAGGTCGTTACGTTGAGTCGACTTAAAGAAAATGCGAAGTGATATAAAAAATCGAACGGTAGGTCAGGAAAGAAATTGGCGGACGGAGGGGTTGAGCATGGTCGTGAAACCACATTTGGAGATAAAGATATCTACTACAAATAAAAAACAATCTAGGTGACGGCCAAGTGGGAATATGACGTACAGAAAGGCAACGAATCACCGCCGACGGTGAGTAACTCTTTGCTTGCCGCGATTGACGCTGGCGGCTTTCTCGGACCGCTGCGAGCGCCTTCCGTCGAATCGGCCATCGGAAGGAATGCGAAAGAACGAGCTACACTGCGATGCAAAACCAATGGAATGATGGGTGGGTGGTAGTGGGAACTGGGAGGGGAGATAGTAGTGCCAGCAAATGTACGTGTGCTTGTCAAAGGTTTTGACCGCGTGTCCAGCGCATATGTTTTGAACTGAGGTACAGTTCATTATCAGCGGTTTATTTTGTTGCGTCATGGTGCAAACGGTGAAGATTTAAAAACGCTTTGAAACTCCTGATAACGTCTCAGACCACGACGGATGACTGTACAGTACCTGTTAACGTACGCGCTGGACCCGCCCTGAACGTAGGAATGGACTTGGGTGGTTGGGGAGAGGGGTAGCTTTGTAGGAAGTGTAACCAGCTCGACGACTATGCGAGCTGGCGAGGTTTCCTTAATGCGAAAGCGCGACTGTCTGTATAACGTCGTAACCAATGGAGTGGGCTTGGTGGATGAGGGTCCCACCTACCTGCAACCTGGACAGGCGATGCCACGACGGCCGTTTCGCCGACGTTACTTGTCGCAACCAACGCTGCTCTCACAACCCGAAAACAATTCAGGGGCATCACAAACACTTACAGGAGTCCAGGAGGATGACGCTGAAGGAAAACATAGGTTGTGAGCACGAGTAGTGTATATGAAGTTCCCAGTGTGACGCGGCTGAGGATGTGTGAAACTACGGTCAGAAATAACATCGATGAGGGCTACAAATTAAATTTATGTACTTTTGGCTCTCATTTCGTCGCCCGGCCATTTATTGTACGTAGTTGTGGCACAATCACCAGCTCGTCTTCGTAACGCATACCTCCTCCCGCAACGTTTCTTTATTTCGAAAGAACGCGGCACGATCATAGATCCACCACAAAGCACAGATTTAGGTTGGCGTTTCTTTTAGATCCACCACAGTCCCCGTCGACCTCGTCACACTTCCCTGGTGTTGAACAGTACCAGGTCCATAAACGCGCAGCTCTTGTTCCAGAATAAGAAGCAAACGATAACAAATGCTTCGGAAATATTAGTTTCCAAACTTTTCTGATTCAGCTCACAGGTATGGCTGCTGCAATCAACTCCGCCACGGCGGAGCATTCACCACTAGCCTCCACCTCTCCCTCCCCCGATTGCGCCTTCCGCCACCGCTCCCCCTCCCCATGCGCTGCGACCTGGTCGCTCCCTTTCCGCCACGCGGCTTCCGCTTCCGCCTCCGCCATGCTCCTCGTCCTCCCCGACGGCTCGGCGCGCCTATACACGGAGGAGCTGACCGTCGCACAGCTCGCATGCGACTTCCCCGACCTCGTCGTCAGCTGCACGGGGATCGACTCTGGCGACATGTGCGACGGGGGAGTGCGCGACGATTGCGACTCGAAAGCTCAAGAAAAGGAGTCCAAGCCTCGAGGCGCGTTTCTCCCAGACCACACGGTCTTGCAATTGGGCAGGACGTATTATCTCTCGAACCGCGACGGTCCCTGCTCGGATCCTTCTGCTGCTTCTGGGGCGATGAACGATTCGAGACGCAGTAGCAACCCCAGCAGTAGCAGCTACACTACTAGTACCTCTATTATCGAGGATATACGCAACCGCGAAGATTACTGTACGAGCGGTGCGAGTATTAGCAGCAGCGGAGACGGCAGCAGCTTCAGTGGGGGAAGTTGGCGAACTTTCTCGAGTGGCGACGAAGTTTTGTGTAACAGATCGGATGCTGGTTCCAGTAACAGTGGTAACCTCTCCGCTGTGGTTTCGACCGGAACGGAAAGCAGGCGCTTTTTGTCTAAAGAATGTGCGATAGCCTGTCACAGGCGATCACTGTCGCTCGTGTTCGCGGACGCGCAGATGCCTTCGCCACGGCAAAGCGTGCCCTGTAATGTTGGTAACCAGCAAGCTCGACGATCACTCACTCCCACCATTTCGCGCTCAGGCGAGCTTTCGCCCGTTCTCTCTCACATACGATCTGCCCAGCGACCTCCTGCGACAAGCTCCCCCGTCGCAAACCGCCGCCAGTTCCTTCGCACGACCACTCCGATGCGCGATCGACCCATCGCACCTCGTCACTTGCGAACTCGCACGGAAATCCTCGGTGATGCTCCGATATTGACTGACTCACTTGTGGGTGATGCGCCCATTGCTGGATGGCGGACTATAACGAGCGCTGATTGGGCTTCGCTACAAGACACTCTTCGCCAAAATAAGCTCCAGCTCCAGCGGTCGCAGTTACAGCCGTCGCAGCTACAATCGTCGCAGCTACAACCGTCGCAGCAGTGGTCGCGCGCGGCTCCCCGCCGCAGAAACTTCTCCGCCACCACAGCGGTTTCCCCCGCTGACTGGATGAGCGCCACTCCTTCCGCCGCCTCCCTTCCCCGCGACCGTGTGCGGAGCCCCGGTCGCGCACGAGCGCAGCTGGCGGCGCACGGGGCAAGCGGACGTGGCGCGGCAGCAGCAGGAGTTGTGGGCGGCACTGCAGTCGACCGACCTGTGGAAGTGTGCCACGTGGCAGTGCCAGCTGGCAGGGCACTGAGGCGGTGCGTTTCGCACACGGAGACACGGGTGGGGGAAGGGCGGGTGGTCTGGTGGGGCGGGGAAGCGGAGCAGGCGCAAAGGCAGGGGGAGGCGGAGGCGGAAGGGGGGGAAGCGCATCAAGAAAATGACAAGACCAGGATAGACGATATCCAAGAGCTAGAACCGGTTGATTTAGGCAGTGGCGGCGTGGTTAACGGTGGTGACTGTAACGAGGGTGACACAAACGATCTTCCTGACTCCCCTAACAGCACCAGCAGCGGTGACAGCACCGATAGCGAGGCAGATGCTAACGAGGCGTTTTGGGACTCCCCTCGCTGCTTCTTCTCCCCCCTCTCCCTCTCCCTCCCTCGCTCCCCCTTTACTGCGTCCGTCCCTGCTCCCTCGCTCCTCTCTCTCACCAACACTCCCACCAGCAAGTCTGCAGAATCACCCACTACAGTCACGTCTGCTACAGGAACAGGTGCTGTGCATGCACCTGTTACAGTCACGTCTCGCCCTGGCCACACCCGCCGTCGCACCATGGATATATGCTTGCCTCTGCCGTCGCTCTCCCCTGCTCCTGCTACAGTCCCTGCTGTAGTCTCTGCCCGGAGAGGATCTTTTTCAGCTGCCCAGTCACCGAAAAAGACTCCTTCGGGCGGTGCAGGAGGTACGGGAGGTGCTGCGGCTGCTGCCTTCTCTCCATCCCCTTTAAGAGCCAACTCGGGTGATGGGATAAGGAGTGCAGCTACACCTACACAGGAAAGCACGCAAAGCTCTAGCAGAAGCAGAGCGCTTCTAAGGAGCATGAGCAGCAGAGAGCGGCAACGCAGCAGGGAGAATATGCCATGCAGCAATTTGAGTGGGACTAGTTCCCCTTGCCCAGAGTCGAATTCAGGGTGTAATGCTGGAAGAAACCCTAGCCCATTGCCCTGGGTGCACGCCAGGGCAAACTCCCTCTGGAATTCATTACCCCAGCCGTCCTCTGCACCATTGGATGCTTCCTGGAAGGTGCAGGAACAGAACACTTGCAATAGCAATGGAGGCAGCACAAGCGACAACTGTGGTAGCACCAGCAGCAGCAACAGCAGAGCAAGCAGCAGCAGAACGAGCAGCGGCAGCAGCCGCAAGTTCAGTTTGCTCAATTTCAAATCTCTCTCCATCTCCATCCGTTCAGGCAACAACAACTGCAGCAGCTGCACCAACTCTCCTCACTCCCCCTTCTCTCCTTCCCCCTCAGAATCCCCCATCCCAACTGCAAGCTCCGTTTCCTCCTTTGACTCTTCCTTCAATTCGTCATTCCCCCACTCCTCCACTTCCTCCTCCCCTGCCTCTTCCACCTCCTCCCCTTCCTCCTGCTTCTCCTCCCACTCACCCTCCCTCGTGTCCCAATCTCACACACCCAATCCCCACATCCCTCAGAAACATCCCACCCAAAACCTGCTTCCCACAAACCAGCTCCTACCTTCCCTGGTCCACCCCTCCCTCAGTTGCACCTCCCCCACATCCCACCTGGACGCAGTCAAACCCAGCTCGCCCCACTGCAGCCACTCACCACACTCCACCGCATCCAACTCATCCCCCTTGCCCCCTCTGCCTTCACCGTCCGGCCTGCCAGGGCATGTGGGCCGGGCCCCTGTGTCGCCTCACTCGCTCGCCAAGGGGACAGGGAAGGTGGTGAGGGCATCGCGATTCCAGAGGCAGGAAGGAGAGGGATAAGACCCTTAGGCGTCTGACTGTCAACCTTGCCCTGCAGAGGCATGAGGGCAGGGCCCCTCTGTCCCCTCACCCGCTCTCCAAAGCAAGGGCCTTGCAACGGGTGAATGATGGGCAGCTTGTCTGTACATAGCATCCTGTAATGTATATGTACTAACTTTAATTGTTAGTAACATTTTGTCTACATATGTTGATACTGTACAGCTACACTTACAGTTATGGTACAGGGTTTGAGAGGAATCTAGGAAATGCAATTTAGATCCATTACATGTTCAAACCCTGGGAAATTATTGGTGACGTGACATGCCGCACACGAGCCCCCACCCCACCCTCCTATGGCTCCCCCATCCTCCACGTCCCCACCCTCCCTCTCCCCACCTTGCATCCTCATCGAGTCACTCAAGAACCCAAACCCCGTCCCTCAACTCGACACCCTAGTCTCTTGAACCCAACAGATTACTCCACACTCCCATGCCCCTCCCCTTAACCCTTCATTCTCCATGCCCCACCAGGTAAAGGATGCCCATTGCCCATACCCCTCTCCCTCCTCGCCCTCGTCCACCTCTTTCCCCATACTCCACGCCTCCAGCTCTTCCTCCCCTCCCTCCCTACGTCACCGCTCACTTCTCTCAATGCCCCACCCTCCTAGAACCCAGGCGATCGCTCCACGCCCCTACGCCCCTCCCCTTGGCCCCCCACGCCCCACGTCCCCATCCCCCCTCCCTCTCCGGGAGACTGATGCCCGTACCCCTCCCTGTCCTCCCCCTCCTCCACCTCCTCCCCCATACTCCACGCCTCCAGCTTTCGAGACAGAGCCCTCAGGCGCTCCCTCTCGCTCTGCAGGTGCGTGCGGGCCAGAGTGATGTCCTGAGGGGGGCAGACGAAGGGGGGGGGGGAGGAAGAGAAAGGCACTGAGGCACGCCAGCGGAGTCCTGTAGTGTTGTACTTTGTTAAAACGGGCAACCCCCCTCCCTCCTCCACCTCCTCCCCCATGCTCCACGCTTCCAGCTTCCGAGAGAAAGACCTCGGGCGCTCCCTCTCCCTCTGCAGGTGTGTCCGCGCGAGATTGATGTCCTGAAAGGGGCAGACATAGGGGAGGAAAGAGACACTCTTAGGAATCCCTGGGCAGGTGAGAGTGGATAGCTCAATGGTTGAGACCCTGGGCAGGTGAGAGTAGATCGTTAGGCACTGTTGCAGCTGGCCCACCTCCTCCTCCTGCTCCTGTAACTAAACCCCAACTCAGCTAACATCCCTTTTCACCACATCTTACCGCATCAGATTAGACTACACCGCACCACACCATACTGAGGGCAGGTCTGAGAAGATTGCCAGGTGCAGCTGCCCCACCTCCTCCCCCTCCCACTGCACCTCCAGCTAACCCCATCCCCTCTCACATCCCTTTCCACTGCATTGCACCACATCTCACCACGCCACACCACACCACAATGTACCCCACCACACCGCACCACACCATACCGTGGGCAGGTCGGAGTAGATCGCCAGATCGTGCTGCAGCCGCCCCACCTCCTCCTCCTCCCCCTGCACCTCCGCTGCCAGCTGTAGCAGGGCGGCCATGTCCACGTCAGCACTGTACCCCGCAGCTTCTAGTGAGCCCTGGGAGGGAAGAACGGAATAGAAATTCAAGAAAGGAAAAGAAGAAGAGCATTCATTGGCCCAGATGTATCAGGGCAGTCATGTCCACGTCAGCACTGTAGCCCGCAGCTTCTAGTGAGCCCTGTGGGAAAGGGAAAGGAGGGAGAGGGAACAAGAGGAATAAAAAAACTCCATTCTTTTGCTGCGCAGGAGAGAAAGAGGGAGAGTTAGAGCGGAGACCCAAAGACATGGAAAACCCCATTTGTTCTCTTCCGCCAGCCATGCCATCACATCCACCTCACTGGTGACGTGGCAATGTTACTGTGCCCACGTCGGCAGGTCGCACGAGCGCCGCCAGGACTTTAACCACTGCCACCATGACATGTCGAGCACGGGCTCCGAGCAGGGGCGCAAGGGCGACTCAAACATCCAGGTGCCGACTCTGGCTGCATGCCTGATAATGAAGTGCCGCCTTTTTTGTGCCTCGCTCATTGCTTGGGAAAAGGCAGAACTTCTTTTTCTGGCGTGCAGCCAGAGTCGACACCTGGATGTTTGAGTCGCTCGAGAGTGCGCCTGTGCTCGAAGCCTATGCTCGACATGTCATGGTGGCAGTGGTTAAAGTCCTGGCGGCGCTTGTTCTGTCATGCCATGCCATGCCATCATATACACTTCACAGGAGAGGTGGCAATGCAACTGTGTCCACGTCGGCAGTACTGCACTTCGCCGCCGCGAGTGAGAAGAATCGGGGAGAATCGAGAAAATCCTCCATCAATCTCCCCAACCCCCTCACCCACGCACACCTGAGCACCAAACTCCTGCAGATTTAGTTGTTGCTGCTCCTGTTGAGGCTCAGCTGCTGCCGCTCCAGTTGATGCTCCTCAAACGGCGCCCTCTATTCCCCCTTCTCCGCTTATCCTTTCCCTATCTCCCCCATCCACTCATCCACCCACACCCATCCCACTCACGCCCACCTGTACGGCGGATTGCTGCAGGCCCAACACTTAGCTGCTGCTGCTGTTGAGGTGCCTCGAACATCATTCCCCACCTTCTTCCCATGCTGAACCTCTCCCACTCTCCACCCATTCACCCACACATACCTGAGCGGCAGATCGCTGCAGGCTCAACTGCTGCTGCTCCTGTGACGTTCTCCTGATTTTGTCTGCCACGTCATCAGTGGCCCTGCTGATGTCATCGTCCGATAGCAGCTGCGCCTTCCAGCTGGCAGCACAGCACAGGGTGCCACGTGGCAGAGGGAGGTGGAAAAGAGAAGGTCAAGGAGGTTAACAACTACAAATAAATGTAAATCCAACAAGAAAAAACTGCAAGAAAGAACGGAAAGAAGGACGAGTGTGAGAGAAGCTAGATTAAGCTGCTCTTAGCCTCCTCCCCTCACACCCACCCTCACCTCTCGATGCACTCAGCCAGAGCTGTGACCTGCTCCTGTCTTGTCTGCAGGCTGGCCTGGGTCTGCTGCATCCGCCGCAGCAGCTGCTCGCAGTGCCATGCGCGCGTTGAAAGGTGAGTCACTGCGCTGGGAAGGCTGGAGAGAGGGGAACAAGGCATGGAAAGTAAGGGGTGGGGGGGCGGAATGGGCAGGTGTAGCAGGCTTGTGTGGGTCTGCTGCATGCGCTGCAGCAGCTGCTCGCAGTGCCATGCGCGCGTTGACAGGTGAGTAACGGTGCTGGGGAGGCTGGGGGGAGGGGAAAGGAGGCAGGGACGAGGGAGAGGGGTGAATGGGTGGGTGTAGCAGACTGGCGTGGGTCCGCAGCATCCGCAGTTGCTGGCAATGTCAAGCGCGCGTGGACAGGTGAGTGACGACGCTGAGGAGGCTGGAGAGAGGGGAACAAGGCATGGAAAGTAAGGGGTGGGGGGGCGGAATGGGCAGGTGTAGCAGGCTTGTGTGGGTCTGCTGCATGCGCTGCAGCAGCTGCTCGCAGTGCCATGCGCGCGTTGACAGGTGAGTAACGGTGCTGGGGAGGCTGGGGGGAGGGGAAAGGAGGCAGGGACGAGGGAGAGGGGTGAATGGGTGGGTGTAGCAGACTGGCGTGGGTCCGCAGCATCCGCAGTTGCTGGCAATGTCAAGCGCGCGTGGACAGGTGAGTGACGACGCTGAGGAGGCTGGAGAGAGGGGAACAAGGCATGGAAAGTAAGGGGTGGGGGGGCGGAATGGGCAGGTGTAGCAGGCTTGTGTGGGTCTGCTGCATGCGCTGCAGCAGCTGCTCGCAGTGCCATGCGCGCGTTGACAGGTGAGTAACGGTGCTGGGGAGGCTGGGGGGAGGGGAAAGGAGGCAGGGACGAGGGAGAGGGGTGAATGGGTGGGTGTAGCAGACTGGCGTGGGTCCGCAGCATCCGCAGTTGCTGGCAATGTCAAGCGCGCGTGGACAGGTGAGTGACGACGCTGAGGAGGCTGGAGAGAGGGGAACAAGGCATGGAAAGTAAGGGGTGGGGGGGCGGAATGGGCAGGTGTAGCAGGCTTGTGTGGGTCTGCTGCATGCGCTGCAGCAGCTGCTCGCAGTGCCATGCGCGCGTTGACAGGTGAGTAACGGTGCTGGGGAGGCTGGGGGGAGGGGAAAGGAGGCAGGGACGAGGGAGAGGGGTGAATGGGTGGGTGTAGCAGACTGGCGTGGGTCCGCAGCATCCGCAGTTGCTGGCAATGTCAAGCGCGCGTGGACAGGTGAGTGACGACGCTGAGGAGGCTGGAGAGAGGGGAACAAGGCATGGAAAGTAAGGGGTGGGGGGGCGGAATGGGCAGGTGTAGCAGGCTTGTGTGGGTCTGCTGCATGCGCTGCAGCAGCTGCTCGCAGTGCCATGCGCGCGTTGACAGGTGAGTAACGGTGCTGGGGAGGCTGGGGGGAGGGGAAAGGAGGCAGGGACGAGGGAGAGGGGTGAATGGGTGGGTGTAGCAGACTGGCGTGGGTCCGCAGCATCCGCAGTTGCTGGCAATGTCAAGCGCGCGTGGACAGGTGAGTGACGACGCTGAGGAGGCTGGAGAGAGGGGAACAAGGCATGGAAAGTAAGGGGTGGGGGGGCGGAATGGGCAGGTGTAGCAGGCTTGTGTGGGTCTGCTGCATGCGCTGCAGCAGCTGCTCGCAGTGCCATGCGCGCGTTGACAGGTGAGTAACAGTGCTGGGGAGGCTGGGGGGAGGGGAAAGGAGGCAGGGACGAGGGAGAGGGGTGAATGGGTGGGTGTAGCAGACTGGCGTGGGTCCGCAGCATCCGCAGTTGCTGGCAATGTCAAGCGCGCGTGGACAGGTGAGTGACGACGCTGAGGAGGCTGGAGAGAGGGGAACAAGGCATGGAAAGTAAGGGGTGGGGGGGCGGAATGGGCAGGTGTAGCAGGCTTGTGTGGGTCTGCTGCATGCGCTGCAGCAGCTGCTCGCAGTGCCATGCGCGCGTTGACAGGTGAGTAACGGTGCTGGGGAGGCTGGGGGGAGGGGAAAGGAGGCAGGGACGAGGGAGAGGGGTGAATGGGTGGGTGTAGCAGACTGGCGTGGGTCCGCAGCATCCGCAGTTGCTGGCAATGTCAAGCGCGCGTGGACAGGTGAGTGACGACGCTGAGGAGGCTGGAGAGAGGGGAACAAGGCATGGAAAGTAAGGGGTGGGGGGGCGGAATGGGCAGGTGTAGCAGGCTTGTGTGGGTCTGCTGCATGCGCTGCAGCAGCTGCTCGCAGTGCCATGCGCGCGTTGACAGGTGAGTAACGGTGCTGGGGAGGCTGGGGGGAGGGGAAAGGAGGCAGGGACGAGGGAGAGGGGTGAATGGGTGGGTGTAGCAGACTGGCGTGGGTCCGCAGCATCCGCAGTTGCTGGCAATGTCAAGCGCGCGTGGACAGGTGAGTGACGACGCTGAGGAGGCTGGAGAGAGGGGAACAAGGCATGGAAAGTAAGGGGTGGGGGGGCGGAATGGGCAGGTGTAGCAGGCTTGTGTGGGTCTGCTGCATGCGCTGCAGCAGCTGCTCGCAGTGCCATGCGCGCGTTGACAGGTGAGTAACGGTGCTGGGGAGGCTGGGGGGAGGGGAAAGGAGGCAGGGACGAGGGAGAGGGGTGAATGGGTGGGTGTAGCAGACTGGCGTGGGTCCGCAGCATCCGCAGTTGCTGGCAATGTCAAGCGCGCGTGGACAGGTGAGTGACGACGCTGAGGAGGCTGGAGAGAGGGGAACAAGGCATGGAAATTAAGGGGTGGGGGGGCGGAATGGGCAGGTGTAGCAGGCTTGTGTGGGTCTGCTGCATGCGCTGCAGCAGCTGCTCACAGTGCCATGCGCGCGTTGACAGGTGAGTAACGGTGCTGGGGAGGCTGGGGGGAGGGGAAAGGAGGCAGGGACGAGGGAGAGGGGTGAATGGGTGGGTGTAGCAGACTGGCGTGGGTCCGCAGCATCCGCAGTTGCTGGCAATGTCAAGCGCGCGTGGACAGGTGAGTGACGACGCTGAGGAGGCTGGAGAGAGGGGAACAAGGCATGGAAAGTAAGGGGTGGGGGGGCGGAATGGGCAGGTGTAGCAGGCTTGTGTGGGTCTGCTGCATGCGCTGCAGCAGCTGCTCGCAGTGCCATGCGCGCGTTGACAGGTGAGTAACGGTGCTGGGGAGGCTGGGGGGAGGGGAAAGGAGGCAGGGACGAGGGAGAGGGGTGAATGGGTGGGTGTAGCAGACTGGCGTGGGTCCGCAGCATCCGCAGTTGCTGGCAATGTCAAGCGCGCGTGGACAGGTGAGTGACGACGCTGAGGAGGCTGGAGAGAGGGGAACAAGGCATGGAAAGTAAGGGGTGGGGGGGCGGAATGGGCAGGTGTAGCAGGCTTGTGTGGGTCTGCTGCATGCGCTGCAGCAGCTGCTCGCAGTGCCATGCGCGCGTTGACAGGTGAGTAACGGTGCTGGGGAGGCTGGGGGGAGGGGAAAGGAGGCAGGGACGAGGGAGAGGGGTGAATGGGTGGGTGTAGCAGACTGGCGTGGGTCCGCAGCATCCGCAGTTGCTGGCAATGTCAAGCGCGCGTGGACAGGTGAGTGACGACGCTGAGGAGGCTGGAGAGAGGGGAACAAGGCATGGAAAGTAAGGGGTGGGGGGGCGGAATGGGCAGGTGTAGCAGGCTTGTGTGGGTCTGCTGCATGCGCTGCAGCAGCTGCTCGCAGTGCCATGCGCGCGTTGACAGGTGAGTAACGGTGCTGGGGAGGCTGGGGGGAGGGGAAAGGAGGCAGGGACGAGGGAGAGGGGTGAATGGGTGGGTGTAGCAGACTGGCGTGGGTCCGCAGCATCCGCAGTTGCTGGCAATGTCAAGCGCGCGTGGACAGGTGAGTGACGACGCTGAGGAGGCTGGAGAGAGGGGAACAAGGCATGGAAAGTAAGGGGTGGGGGGGCGGAATGGGCAGGTGTAGCAGGCTTGTGTGGGTCTGCTGCATGCGCTGCAGCAGCTGCTCGCAGTGCCATGCGCGCGTTGACAGGTGAGTAACGGTGCTGGGGAGGCTGGGGGGAGGGGAAAGGAGGCAGGGACGAGGGAGAGGGGTGAATGGGTGGGTGTAGCAGACTGGCGTGGGTCCGCAGCATCCGCAGTTGCTGGCAATGTCAAGCGCGCGTGGACAGGTGAGTGACGACGCTGAGGAGGCTGGAGAGAGGGGAACAAGGCATGGAAAGTAAGGGGTGGGGGGGCGGAATGGGCAGGTGTAGCAGGCTTGTGTGGGTCTGCTGCATGCGCTGCAGCAGCTGCTCGCAGTGCCATGCGCGCGTTGACAGGTGAGTAACGGTGCTGGGGAGGCTGGGGGGAGGGGAAAGGAGGCAGGGACGAGGGAGAGGGGTGAATGGGTGGGTGTAGCAGACTGGCGTGGGTCCGCAGCATCCGCAGTTGCTGGCAATGTCAAGCGCGCGTGGACAGGTGAGTGACGACGCTGAGGAGGCTGGAGAGAGGGGAACAAGGCATGGAAAGTAAGGGGTGGGGGGGCGGAATGGGCAGGTGTAGCAGGCTTGTGTGGGTCTGCTGCATGCGCTGCAGCAGCTGCTCGCAGTGCCATGCGCGCGTTGACAGGTGAGTAACGGTGCTGGGGAGGCTGGGGGGAGGGGAAAGGAGGCAGGGACGAGGGAGAGGGGTGAATGGGTGGGTGTAGCAGACTGGCGTGGGTCCGCAGCATCCGCAGTTGCTGGCAATGTCAAGCGCGCGTGGACAGGTGAGTGACGACGCTGAGGAGGCTGGAGAGAGGGGAACAAGGCATGGAAAGTAAGGGGTGGGGGGGCGGAATGGGCAGGTGTAGCAGGCTTGTGTGGGTCTGCTGCATGCGCTGCAGCAGCTGCTCGCAGTGCCATGCGCGCGTTGACAGGTGAGTAACGGTGCTGGGGAGGCTGGGGGGAGGGGAAAGGAGGCAGGGACGAGGGAGAGGGGTGAATGGGTGGGTGTAGCAGACTGGCGTGGGTCCGCAGCATCCGCAGTTGCTGGCAATGTCAAGCGCGCGTGGACAGGTGAGTGACGACGCTGAGGAGGCTGGAGAGAGGGGAACAAGGCATGGAAAGAAAGAGGGGAGAGGGTGAATGGGTGGCTGTAGCAGGCTCTGCTGCTGTAGCAGCGGTGGCTATATGCACTTACCGTGGTCCTTAATACGCCATGCGTATGGTTAGTAACCTATTGCACACAGCACATGCACGTGAAATCTCACCAGTGTGGGTCCGTGACAGCGAGCAATTGGCAGAGCTCTGCAATCTGAGACACCGCTTCTGTCGTATAAACAGTCACACTCCTACGAGCGTCGAGGCAGCACGAATGCCTCCCAGTGACCCACACGCACATACGGACTTACCAGTGTGGGTCCGTGACAGCGAGCAATTGGCAGAGCTCTGCAATCCGAGACACCGCTTCTGTGGTGTCCACGCCACGGAGCTTGATCGCGGAACTCGCCCAACACTGCTGCCAGCACGGCTTTCAGGTGCGCTGCCGGGAGGAAAACAAAAAGGACTCACCAGTGCGGGTCTGTGACTGAGAGCAGTTGGCAGAGCTCCGCGATCTGCGACACTGCTTCTGTCGTGTTGACAGCGGTACAGACTTACCGTGGTCCATATTGTCCCGTGCATGTGGTTACTAACCTATTACACTCAGCACACCTGCAGACTCACCAGTGCGGGTCGGTGACTGAGAGCAGTTGGCAGAGCTCTGCGATCTGCGACACTGCTTCTGTCGTGTCGACGTCACGGAACTCGCCCAACACTGTTGCCAGCACTGCCTTGAGGTGCGCCGCTGAGAAGGAAAGAAAGGGAGAGAGGAAGGAAGGAGGTGACTTATGAGTAGACCCAAAAGAGCTCTGCAATCTGAGACACTGCTTCCGTGGTGTCAACGTCTCGGAATTCGCCCAACACTGCTGCCAGCGCTGCCTTAATGTGCGCCGCTGGAAGGGAGGGGGCAAGAGGAAGGACGGATAAGGAGGGAATTCAGGCCACCACAAGGGATTCGCAGAATACTGCTGAGAGCACGACCCTCTGACGTCACGTTTCAGGCCACCACAAGGAATTCGACTGACATCGAGCGAGATCCACCCAATGCAGCATCTTCATCGTCACCAGAACCACCTTCAACAGAATCCCCTTCACCAGAATCACCTTCACCAGAAACACCTTCACCAGAATCACCTTTGCTAGAACCACCTTTACGTGAATCAACTTGAGCAAAATCGCCCTTCACTGGATTTACTTTCACCAGAATCACCTTTACCGATTTTCCTAATATCGCCTTAACAGACTTCACCTTCCGCTCGGTATCCTCGAGCCTGGATCTCCGCTTCCTCCATCATCGGCGACTTAGCGGCGGACGTTGCTACGCTCCGCGCACCCTGATTCCCACCAGCGTTGCCGCCGCTGTTGCTGCTGCTGCCGGCGTTAATCCTGCTGCCAGCGCTAACGCTGTTGCCGGCATTATTGCTGCTAAAATCGCTGGCTCTGCAGCTGCTGCCGCTGCCGCTGCCGCTCCTCGCGCTGTCGCTCAGAGCTAGCGAGCAGCCTTCCGGACTAGAGAAAAGCCTGGTTCTACAGTCACTATCCGCCATGATAGCGTTGCAGTCTCTTGTTCAGAAGGCACAATGACTTTCTACCAACACCAAACAAAAACAAGCAAACATCAATCCTGGATCCCAAGCAACAAACGCTGATTCGTCGGGCCTAGTTCGCGACTGTCGCTAAATCGTTCGCAATGTCGTAGGCCACGCAACCTCCGCGACACCCAGACAACCCGATGTTGCAACAAAACAACGCTTCATGCAACTTTCGTTACTGAGTTGTGACTGTCGCCTAGCAGCTGAGAGGGCATCCAGCTTTTCTGAGACTTGTCGCAAACAACACCAAGAACCAAAACTATGTTCGCCCACTTCGCCATGACATGTATGTCCCGGTGACATAGGATTGTAAGCATTCACCCCACTCAGTGCATGTGTATAGTTGTGTTTTCTGTAATTGACAGCTCGTACTCACTTTGTTTCACATTGTGCATCCACCAGAGAAATACTGTACATGAGATTGTGACGGAAGAATAATTATACCGTATAACAAGAATCAACAGGCCCCAAAACCTTTGGATGTGTCCAGGTAACAATCTGCGACAACTTCCAGGTCAACGCAGTCAACGCTGCTGCCCTCCTGGATGCCTATTGTGGTGATCACTGCGTGGATGCTGCGGATGGCTTCCTGGAAGCTGCTGGTACAAATCAAGTGACTGCTGGTTCATTGGCAAATACACGTATCCGGGCGAAGGGGGGTAAGCGGGCAGCAACTGCTGACCTGGCACTGCCATTCCGTGCTCTGCAGGGACCACCTGTGCTCCTGCTGATGCTGCTACTGCTCCTGATACTGCGCGTATAGATCCTGGTGCTGCTGCTACCGCTGTTGAAGCTCCGGCTGCCAACTCTGAGCCAAATGCCACATGCTGCAGGCTTGCATTTCTACTACCTGTGCTCACGCCTGTGGCCGTGCCTGTAACCATGCCTCCGTCTGTGCCTGTGCCCATACCTGCTGACAGAGCAGGGATCCTCTGACCTGCCCTGTCGCCTCGTGCAGGGGCGTCACGCCGTGAGGCTTGCACCTGCCCCATCGCCTGCCCTGTTTCCCTGGAATGACTGGAATTGCCAGAATGCCGTTTTGCAGGCCCCCCTGCCCGTGTGCGCGTGTCCCGAGTGGAAGGTCCAACAGACCTTGATACGACAGGCAGTGCTGCTGCTTCTGTGCCAGATCTCACACCAGGTGTCACACCAGGTGTCACAGGAGCAGGTTGAGAAGAGGACATGGGAGGTGGAGAGGAGGCGATGGGAGAGTGAGGGGAGGAGACGTGCAGAGCACTCAACTGTGCCATGTAGTCAACTGCTCCCTTCCCCGCCCCTGTTCTCTCTCCCTCCCTCCCTTCCTGACCGACCTGCAGCTGCAGCTGCGGCTGCTGCTGTCGCTTCTCTGCCTGCCTTCGTTGCTGCTGCCTCTGCTGCTTCTCTAGCTGCCTCTGCTTCTCGGCCTGCTGCTGCTGCTTCTCCATCTGCCGCTGCTGCTCGGCCTGCTGCAGCCTCTGCATCTCGACATGCACTGGAGACAACACACTGCCTGCAAGTTGCGCTACAGCCGGGTTGTGCGCTACAGCTGACCTTGGCACATCGGTTGGCTTGTGCGCTACAGCCGTATTGTGTGCTACAGATGGGCTATGATGTGCTGGAGTTAATGAGTGTGCTACAGCTGCAGTCGTAGGTGGTGCCCCAGAAGTGTGCACGATAAACTGTCCTTGAACGTTTCCTCTCTGTGCATCGCATGCCTGTTCCTCCTGCTTCAACTGAAGCTGGTGAAATGGCAATGGTGTAGAGGGATGGGAATGCAGGGGGGCGGAGAGCAGGGGAAAAGAAATCAAGGGTGGATGGGAGGAGAAAGAGAGAGCACTGACCGACACCAGTGGGAGAGGGCAGTGGGAGAGGGCAGTGGGAGAGGGCAGTGGGAGAGAGCAGTGAGAGAGGGCAGTGGGAGAGGGCAGTGGGAGAGAGCAGTGAGAGAGGGCAGTGGGAGAGAGCAGTGGGAGAGAGCATTGAGGGAGGAAAAAAAAGGTTACCGCTGCTTTGTTGCTCCGAGTTATGTCTTCCAGAGCGGCGATGGCCGGGACGAGGCTGGAAAAGTAAGATAATCACCACAGACAAAGGGAAGGTGAGGAGAGAATGGTCAACATTAAGGTGTATAATACAATTAGGTGAATATAACACGAAGGTGTATATTAGACTAAGGTGGATATGGAAGCATGTTAACGAGGCCAAGGGGACTTGAAACTGAGGTATCTTGAGGTGTCACGAGGAGGGTCACGAGGTGTCAGTGTCACGAGGTGTGGTGAAGTGAGATGTACAATTTGTACCCTTGATAATCCTTTTGTGCCTCACCAGGTTTCCATTAAGCGGCACAGAGCAGCTTGATAGGTGGCATGGTGGTGAATCAGCTCCAACGGGTTGGGGTCGCCGTGTCTGGTGCAGAGGGAAGGAGAAGTGGAAAGAGAGAGGGAGGGGGAAGAAAGAGAGAGGGAAGGCAGAGGGAAGGGGGGTCATATGGGACAAGACTGGTAGGTGGCATGGTGGTGAATCAGCTCCAATGGGTTGGGCTCGCTGTGTCTGGTAGGAGAGGGAAGGAAAAGTGGAAAGAGAGAGGGAGGGCAGACGGGACGGGAGAGGAGAGGGGGGACGAGAGGTCATGACAGGTATGCCTGGCAGGTGGCATGGTGGTGAATCAAACTCCAACGGGTTGGGCTCGCCGTGTCTGGTGCAGAGGGAAGGAGAAGTGGAAAGCGGGGCAAGGGGAGGAGGGGAGGGGAGAGGGGAGGACAGAGGAGAGGGAAATGAGAGTTAAAGAAAATCAACTCCAATTGGTTGGGCTCGCTCTACAGGTGAAAGGAGAGGGAGAGGGGATGGGAGACGAGAGGGGATGGGAGACGAGAGGGGATGGGAGACGAGAGGGGATGGGAGACGAGAGGGGATGGGAGACGAGAGGGGATGGGAGACGAGAGGGGATGGGAGACGAGAGGGGATGGGAGACGAGAGGGGATGGGAGACGAGAGGGGATGGGAGACGAGAGAAGATGGGAGACGAGAGGGGATGGGAGACGAGAGGGGAGGGTAGAAGAGAGGGGAACGAGAGGTCATGTTGCGTAAGCCTGGTAGGTGGCGTGGTGGTGTATTGACTCCAGACGGTTGGTCTCACCGTGTCTGGGGAAAGGAAAGGGAGAGGGGACATGGGAAAAAGAGAGGACATGAAGGGAGAAGGATGGGAAAGAGAGAGACGGGAAGATACGTGGAAGATGGTGTGGTGGGTGAACCACAGCAGTGCCAGGGATTGGCAGTCTGATGTCTTTTGAGGCGCCTCAAAAGCACAGCAGTGGCAGGGATTAGCAGTCTGTTGTGCAATGAGAGAGAGACGGGGGTAGAGGGAGAGGAAAGGGGCACACAGGAGTGCAGAGCGGCACACAGGAGTGTGTACGTACCTGCCTGCATGCTCTACAGACTTCTCATACGTCTCCTTCTCGTCCATCATGCTGCAGCTGGGTGAGGGCTCAAAACCCACACACAGGATGTGCGTGTGAGTGGGCAATGGCCCATGGGCATGTGCGTGTGAGTGGGCAATGGCCATATGTTTACCTGTGCGCCTCTTCCACCGCCTTCTCATACGCCTCCTTCTCCTCCAACAACAGCATCCGCTGCAGCCCAGTCAGGGGCGCCACGGCATGTGCACGGGGCAGGGAGGGGAAGGCTCGGGCTGAAGAAACCACCTTTATTGGCACCTCCCATGCTGTGAAGTCAGATGATGGGCTGCGAGGGATGAAGGGTGTATGGCAGAGGACATGAGATGGGAGAATGCGGAGAGATAGCAAGGGAATGAAGGGTTTCGAGAAGGGGACGCGGCAAAACAAAAAGGGACAACATAATGAAGGGGCCAAAAACACCTACGGGGATCACACTTGCGAACACGCATGCTCTCTCAAGGGTGCCAGCACCACTTGCACACATCCTCTACGTCAGACAGCATGACTTTACACTCATCCACGTCAGCAAGCACCACTTACACGTCATCATCCACAGCAGCCAGCACCACTGCCAGCTCCTGCGGCTCGAGGTCTGAGACAGAGGGGTGCGACGAGTGCTCTCTCTGCACGAAGGGCAAGTTGGGAGGTGGAAGAGTCAGGAGGAATGAGAGAATTGAGTTGAGTTTTAAGGCCCCTAAAAAATCAGCACCACCGCGAGCTCTTGAGGTTCAAGGTCCGAGACGGATGGATGGAATGGGAGGAGTGCTCCCTCTGGAAGAAGGGCGAGGTCGATATTTGGAGGAGGCAGGAAGGAACAGGAGAGCAGCAGGTGAGCAAGGGAGAGCAACGGCGAGCAATGGACGGAGGTGGGGCATTGTCCACCAAAAAGGGGCTCATTGACCCTTCTGTAACCACCAAAAAGGGGCTCATTGACCCTTCTGTAACCACCAAAAAGGGGCTCATTGACCCTTCTGTAACCACCAAAAAGGGGCTGCCAACGAGCTCCTGCTACAGACAGAAGGGTCGCCTCACCTAGGGGCTGCCTCACTTGCGCTTTCCGCCTTTCTCCTTGTCAGATTCCCACCTTCAACCATACACTCCCCCCCCCTGCTTCGCCCCACCTTGGTGCCCAGCTGCGCCCACTGCCCCGTGCCGGTGTGTGCCATGACCGCTGCTCCCGCTGCTCCCCCTTGCTCCTTGTGCCATACCCCCGCCCATCCCCCCACTCTTGATCCCCACCTTGGTGCCCAGCTGCGCCCACTGCCCCGTGCCGGTGTGTGCCGTGACCGCTGCTCCCGCTGCTCCCCCTTGCTCCTTGTGCCATACCCCCGCCCATCCCCCCACTCTTGATCCCCACCTTGGTGCCCAGCTGCGCCCACTGCCCCCGTGCCGGGGTGTGCCGAGACTTCTGCTCCCGCTGCTCCTTGTCACGTGCTGACACGGACTGAAACGCCACTGCCTGCAATTGACCCGCCTGTGAGGATGTGGGGGAAGGTTGCAGGAAGGAGATTCATAGGCAGGATGGGAGTGCCTGAGGTGAATGAAACAGAAACTGCTCTGCGTGCTCCCGCTGCTCCTTGTCACGTGCTGACACGGAGTGAAACGCCACCGCCTGCAGCCGAGCCGCCTGTGTAGATGGGGGAGGGGAGGGATGGGAGGGCGAGGATAGGCAGGATGCATGGGGTCAAGGGAACGGATAAATGCTGCTCTCGCTGCCCCTGCTGTTCCTTGGCACTCGAGGATGCTCGATCAAAGGCAGAAAATATGAGCCCACTCCCCTTGTGTGTGCATGTGCACAACTGTCAGCCTGAAACGAGTCTTGGAGTGATTGAAACCCACCTGGGCATGCGAGGAGGCTCGGTTGAAGGCAGAGAATATGAGCCCCACGAAGCCCTCGTCCAACATCTGATACATGCCCTGTGTGCGCACGTCTGATGTGAGGGAGGCAGCGAAGGGAGGGGTGAGGAGAAAGAGACATTGGGACGCACATAGAGGTGTTTTGAGAGCCCCACGAATCCCTCGTCGAGCATCTGATACATGCCCTGTGTGCGCACGTCTGGAGGAAGATGGAGCAAGGTGGGGGGAGGGAGAAGAGAAGGCACAAGGGGTGTTCCAAGTTCCACAATCCCTCATCCAGCATCTGATACATGCCCTGTGTGCGCACGTCTGATGCACAGAGCAGCAAGGGGAGAGAGGAGACAGAGGAAGAGGAGACATATCAAGAGAACGTGAGGCCATCGAAGCCTCGTCCTGCGTCTGGTACATGCCCTGCCCTGTGTGCGCACGCCGTTTGCCCAGTGCCGGAAGAAGTAAGGGCGAGGGGGAGGGGGAGAGTGAGGGAGGGAAGGGAGGCACGTCAGGAGGCAGGAAGGGGAGAAGGAAGAGAAGACGATGGTGCTTTATAGATAAAATAACAGACGAGATCTGAGTGTATGAGGTGCTGATACAGCGCGCGCTCAATACCATGTGGACATACTGACAAAGTTGACATATGATGTGCGAAATCCACATACCGACATGGGATGGATGAACAGTGATGTGTGGGTGCGAGTGGTACCACCCAATGACACGTGTCCTCATGCCAGTGGCTGCTGACATCCTGCAAATAACAGCATGGCATGGCATGCATGGCATGGAATGGCATAACATGGCATGACATGGCATGGAATGGCATAACATGGCATGACATGGCATGGAATGGCATAACATGGCATGCATGGCATGGAATGCCATAACATGACATGACATGCGCGAAAATCGTCAACGTAGTCAACGTGGTCAACGTAGTCAACGTGGTCAATGTAGTCAACGTGTCAACATGTATGATGCCAAGAGCAGGAGCTGGGATAAAGAAGCAAGTAAAGCCTGGATTCATGGCAGCACGCATGGATGAACGACAGGAGAGCGTCGTTACCAGCCTTATGAAAACCCACGAGCAAGCTCGCAGGTAGATCTCATGCATAGTGGAAAGAAACAAATAAATACACCCACACGAAAGAAGGTTCCAAGCCAAGCCTACCTGTCAGCCTCGGCAGAAGCTGCTGCCAGCTGCTCGGGAGTCGTCTCGACTCGATCTTTTCTCCTGTCTGCCCGAACCTGCGGGGCAGCGCCCCAAATCTTTGCAGAGACCACTGGAGTTCGTCCACTGTAGTCGTACTATATTTCAGGACGGGGAGAAGCGAGTGGGCGGGGGAGGAGGGAGAGAAGAGAACTAAGGGAGATGGTAAGGGGTGGTAGCTTGATATGCGCATAGAGAATGAGTGGTAAGGGGTGAGAAGCGATAAGTTAGGGGTAAATTCTTTGTGGGGGTTGAGAAAAACGAACACGGGGACCAAACCAAACACAGTCAGTAGATTACTAGTCCGAATTCACACATCAGGAATGGTTCATATATGAATCACACATAACGAGCGGGTGTGCTCGTACCTATTAATTACCCCATTAATATTGCCGAGCAATTGACATAACAGGGTAACCACGAACAGACACATATCCCTACCACAAGGCTGCACGTGCAGTGACGGACCACAGAAGGCTGTATGAGCATTCTAAATGAACAGAGAAGCATGCTTGGAAACTTACCGCACACGGAAGCATAGTTTATGGCTATAATAACGAAAAAACGCCGGAATGAACGTGTTTCGGGAAGAGGCGTCACTGAAACGAGACGTTATTAAGAAGTAAAGGCTACGTACATCGATATCCCCGAGCAGCAGACCCATGATTTCCTCCGCTTCCGTGGAGAGCGCGTGCGTGGCACACGTCAGCCACACTTCTGACGAAACCACCACCTCCGTCAGCGACATCGCGGTGAACGGTAACCAGCTGTCGAAGAATACGCAACGGCGGGTCCTGAACGTGCGTCAATTACCGAACGGATTTCAATCGCTGTGCGATACTACTACTCCGCTGCCTTACAAATCTATACGTCGCTGATCTACGTTGGTGCGCGCGCGGTATGCCAGCACGACAAAATCTGGTGAACCATCTAGTTCTCGCATTTGATCCAACACACTTGGGTCGACAATTGCCAGCGGGATTGGTGGGGTGGGGGGGGAAGAGCTGAAGTGCAAATATGAAATCGGAACGAGTTGGACGTGCAAATACTCATCCATTTTCCTTTATATAAAAAACTACAAAGTCTACAGACGCTAATATATTATCGAGACGAGGAGTATACGCAATGGCAGTTACACCTCGATGTAAGCCTATTATCCGCGAAAGCGAAAACTTGCTTTCGTGAATTCGCTAGTTCTGTGCCAAATACCATTCGCGGGTTTGGTCTTGTTTCTTATAGAGAAAGCTACTCTGTTAACGAATCCACTCAACTCAAACCGCTGGGGCTCCTCTGATTAGTCACGTATCGTTACAAGCAAGTTTGGTGTCACGCGTCGCCTAGCGTACCTAAACGCAATCTGGAAGTTGAGCCCGAAACGGTGGTGGGCGTGAAGTTATCGAATGGGCCGTCCGATACTTTTTGCCTACCCAAGACACCCCGAGTAGAAATAAAATACCCGGACCTTTTTAACCCGACGTTCCTCGAGTGGGAGTACATACCCGTAATCAGAACTGGTGGAGCATGGACACTCGCATATTCTGATGACGTTTAGAAGCCTCGTAACCTCCACAGAACTCTTCAAGCAGTGTTGAATGTAACCTGTAAAGACAATTTGTATGTGCCAACTATCCGCCTCGACGCCTCGCTAGTCATGACCGGTGCGGGGTGCAATCAGCGCCACTGCGCTCCGTACCAGCCAATGGTTGGGCTGAGATTTTCGCGCTTCGATTTCTCCAGCCATCAAACCAAGCCGTGCGGGGCTGACTGCCCCTCCCATCGACGGCTCCTACCAAATTGCCCCTCCCTACATAAATCTGCGTCTCGAACAAGCGTTATCCATCACTCTTGCTTGTGTCTCGAGCTACTTTTCTATCAGTCCTTCTAGAGTTCTGCTAAGGCCTTCCCTAGCTAAGACATCCCCCGTCTCTCCCTTCAATTCTGCGAGTGGAGCCTAGAGGACTCTTCTCATAAGCTCTGCCGCTTCGCGAAGATGGAAATCACTTCGATCAAACGCGCTGCCATATGGATATTCGCTGGACTGGGCCTCGCGCTGGCCGTCATCTCCTGCTGCGACATGGCCGACAACTATTTCGTTCTTACCCACCCCGACGCTTGCATCGCTTCATCCAACGGAACCCACTGCGCGGCAGAATTTCGCGTAGCGCGGCGATCCCTAGGCGTCGTGCCGCAGACGCCGGAGCAAGTCACCTCAGCCATGATCGCAGCGGTGCAAGCGCAAGTCACTGCGCTAATCGCGGCGGCCGACGAGATTAAGACGAACAACGTGCGGGAAGATCATTTCACGAATGTCATGGCGAGGAGTTGCGCGCGCCAGGCCACCATCGCGCTGCGCTACCTGGGGCAGGCGGGCGATGCGGTGGAGGCGGGCACGAATCAGCTCGACGTGCCGTACTGGTTGGCGGCCGCCGACACGCAGATCGACAACTGCGTCGATGGCTTCCAGACTTTCTCGCCCGCCGCGCAAGGCTTCCCCGCCTACGTACACCTCGAGGTTCGTTACAAATCCTTCGATATAAAGGATTCGGCTGCATTGCTCGCATGTGCTGTTCGTTTTTCGCACCGACAATTTCTCCCCTGTGTTCCTTCGCCATAAAACAGCTTTTCTCCGCCAACAGCAGCACTGGTTTACTATCCGTTCTGAATCCCCATCCCCCCCTCCCCCACGTCCCCATTTCCCCTCCGCAGTATACGGCTAAGAAGGCGGGAAGCACGCTTGAAGCACTCCTATCCATCACCAACGCCGCCGCGAAAGCCGTAGCATCTGCAGCTACCAGCCTCTCATCAACGGAGGAGGATGTGGCGCCCGTGCGCGGACGCCGCATGGCCGTCCGATCCAGCAGCACGGGGAACGGCGCGATGGATTGGCTTGAGGAGGGCTTGTACGAGCAACTGCAGGAGCTTCAAACGAGGCTGAACGCCGAATTCGCCGCTGCCGGCGGAGAGGATTCGGAGGGCGGTTCTATCTCGAGGAGGCGTCTTCTCCACCACCACCACCATCACGACCATAATGACAACAACGACAACAAGGATAGCAATAGCAAAAGCAGCAAGAGCAAGAGCAGCAAGAGCAGCAGCAAGAGTAGCAAGAAGAAGGCGTCACCGAACGAGGGCCCGATGGTCGTCAGCGCGTCTCTCGCCGCCAGCGCGACCGTCGGATCCGGATACAAGTCGATCCAAGACGCCGTCGACGCCGCTCCCGGCGGCACGCGATTCGTGATTTACATTCCCGCGGGAACGTACAAGGAGCAGGTGGTTATCTCGACGACGGATATCGTTCTGATTGGTGCGGGCGCGGGTAAGACGATCATCACGGGCGACGCGAGTTACGGCAGCGGATCCGGGACCTTCGAGTCGGCTACGGTTGGAGTGGATAGCGACAGGTAATGGCGCCGTTTCCCCTTTCTGTCCTTACCTCTCTCCCCCTTTCTCTCTTTCCCCCCTTTATGTCAATCGTTTCTGTTCTCACGCACAGCTTCCCACACTTCTTCCCGCGTCGCCTCATCATACACCCACCCACTCGGTGACCACACAACAGGTTCGTCGCCTTCGGTATCAAGTTCGTCAACACGGCAGGCCCCCAGAATCACCAAGCAGTTGCGTTTCGCGCCACCGGCGACCAAACAGCTCTTTTCAACTACGCGTTCGAGGGATCGCAAGATACATTGTATGTGGACGCGGGCCGCCAGTACTACAAGAATTGTTACATTGGCGGCTCGCAGGATTTCATTTTCGGCGACGCGGCCGTTGTTATCGATGCGCCCAAGATTCAGCTTCACCCGAGCCCCTCTTTCGGGACTCTAACGGCGTCGGGACGGGCCAAGGACACCCCGACGGGGATTGTGATTCGCGACGCTGTTGTCTCGGCCGACAAGGGCACGACCAAGGTATATCTGGGCCGTCCGTGGAAGAAATGCGCCTTCACGGTCTTCATCAACACCTTTCTCCCCGCGGTGATCGAGAAGGACGGGTGGCTGTCGTGGAACGAGGGCAGCTGCATGTTTCTGGCGGAGGCGGGCAGCAAGGGGCCGGGCGCCGCGTCGTCCCGCGCGGACTGGGTGGACCCTGGGATCATCACGAGCGCCAGCGGATACGACGCCAACACCTTCACGCAAGTCAACTCCTGGCTCAAGCTGTCGCGCAAGGGCTTTCTCTTAGCACACCTAATTGCCGGAGCCAGTAGGAGTAGCAGCAGCAGCAGGAGATTCTGTAGCAGTCACGAGCACACCCGCTATGCCGTCGGTGCTGGGGCGCCAAACCCGCCTAGGATTTGATAGTTTCTTTTTGACGCAGCTGCTTGTAGGAGGCGATAAATTTGTGCTGATCCGTGAAAGTTTTTTGCAGGAGTTGGTAATAAATAACTGTAGACTCGCTTTGTACCGTGTTAGTGGATTATTTATAACGCTCCCCCAACTTATTTCCTTCATATGTTGCTGAAAGTTCTCTAAAGAAGCACTGGCAGAGCAGGTGGGGGCTTGGATCGGGTGCTGCTTTACAGCAGACAGCACTTGAGAGCTCCATATCTCTAGGTATATCTGAGTGTAGGTATGTGACACGTGAACATGTGTTGAACAGCCAAGCTAGACCATCGCCTTGGTTTCTTCTTTCAGTTGGCAAAACGCCTCTGAGGAACACGGGCAGCACAGGTGGGGGTTTCGCACAGCAAACACCAGTATACAGGCTGCTATTCTCTGTACTTAGTTTGTCTGAAGGTTCTGAAGGTGACATGTGAGCAGGTGTTAAAAGAGCCAAGCTAGACGATCGTCTTTGTCTCTTCTTTCAGTTGCTGAAACACCAGCAGAGCAGGTGGGGGTTTGGTACGTGCTGATTCACAGCAAACACCACTATACAGGCTGCTATGCTCTGTACATAGCTTGATACCGTATGTCTGAAAGTAACATGTGAGAGGGTGTCGAACAGTCATGCTAGACAACCGTCTTCGCCTCTTCTTTTAGTTGCTGAAACGCCTCTAAGAAGCACCGGCAGCACAGGTGGGGGTTTGGTACGTGCTGCTTCACAGCAGGCACCACTAAACAGGCTGCTATGCTCTGTACAAGGTACCGTATGTCTGAAAGTGACATGTGAGCGGGTGTTGCTGAACAGTCAAGCTAGACGATCGTCTTCGCCTCTTCTTTGAGTTTATGAAAGGCCTCTAAGTAGCACCAGCAGAGCAGGTGGGGGTTTGGCACGTGCTGCTTTACAGCAAACGCCACTATACAGGCTGCTATGGTCTGTACAAGGTACCGTATGTCTGAAAGTAACATGTGAGCAGGTGTTGTCAAACAGTCATGCTAGACGATCGTCTTCGCCTCTTCTTTGAGTTTATGAAAGGCCTCTAAGAAGCAGCGGCAGAGCAGGTGGGGGTTTGGCACGTGCTGCTTTACAGCAGATACCACTATGCGGGCTGCTCCCTTGTATGTCTGAATGTGACATGTGAGCGCCTGGTAAGGATGACAATAACGAGGATAGATTCCAAAAGACGGTTTTAGATGCATGATGATGCCAATGAAACGTAGACCAATGGAGAAGGAAGGAAAGGATGACAATAAGGAGGAAATACTCGAAGCTGATACATTGCAAATATAGTACTCACATATGAAATATATATTAAAGATGCGGTACACTCACATGGTTGCTGCCAACGACCGAAGGAATAATGGCAGAGATGGGGTGGCCGTGCAGTGCCACCTCTTCTAGCGGCCCCACCACATTGGAGAGCGACAGGGTGGTCTGATCCAAGCTGCGGCGGGTGAGAGCTGCCACTGGCTGGTGATGGGGAAGCAGGATACGGGGAGAGAGGGAAAGGGAGCAAGCAAGCAAGGGAGTAAGGGAGTAAGGAAGGGGTCAATATTGCGTGGCCCCACCACATTGGAGAGCGACAGGGTGGTCTGATCCAAGCTGCGGCGCGTGAGTGCTGCCACTGGCTGGTGGGAGGAGATGGGAGCACAGAAGGAAGGGCGGGTAAAGGAACAAGGGAGCAAGGGAGCAAGGGAGTAATGGAACAAGGCATAAGCAGGCGCCCATTCAGGTACGTCCAGTGAGCCATCAGCAAGCCCTTCCTTCCACCACACAACACAGAGAGTCCCTTGTGGAACCACGCGTAGAAAGTGCATTTTTGAGACGTCCCTTGAGGAACCACGTCAAAAAAATGCACTTTCTACACGTCCAGCGAGCCATCTCCGAGCCCTTCCTTCAACCACACGACACAGAGAGTCCCTTGAGGAACCACACAGCGCCCTCACTGCCCCCAGCCACTCTTCTCAGTGCTCGACTCATCTCACCCCATCCACATCACCTCAACTCAACCTATCACGCAGCTCACCTTACACCCCAAGAGTGGCATGAGCAGGCGCGCCCGTTCAGGTACGTCTGGTGAGCCATCAAGAAGTCCTTCCTGGAAGCACACAGCGCTGCTAGTGCCCGGCCCACCAAGAGAAGCAGCACTGCGCCTAATACCCTCACACCTCACCTTGCACCCCACGAGCGGCATGAGCAGGCGGCCATTAAGTTACGTCCAGTGAGCCATCAGGGAGTCCTTCCTCGAAGCACACAGCACTGTTTGTGCCCACCGGGAGCACGAGCACTGAGACTATTTCCCTCTCCGTCTAAACTCACCTCACCTCACTTCACCGCACCTCACCCCATCTCGCCTCTCACCTTGCACCCCACGAGCGGCATGAGCAGGCGGCCATTGAGGTACGTCCAGTGGGCCATCAATGAGTCCTTTCTTGAAGCACAAAGCGCCCTCACTGCCCTTAGCCTATCCACCTCCTCCTTCCTACTGCAGCTAGACTTGTCTGCATCACCCTTGCCGTTCCTGGCCTCTGAGTCACTCTGCTGACGTGGCGATTCGCCATTCCTCGCTTCTGAGTCACTCTGCTGACGTGGCGAATCGCCGTTCCTCGCTTCTGAGTCGCTTTGCTGACTGGGTCGGTAGCTCCTCCCCTGCGCTCTGCTGTAGATGGGCAGTGGCAGCAGGATATTCCCAAGGTGGTTGCCCCACCGTGCCTGTGAACTCAGACAGTCACAAATGACTTTCTCAGATGGTACTGCTGGGGGTGCTTGCACACTTGCAAGGCACTCACATGCGAGACAGAGATCAGCATACAGCATAGCAACAGCGGCCAGCACTTACCTGCAGGCCTGGGCTGGTCGCAGGTTGAAGAGTGCTAGTGCACTGACCCGCCTTGTTGTGCCCGTGCCAGTTCCCCCACGCACATGCAAGGGACTCACACACTGCCCACAGCTCACCTTAGCATAGCACATTGTACCAACAGCAAGCAGCCCCCACCTGCAAGCCTGGTGCTGGTCGCAGGTTGAAGAGTGCTAGTGCACTGACTCACTTTGTGCTCAGGCACCACGTGGTACCGCATGATACCACATCGTACCAGCAGCAACCAGCCCGTACCTGGAGCCCTGGTGCTGGTCGCAGGTTGAAGAGTGCTAGTGCACTGACACGCAGCCGGTGAGGCAATGGGGCCTCTGAAAGGAGAGAAGATATATATGAGAGGAGAGGGGGGACAATTAGGGGAAATCAGCGATTGACGAGGCATGTGGAAGAGGAATTTTTGCTTAAAATGTGGCGGTAACAGCTAATTAATTACCGCATGTGTTGTTTTGCGGTTGGCAATGCGATTCGACATGAGTATAATCTTGAATGTGCTATTCTGCCCACATGCTATTCTGAGCAAGCTAACACTGATTATCTGCACGTCATTGGCGGTTCCTTGAACAACATCACTCCTCCCTGTTGAGCACTGACGAGAGCAAGGTATCGCTCGATTCCCCAAGGTGCCTTTTGAGTCAACTCACGTGCCCACTCGCGCCCACCCGCGCCCACCCGCGCCCACACGCCCACATGCGCCCACATGCGCCCACATGCGCCCACATGCGCCCTGACACACACACATACCTCCCTGCTGAGCACTGACAAGAGCAAGGTATCGCTCAATTCCCCCGGAAATGACTGCCAGCATGCCGTCATTTACCGTCTGCAGAGGAGAGAAGAGACAGAGGGTGGAGCAGAGGGGTACGGAAAAGCTAAGATTGATCAAATGACAGAGGAGCGTCTCCCAAAGAAAGTCTACCTCGCCGTTTACTGCCTTGCAAAGCAGGGACACGGTAAAACGGGCAGTAGGATCCGCACTTTGCCTCAAATGTGAAAACAAATCAGTGTAGATCACCCTTTCTTGAATCACCGCGGCCTTCCTTGATTGGCCTGCAAATGTTTGACGCCTCCCCAGGCTCATCTCAGGCGACACGGCAACGCAGCGCTGCAGAGCGTGGCAGTGCAGGTGGAGGGCAGCAACCTGCCTCACATACAAAATCAAATCAGCGTAGATCACCCTCACTTGACGACCCACCATTCCTCTGACTGCCCTGTGAATGGCTGAAACGAGCTCTAGGCTCATCTCAGGGGACACGGCAACGCAGCGCGGCAGAGCGTGGCAGTGCAGGTGCGTGGCGTGGCAACTCACAACTGACATAAAATGAAATCCAATCACTCTACATTGACTGACCACGCCTGTCAGTCCCTTGCGGATAGTCAAAACGTCCTTCGGGCTCATCTCAGCAGACACCTTTGAAGCAGCAGAGCAGGGCGTGGCAGTGCAGGTGCGAGTATGTGTGATGAAATAGAAGCACCTCACGTCAAAGCAAGCTTGACGTACCCTTCCCCTTTGACTCACCGCACCCTACAGGCAGACTGCCTTGCGAATGGCTGAACTGAAACGTCCTCCAGGCTTATCTCAGGGGAAGCAGCGTGGCAGGGCGTGGCAGTGCAGGTGGGGGCAGGGCATCAACTTTCCTCACATATGAAATCGAATCGAATCAAATCATCCTTTTCTTAACTCACCGCGCCCTTGACTGCCCTGCGAATGGCCGAAACGTCCTCTAGGCTCATGTCAGGGGAAACTGCAAAGCAGCGCGGCAGGGCGTGGCAGTGCAGGTGGGGCCCTCCCTTGATGGGCGTTGGTGTGTCGGAGAGGCACAGAAGCACTGCGAGGTACTCGATGATCTGAAGGGGAGGGGGGGGTGGGTGGGGAAACTGGTCCTTGATTGATGGGCATCAGCCAGAGTGGCCATGCGGGTGGGGCCCTCCCTTGATGGGCGTTGGCGTGTCGGAGAGGCACAGAAGCACTGCGAGGTACTCGATGATCTGAAGGGGAGGGGGGGGTGGGTGGGAAACTGGTCCTTGATTGATGGGCATCAGCCAGAGTGGCCATGCGGGTGGGGCCCTCCCTTGATGGGCGTTGGTGTGTCGGAGAGGCACAGAAGCACTGCCAGGTACTCGATGATCTGAAGGGGAGGGGTGGGCGGAGGAACAGAACCTTGTAGATGTGCACCCTAACTCATAAGACCCTTGTAGATGTGCATGGGCACCAGCCAGAGTGGCCGTGCAGGTGCGGTCCTCCTTTGATGGGCGTTGGGGTATCAGCAACCCACAGAAGCACTGCACACATGCAACCCACAGAAGCACTGCACAGAAGCACTGCCAGGTACTCAAGGATCTGAAGGGAAGGTTATGAACGGAATCACATGCATGCAGGCAGCACAAGGGAATGCAGGGGGGGTGGGGAGTGAGGCGTTGCATCGGCTGTGTTACCACTTGAGGCGTTGCATCAGCTGTGTTACCATTTGAGGCGTTGCATCGGCTGTGTTACCACTTGAGGCGTTGCATCGGCTGTGTTACCACTTGAGGCGTTGCATCGGCTGTATTACCACTTGAGGCGTTGCATCGGCTGTGTTACCACTTGAGGCGTTGCATCGGCTGTGTTACCACTTGAGGCGTTGCATCGGCTGTGTTACCACTTGAGGCGTTGCATCGGCTGTGTTACCACTTGAGGCGTTGCATCGGCTGTGTTACCACTTGTGAGCAACGCACAGCCATTGCAGCTGACGAGTCGGCTCTACTTGAGGGCAGTTACAGCAAACCACTAGAGGGCAGTTACAGCAAACCACTTGAGGGCAGTTACAGCAAACCACTTGAGGGCAGTTACAGCAAACCACATGAGGGCAGTTACAGCAAACCACTTGAGGGCAGTTACAGCAAACCACTTGAGGGCAGTTACAGCAAACCACTTGAGGGCAGTTACAGCAAACCACTTGAGGGCATTACAGCAAACCACTTGAGGGCAGTTACATACTTGCTGTGCTGTCTTGCCTGCCACACACCTGCAGTGTAGTGTTGACTGCCACTCGCACCATCCGCCACACCGCCACCACCACACGCACAAGCGCAACCCACAGGAGCTCCAATAACCTTTTGGACAAAGCTTATTGCTGGGTGAAGTGCCACACACCTGCAGTGTAGTGTTGACCGCCACACGCACCACCCGCCACACCGCAAGCACCACACGCACAAGCGCAACCCACAGGAGCGCCAATAACCGTCGGAACGGCACCTTTTTCCTGAAAACTTCTGCCGCTGCCTCTTTTCCCTTGCTGCTTCCCCCCTCACTGCTACTGCTTCTGTTCCTACCACTGCTGCTACCATCGCTGCTGCTCAAGGGTGGCTCGGAGGAGGAGGGGGTCTTTTGCCTGGCCGATGCACCCAAGCTGCCTGGTAGGGTCGGAAGGAGGTCCGAGTTGTCGGTCCGGCGGGTGGCAGCTAGCAGGAGTTACATGAGCGAGATTCCGTCGCCCAGGGCATGGTGGATCCTGGTGGGGCGAGAAGGAGAAGAGTGCAAGGCGAAGAGAATGACACAAGGAGAGGGGTTTTGGGTGTGGGTGACACAGCAGCGACATGAGAGAGATTCCGACGCCCAATGCATGGTGAATCCTGGTGATGCTGGGAAGAGGAAGGAGTGTTAGGAGAAGAGAGTGCGGAGGAATGAGAAAGAATCCGTCGACCAGTGTATGGTAGATGCAGGGGAGGTGAGAAGGAGAGGGACACAAGGTGAACTAGACAAATAGATTGTACAGGAATAGCGGGGGCGCAAAGAAGTATACTGACAGGCATCCTTCACGCCTATGATCCCTCAATCACAAAAATATTCACCTGAAGATTCACCTGATGCCTCACCTGAAGGCCAACTCGAGCATTTACCTGAACATTCGCCTGAAATTTCACCCAATGACAACTCACCTGAACACGGCTGCAGAATGGGGCTGAAGTGGCTCGCATGGACGGCTGCCAGATGGCAGGTGAATGAGATGCACCTGACGCAGTCAGTCAAGGGAGTCAGCACGAGTCAACAAGAGTCAACAAGAATCAAAGTGAGGGCTAACCAGCGAGCAGTCACAGGGCATCCGAGGAGACAGGTCTCAAGAAAAGGCATGTTTCCAAATTTCAGCCAAGCAAAAACATGGGACCCCAACATAAAGGGAAATTGGCTCAACTTAACAGACAAAACATGCAAGCTGACATGCTGCACAAACTGACAAATCTGTCCGAGTGTTACAGAGCTACCACTAGGTTCAGGGCAGCCCACCTGCCAGAGCGGACGGTTGGGATCAAACGGAGGCAGTGACTGCAATCGCACCACGTGAGATTCCAATGCTCCCTCTCCTTCCCCTCCCGCTCCCCTCTCTTCTTCTCCTCCTTTTCCTCCTTTTCCTCCTTCCTCCCCCCCAACGTGGCACTGTGAGGAATCCACGTCAGCAGCTCCCTCTTCCACGACATGGTACTCTAGATCCACGTCAGCAGCATCCATAAGCACCCACGCTGGCACGCCACCAAGGCTAGAGACCTGTGGGAGCAGAGAGGGATGAGAGTAAGGGTGAACAAGGAGCGATGTGGTGCGGTCGGGAAGGGTGGGGAGGAATTGGGTGGAGTTGGGAGGGTAAGAGGATGAGGACGAGTGAGGGAGGTGAAGTTGGAAAAGGGGGAAGCGGGAGGTGGGGAAAGGGAGAGGGTGGGAAAGGATGAGGAGATAACAAAAAAGCACCATGCAACAATGGTATTAGAAAAGGACGCCTTGATAATACCCAACAAGCGCCGAAATGCTTAACTATGCATCTTAATACCCACCAGGCGGCTGTGGAAGCGCGGGTGTTGCAGCAGTGTGTGCTGCAGGATGTCCCTTAGCTCTTTAATCTCCATTTCGTTCTTAAACTCCAGCACACATAGAATTGTAGTGTAGAAGCCGTCGTCCAGAAACAGTCGCCCGACGGGCGACACCGGTTCCGGGGTTGCTTGTAACGAGGATAGACTCGCGGGGTCTGTGGAGTGCACGTGCGCTTTTGGCACGTGGAGGGTTTGTCGTTTCTGGTCGTCTCTACCGAGCCGCAGCTTCCTAAGGCGAAGACCCTCGTTGACGCGAGTCTCGTCAACGGTCACTGTTTTGACACTACTGCGCGACTCGGCTGCGACAGCCGGTAAGGGGGGATCTGCATCGAGATTGGTCAGGTCTCCAGGAGCCATGGCGACACGGAGTGAGAAACTGCCACGTTACAAACGCAACGGATCGTCTGAAGCTTATCACTCTTACACAAAAGGTTTAAAACTCGTGGGCTAAGAATTGAGGTGATGAATTGAGAGCGGAAACTGAGAGCGCGCCAACCTAAACTGCTCGGTAGGAAGACAAGATGAGCTGCTGAAAACTAGAGCCTTCGGAAATTATGGGAGGGAACTTCGGGCGTACGCGAGTAAGTAGCGTAAATTTCGGAGCTTGGTGGAAGCATTACATCATAATATACCGTAAGAGAAAGCAAACGGGTGCGGCTCGACAGTGGAAAATGGACGGTTGAGAGCAAGAATTGCGATCAATAGGGACGGCTGGAATGCTTTTTTCGGTAACACGTGTGAGGCACCGGAGGTATTTGCAACATGCAGAGACAACCAATCACGCTGCAGAACGTGTGAGAGGAACTCTTACAGGAAAAATAATCTGACATACAAATAGCTGTAAACCAGTCATAACAAAAAGAATTAAGATGATAATTTACTACACAATCCCGCAGCAACCCAACAAAGCGAGGCAACCTTTAGGCGAGGCGTGTGTCAGGTTTGTGCGACCAACGGCGAGAGCCTGACGTATGTTAGAGGGCCCTACGACAGCAAGGGCCCTCGATGACCTTTGACTTGGCAGGTCGGCGCCTAACGACTGAGTCTACTCGGCACCGACGCACGAGTTCGGTGGCGGTCATTAGTGACTACGGGTGACTGTGAGCTACTGCAGCGAACTCGGCGGAATCGGTGCTAGGAATGACGAGTCTTGGGGGTCGTAGGTGCCTTGCTTGTGAGGCACGCTGCTCACTTGCTGTGTTGGCAGGAGTAGCGTGCACGGTGAGACATTCCTGTGCCGAGTTGGGTTGGAAATGTGCGGGGCGCGTTCACCCACCTGCACAGCACTTTCGTGTGGGTTGGGTTACTCGCAGCGCCACGCAACAATTGTGCAACTCTTGCTTGCCTATATATGTTTGTGTTTGCTTGTGTGCTTGATAATTGATATTGCAATTCTACTTGGCCCAAATGCTACTTCAATTCTCACAAAGTCCTTAGAGGCAAACGCTACCAAAACTCTACCAAGTTGCTGGCGCAACATCATTCCCATAGCAGAGACTCTCTCGCTATCGCTACGCTCTCTAATATATTCCTTCATGGTGCGGTGAGCGTGGAACGAACACGCATAGATTTCCGTCGACGTTCGTTAGTATACTCGCCTTGGCGTGCGGCGTTAGTGAAGGGCGCTCATTAATTTAAGTTGAACCTCTCTTAATTTCCCTCCAGTTACGTTCTCGGACCCAAGGATAGGGCGCTTGGTAATTTATTACCATTCGTCTGAGGACCCTTGTGAGGTGACCCCGAGACGAGGGATTCAAGGAAGGGACAATTTATTTTATTTTGTGGTACCTTGTAGAGACGTCGTAGAGGATGAGTACGGAGGAGACGAACGTGGAGGCCGGTAGTCTTCGCGCACTAGAGGAGGATCTCGAGGCCCGTCATTCTCGTGGTGAGCTTAGTGATCTAGAATACGAGCTCATGATGGAGGGATTACGCTCTCGTCAGCGTCGCGACCATCCCTCGCCACGTGTAGAGAATGTTGAGCAAGCTGCGGGAGGTACTAGTGCGTGGGATATGCTTGGCGATGGCGGAAATAGCGATGACGAGGAGCTTGATGGGTTGATGTCGCGTGGGGTCCTGCGAGGACCAACTCGGTTTAGTACGGCTAGCGTCGGCGGTGTACAGGAGCGTGTTCATCGTGCAGCAGCGTCACGAGAGCATGCGAATGTAGGACGGCGGAGCGTTGCTGGAGGAGGAAATGCGGAAGAGTACGATAGTGAGGCTATGCCGGGCGTTACCCCGATTGGATCGATGTCGAGGGACGAGGGAATAGCCCCCAACTATGGCTTCTTCAAATTCACTCCAGACAAGATCGTCGTCCCTAGGCCATTAGAAGGACGTCACGACCTGTCGACGTGGACAGAATCGATCGAGCCGCAGCTTGAGATCGCTCAGTTAAAGCGATTCATAGATGGCACCACTCCCATTCCACCAGCGCGTACACTTGCACATCTCTCTCAGTTCCGCGCGATGCAGTTGCTAACGTTCACCACCATTTCCCGATGCTGCTCCCCAACCGTACAGATCGCCCTTAAGGCGTGCCGCTTCAAGGTAGATGCCGGCTTTCAGGCATGGCAGTTTATCATGCGCACGTATATGGCGAAGGACGACCTGTACATAGGTCAGCTAGAGCAGGCGCTCACTAACCTCGAGATGGGAGAGCATGAGTCCGCTACGTCCTATTGCAACCGTGCGCAGCAGATCCTAGTGAACCTGAGGATGGCCGGCGTAGATTACTCGCAGGCATCGTACATTACTCACGTTGTGAAGGGGTTGCCGCAGCAGTACAACCTCTTACGCAGGATGCTGAAGTTGCCGCAGGTGCGCAAGGAGTTGGACGAGGACACCCTCGCTAGCTACATCATCGAGGAGGAATGTACGCTGGCGGCGGAGGGACGAAAGGACCAATTCCTTCCCCAGGCTAACCAGGTCTTTACCAAGAAGGGTAAGCCCCAATTCCAGCAGACTTCATTCCCTTCCCCTCCCACTACGGCACAGCAGCAGCAGCCTAAGACTGGGGGTGGGGTTGGTGGGGGAGGGGAGAAGTGGAAAGGGGGTAAGGATGGCCAGCCGAAGGGGGGGAAAGGGGGCTTCAAGAGGAAGTGCTATGTGTGTGGACAGACAGGGCATGTTGCTAAGTACTGTCAGCAGCGGGCGGATAAGGAGGCAGACACTAGTGGAGAGGGTTCTGGAGGTAGCAGCGGAAAGGGGGGTGATGGCTCTAAGGGGAGCGGGCAGTCATCATGTGCGATGGTGAAGCCCGTTGTGGAGCAGACTCCTCTCGTTGTGCTAGAGCCTGAGGCCGGGGAGGGCTTACAGGCTGTTGCAGCTGCTGTGAAGGCGAACCCGAGCGTCGTGCTGCTTGATAGCGGATGCTCCCACCATCTCATGGGAGATCGTTCTGCCTTTGTGGAGATGAGCAGCGGCGGCAGTATTAAACAGGTTACCGGCTTCAACGGCGCTCTTCAGGAGGTGCAGGGGCGGGGCACAGTCGCTCTTCTTGGAGAGGGGGGCAGGCGTGTCTTGGTGCCGGACGTGCTGTACGTACCAGGAGTGCAGGCGAGTCTTCTCTCTGCTGGGCAGCTGCGTGATAGTGGTGTGCAGCTGCTGGATGCCGGGGATGTGACTTTGCTGCGGGCACCAGATGGATCGCTCCTTGGTCGTGCGGAGTTCAAGGGGCGTGTTCTCTGCACGAACTTCCAGCCGTGTTCGACGCAGCAGCAGGAAGGCGAAACGGTGGCACTTCGTACCTTGGCGACGGGCGTGCGGTCTAAGGGGGACCTGTGGCATGCGCGTATGGCACACGTTGGTATTGATGCCATCGAGCGCACAGCGGCTCACGGGTCAGTGAAGGGCTTGGATTTGGAGAAGGGGGGCAAGTCAGGCATACCTTGTGTCTCCTGTGTTGGGGGAAAGATCACTCGTCATACCTTTCCTTCTGTGGGAGAGGAGGAGGATGAGTTGCTCGGGGTGGTGCATGCTGACCTGTGTGGCCCTTTCCGTGAAGCAGCTAAGGATGGCAGCCGCTACTTCTTGGTGCTGAAAGATCGCAAGACGCGGTTCGTCTGGGCCTACCCTTTGGCCAAGAAGAGCGATGCATTGGCGGCGTTCCAGAAGTGGCTCCCGATGGCAGAGAGGCAGTGCAAGACCACGGTGAAGGCGCTGCGCACTGATCGGGGTGGTGAGTTCCTGGGCCACGACTTCACGCTCTTCCTCGACGAGAAGGGGATCATCCACGACCTCACGTGCCCGTATACGCCGGAGCAGAACGGAATGGCCGAGAGGGAGATGCGCAGCATTGTGGAGGCGGTGCGGACGATGTTGCTGCATATGGGTGTGCAGCATCACTGGTGGCACCTGGCGTTGGCGCAGGCCGTCTGGGTGCGCAACCGCGTGGAGCATGCCTCGCTGCCCTCTGGTGTGACGCCGTACGAGCTCGCCTTTCGACGCAAACCCGATGTCAGTATGGTGCGTGTCTGGGGCTGCATGCTGCAGTACATGGTGCCGCAGTCGCAACGTGGGGGGAAGCTGGCGCCCAAGGCTCGCTGGGGGTTGCACTTGGGGGTGTCAGCAGCGAGCAAGGGCTGGACCGTGCTGGACTTGGAGTCCAACCGCCTCATCACCACTGTGGACGCTGTGTTCTATGAGACCATGTCTTTGGCAGGATGGAAGGCTTGGCATCAGCAGGAGCATGGGGGGCGTCCGATGCCCTATGAGCCCCTTCCCTCTTTCTTCCCGATCGCTCTAGAGGAGGTGGAGGAGGAGGACGTGGTCGCACCTCCTGCTATGCCCTATGTCCCTACCTCGGTCCCCACCCCACCTCCGCCTTCAGTTTACCCTCGTGTGGTTCCCCCTGCCCCACCTTCTTCATCCTCACCCCCCTTGGCTTCCCCTCCTCCTCCTATTATCCCCTCTCCCCTTCCACCCTCCATCCCTCCTACACCTGCTCCACCCTCCTCTTCGTCTTCCACGGCACCGCCCGTTGGTGAGGGGGGGATAGTGGTGCCGCCGTCCATGGTGATCACCGACGGGCAGCGCCTTGTGACTGAGCAGCTGCAGGATGAGAGTAGTATGGATGGAGTGCAGCAGAGTGGGGGGATGGAGATAGGGGAGCAGCAGATAGAGGTGCAGCAGAGTGGGGAGCTGCAGATAGGGGAGGAGCAGATTGGGGACCAGCAGATGGTGGACCAGCAGCCAGGGGAGCAGCAGACAGGGGAGCCGCAGACGGGGGAGCAGGAGATGTGGGGAATTAGAGATGGTGGTCGTGTGTTGGTTTCTGGGACGACCACTGCACCACTGCGTCGCTCCACTCGCATCACTCGTGGTGTCCCGCCTGTTCGATACGCTTGGGCTGTAGTGGTTGAGCCAGCGGGCTTGGATGACGAGGAGGAGGACGAGGAGTGGACTGACCTGGACCCGGACGTGGCAGCTGACCCTGAGAGGCAGTGGGACATAGCGAAAATGACAGTGAAGGAGGCCTTGGGCTGCTGGAAGGGAGACAAGGTGAAAGAGGCGATGGATGAGGAGATGCGGAGCTTGATTGAGCAGGGGACGTGGGAGTTGGTTCCGCGTCCGCCAGGGGTGAATGTGATGAAGAACCGCTGGATTTTGAACACCAAGTTCCGACCAGATGGGATAGTGGAGCGTGAGAAGGCGAGGCTGGTGGTGAAGGGGTTCACGCAGGTGGCAGGGGTGGACTATGAGGAGACGTACGCCCCTGTGGGAAGCTATGTGACGGCGCGTGTGCTTCTGGCGATTGCAGCTGCACTTGATTAGGACCTGATGCAGCTGGATGTGAAGAACGCGTTCCTCCATGGCGTGCTAGACCGAGACCTTTACATGGAGCAGCCGAGCTACTACGAGGATGGGACTCCTCGTGTATGTAAGTTGGTGAAGAGCCTGTATGGGCTCAAGCAGAGCCCGATGTTGTGGTATGAGGCCTTGGATGGGGTGCTGCTTGGGGCTGGATGGAAGAAGAGCCAAGTGGATGAGGCTCTGTACTTCAAGAGTGATGCTGAGGGGGAGATGTGCTGGCTGCTGGTGTATGTGGATGACTTGCTTGCTGCCAGCCGCAGTCAGAGCATGCTGGGGGAGCTGTGTGACCTGCTGCAGGGTGCGTTTCAGCTGCGGGAGATTAGCCCAGTGGAGAAGTATCTGGGGTTGCAGCTGATTCGGGACAGGCCTACGAGGAGGCTGTGGCTGCACCAGGGGGCCTATGTGGACAAGGTCCATAGGCGCTTCTTTGACGGGGAGCAGCCGCTGCGAGTGCCTCACACCCCTCTTTCCTCTGACCCTTTCAGTGTGCAGACCTTCGAGGATGTGGGATGGCAGTCTCGCCAGGAGGAGGAGTACAGGCAGAAGGTGGGATCCTTGCAGTTCGCGGCCTGTACCACCCGTCCCGACATCTCGTTCGCCTGCAGCAAGCTGGGGTCGGGCCAGACTGTGCGGAGTGATCAGCACTGGAAGGAGTTGGACCGGTGCTTGACGTACTTGGTGGGGAGCAGGGATGTGGCGCTGGAGTTTGGTGGGGGGCCGGAGTCCTTGGAGCTGGTGGGCTACGCCGATGCTGATGATGCAGGGGACAAGCAGAACAGGACCAGCACAGGTGGCTATGTCTTCGTGCTCGGGGGTGCTGCTGTCTCATGGGCGAGCCAGCGGATTCGTTGCGCCACCCTTTCCTCCACTGAGTCTGAGTACGTTGCTGCTGTGGAGGCTGGGAAGGAGGCGCGCAGGCTGCGCTTCCTGCTGGCAGAGTTTCAACTGCTGAGGAGTGAGGAGCCCACGACTCTCTTTGTGGACAACTCCTCCGCCATTTCAGTGGCAGGTGGCATGGGGCTCAAGGGGAGCCTCAAGCACATGGAGCGTCGTCACATGTGGCTGCAGCACATGGTCAAGCGCAGGAAGCTGCAGCTGCAGTACATCCCTACGAGCGAGCAGCCTGCTGACTACCTCACAAAGGCATTGCATTTCCCCGCCTTCAGTCGTTGCTTCGAGGCTGTGGGGCAGGTGCGGCTCTCGAGTGAGGGGAGTGAAGACCTAGACACTCCATGATGTGGATGGTGCCATGGCCTATCCATGGCTGGTGCGGTGCGTGTTTACACTTTGAGCGTGTTTCGTTTGTGTGTATCCCTTTGTTTTGGTGTGTATGTGTGTATGCATGCCCTGTGATTATAAAGGGCCTTGCTGTAGTATGGCAGGGGAGTGTTAGAGGGCCCTACGACAGCAAGGGCCCTCGATGACTTTTGACTTGGCAGGTCGGCGCCTAATGACTGAGTCTACTCGGCACCGACGCACGAGTTCGGTGGCGGTCATTAGTGACTACGGGTGACTGTGAGCTACTGCAGCGAACTCGGCGGAATCGGTGCTAGGAATGACGAGTCTTGGGGGTCGTAGGTGCCTTGCTTGTGAGGCACGCTGCTCACTTGCTGTGTTGGCAGGAGTAGCGTGCACGGTGAGACATTCCTGTGCCGAGTTGGGTTGGAAATGTGCGGGGCGCGTTCACCCACCTGCACAGCACTTTCGTGTGGGTTGGGTTACTCGCAGCGCCACGCAACAATTGTGCAACTCTTGCTTGCCTATATATGTTTGTGTTTGCTTGTGTGCTTGATAATTGATATTGCAATTCTACTTGGCCCAAATGCTACTTCAATTCTCACAAAGTCCTTAGAGGCAAACGCTACCAAAACTCTACCAAGTTGCTGGCGCAACATCATTCCCATAGCAGAGACTCTCTCGCTATCGCTACGCTCTCTAATATATTCCTTCAACGTAAACGTTGACAGGGTAGGTAAATCGCCGAACATCGACCGACACTTTTCGACGATATATGTTTCGTGCGACATTTCTTGCAGACGGATTTTGCGGCCGTGCCTAGAGCAGCAGTATACGTGCTAGTAGCCAGACTGATGGAAGTTCTTTTAGATTCGGGATAGCAAAAGCTCGTTGATCACAATTGTTACCGTCTGCTTATTGTGGACTGTGATTCTCCTGCCCTGCGACTTCGTGTAGGCTCGCAGCGGTATTGTCGCAGTCGCAGCGCAGCGTCGCTCAGCCATGACAGGCGACGGGCCAGGCGACGCATCGCGAAACGGGGGCCCGCCATCAGTGCCAACCGGGTCAGGTGACCAGCCGAGCCTTGTCAGCGAAACGAAAAACTTAACAGAATATTCAACGGAAGCTTTGACGGAGTCGACGGCGAAGTCTGCAAAATTGGGGAGTTCGGTAAATCCAGGCGACACGAAGACCAAGGCAGGCGAAGCGACAGCAAGTGCAGACGACCTATTAGATGCGTATTTAAAACGAGTCATCCACAAAGGGAGAAAGAAGGAAGCGCGAGTCACAGCTGGCGAAGCCACTCCGGCTGCAGGATCAATCGGTTCTGATGGATCCAGTCAGGTGGGCTCGACTGGTGAATCTTCCCGGAAGGTGTCAACCCCTGAGAGATCTGCAGCAGGAGAAACGGGTGGTGAGAAATCGCAAAGGCAGATGGGAGCATCTGGGATTGGGTCTGAGAAATCCCTAAAGGACGCGCAGCAGCGAAAAGACAGGGGGAAAGCTGTTGTGGAGGCTGCAGCAGGGGGGGACGGCGGCGGGGGAAAGGGGAGGGGGGAAGTACGCGCAGGGAAAAGCGGAGGCGGGGAGTTAGGCGCAACGGGGGCATTGGGCGGAACGGGGGAACTGGGTACAAGTCGAAGCGGAAGCGGGACTGAATTAGGGGGTGGTGCGGCGGAGGGCGGGAGGGATGACGCTCCCGCGCATGGTCATGGGCATGTGCATATACATGCGCATGGGGATGCACATAGGCATGAGCATAAGCATGGGCATGAGCAGGAGCGGCATGGGAGGCATGAGAAGGAGAGGCAAGAGCATGCGCATGGAAATGAGAAGGAGGGGCATGAGCATGCGCATAGACATGCACATGGCGACACGCGTTGGAGCGGAGAGGAGAAGAAGGAAGAGGGAGGAGCAGGAGAGACAGCAGCAGCAGGGTCAGCGTCAGAAGCAGCAGCAGCAGGAGCAGATTCAACAGAAGCAGCGGGAATCGCAGGAGCAGGGGCAGAAGCAGGGGCAGCAGCAGAAGCGGCAAAAGTGGAAAAGAGCTCTGATGGTTTTGATACACCCCAAGAACGAACCCCTGAAAAGGCCTATAATGAATCAGCACGTTCTATTCCTCATGGCGGAGGTTCGGCATCCAGCACCCCCGACCAGCAGAGGTTTAGGCCGAACCAAGGGCAGAGGATCGGGTCGAGCCAAAGGGGAGCGCTGTTTGAGAGTCCGCAAATGCAGGGGCGGCCAAGAGGGGGTGAGATTTCAGCCGACGAACATGCTGATGATGAAGGGAGTGAGGGAGGGAGTGAGGGAGATGAGGAGGATGAGGAGGATGAGGAGGAGGAGGGTAGTGAGGAGGATGACGATGATTTTGACGATGATGACGATTACAGCACCACGGACTCGAGCACAGGTGGGCAGCTGTTTGAGTCGACTAAAAGGTTGTCTCATCCCACATGCACAGAATGATTTGGACGATGATGACGACTACAGTACCACAGACACGAGCACAGGTGGGGTCTTATCACATCGGCCTCCCACCAACCCCCAACCCCCACCTTTCCACCTCCTCCCATCCCAACTCTCCTTCCTTCTCTTCCTCTCCTCCCTCCCCCTCTTTCCACTGCTTCTTCTCCTAAGGACTGGGCCCCTGTTCTCTCCTTCCCACAGTATCCGCTTTACATTCAGACTATACAGAGAACATTCGGAGGTGTCTTAAATGGGGCCCTTGCTTTAGAGTCAGACTGTACAGAAAATAAGGTTATCTGTGGCGTCTTAAACTTCTATTCTTGTAATATTCTTTCAGGGTCAGACTATACAGAGGATGAGGATGAGGACGAAGAGGAGGAGGACGACGAGCAATCTTCTATCGTCGCCCAGGCCAAGGCACAGCGTGCCGAAGCTGAGTGTCTAGCCACCGAGGCTGCAGCGGAGGCTCGGGCGCGCGAGCGGGAAGGTTCGGCGGTGCGGGTGGCTCGGGCTGCTGTGGTGGAGAGGAGTCAGTTGGTGGGGGTGCTGGAAGGGGAGAGGAGGGAGGCTGAGGCGAGAATGAGGGAGGCAGCAGAGCAGCACAGGAAGAAGGTGGGTGGGTTATAGAGGAACACAGACAGAAGGTAAGCTATAGAGCAGCACAGGTTTCAGCTTTGCTTCGCAGGTGGCTTGGACTGGTGTGGTGGAGAGGAGTCAACCGGTGGGGGTGCTGGAAGGGGAGAGGAGGGAGGCTGAAGCGAGGATGAGAGAAGCAGCAGAGCAGCACAGACAGAAGGTGAGTTGCTTGTAAAGGAGAGCAAAAGGAGGGCACGTTACAGAGCAGAGCAGCACGGGAGTGAGCTTGGCGTTGCAGGTGGTTCGGTTCGGGCTGCTGTGGTGGAGAGGAGTCAGTTGGTGGGGGTGCTGGAAGGGGAGAGACGGGAGGCTGAAGCGAGGATGAGAGAAGCAGCAGAGCAACACAGGAAGAAGGTGGGTAATAGAGCAACGCAGCAGGTAGCTACGTTATAGTGCAGCGCGGATAGAAGGTGAGCTGTAGAGCAGTGCAGAACTGAGTTCAAGCTTTCGTTCGGGCAGAGGAATTGAAGGTGCCGTCAACAATTCTGTTCTGAGTCAAGTAACTGTTGCCCCTCCCTTCCTGCTTTCCCCTTTTCTCTCACGCATTCAGGCTTAATAGGTGAGAGCTTGTGTGCAGATATGTTTGATTCAACTTAAATAAATCAGCCCTTTCTCTCCCCCTCCTTCCCTGTCCTCATTTTTTTCTCTGCTTCCTCCTTTTCCTCCTTGTATTCGCATCGCACACATTCAGGCAGAGGAGTTGAGAGCGCGTGTGCATCAAGGATTTGAGGCGGTGACAGCAGAGAGCCAATCACACGCTGCCACGCGCAAGGAGCGGGCGGCGCGGGAGGCGCACTACGAGACGGAGGCAGCAAGTGGCATGGCCGCACTAGCTGCTGCTCAGAGGGCTCTGGAAGAGAAGGTGGGTGGGTGGAAGCTTCTGGATCCTGCTGAAAGCTTCTCTTTTACCCATTTAGTTACCTTTTGTTTTTCAAATCCCAAGTCTTTTTTTTTTCCTCTAGTCTTTCTATTTATTGTTATTATTTTATATATTATTACTGTCATTGTTATCATCATGATCATCAATGTTGTTGTTATGGTTCTTATTGTTAGCATTATAATAATAAGTATTATTATCATCATTATTTTCCCCTGTCATTTTGGTTAACCTGCCCTGTTCCACTTCCATTCGCTCTTGCGCTGTTTGATTGAGCTGCTGGCCCCTGATTGGTCCGCAGTGCATCATCTGGCAGAGGAGATAGAGCGCTCGGGGCAGGCAGCATGGCTCTCGCTCTCATTAATTCCCTTTCCTCTCCGCACCCCTCTGCACCCCTCTGCACCCCTCTGCACCCGGGTTAGGTTGAGCTGCTGGCCTCTGATTGGGCGACAGTGCACCGGCTGACAGAGGAGATTGAGGGATTGGAGCAGCAGGTGCAGCGGGTAGAGGCCAAGGGAGAGGGAGCGGCAGAGGTGGGGGCAGAGGCGGGGAGGGGGGAGAAAGGGAGAGAGGAGGAGGGAGCAGCTGCGGATGTAGGGGGAGGAGCAGCAGCAGGAGAAGGAGCAGTGGGTAGGCAAGGGGCAGCAGAGGGAGGGGAGGGAAGAGAGGGAGCAGGGTTGGCAGGAGGTGCAGGAGGAGGGAGTGATGGTGGGGCAGCGTCTGTTGGACTCCTGGAGGGGACTCTGCGACAGAGACGGAAGGAGGTGAGCGGGGTGGGAGAGGGTGAGGGAGGAAAGGGAGCGAGGGATTGAGTGAGTGGGGACATGACTGAATAAGCGGGGGAGTGGGGAGATGGCTGAGTGAGTGAGTGGGGAGATGGCTGGGTGAGTGTAATGGTAAGAGACTTTCCAACCCCACTTTGCCGCCTTCTCACTTTCCTCCTTATGCCCTCCAACAGGTTGCTCTGCTGCGTCAGCAACTGAAGGATGCTGAGTCAGCAGCCGCCCAGCAGCAGGCGGAATCTGAGGTGGAATCAAATCTCCTGTCAAGGCTACAGCAGTTAACGGAGCGGCTTATATTGAAGCAACAGCAAGTAGAGTCCCTACAGATAGAAAAGTCAACCCTCTCCCTACGCATCGAGACAGAATCCGCCGCCCTGCAAAAGGACAAACACCGCCTGTCCACCTTCCTCAGAGGCGGACGAAGCCCCGCATCGGCAGCTGTCACTGCGCGATTCCTCGCCAGCACACCGGGACCACTTGCTGCTGACCTGGCAGCTGCTGCGTCAGCAGCTGAAGCAAGGGCTCTAGAGGAGGGAGGGGAGGACGTGATAGAGGGAGACCACGGGTTTTCAAGAGAAGCCATCTTGAACCGATCGAGAAAATTGACTCTGGCTCAGAGGGATTTTGGGCTCGGGCCGACGGGGAATGCGTTTGTGGTGGGAGTTGTGGACACGGTTTTGGGATTTGATTCGCTTTTCTTGGGGAGTGCGGGCGGCGTGTTGCGGACTAATGTGGTTGCGAGGACGAGTTTGTGGGTGTATTTGGTGGTGTTGCATTTGTGGGTGGCGTTCGTGTGGCTCATGCATTTCCCGTTCCACCATCATCACTCACACCATGAGCATGAGCATGATAACCATCCACACCAACCTTCCCGGTGGTGGTAGTCAGTTGTGGTATGGTGTTTTGCATATACATATATGTTTAAAGTACACAAATCTACAGCATTCCTCAGAATGATGCAGTAAGCGTCTTTTCCTGGATCTGTATTGTCGGCAGCCCTGCTATCAGCAGTTTGAAGCCCTTGAATGGGTATTAATACAGAAGGTTGAAGCAATTTGTCCACGGAGCTGTAAAAAGTTCATGGAGTGGATGAATGGCCTTCCATTATCGCGTATCGGATCAGACAACATCGATTTCATGCGCCACTCACACATTGCCTGCCGATTTCCTCTCCATTTCCCAGTCACGAGTTTCGGCCACCTCTTGTTACAATCACGGCCATGTCTTCTCCGTTACTCGCCGCCAACGTCTACATTTCCTTCGCGCGCTGCGCGTCTCTCCTCCAATCGCTCGCCTCCTCTCTCGCCGCCTCCCGCGCGCCAACCAGAATTCTCCACGTGTTCGAAGACGAGCCATACGCGCGAACGGGTGTGACATTAGCGGGGCCTGCGCGGGATCTGGAACGGACGTTGATCCTGCTTTCTGGCCGTGCGATCGAGACCGTTGATCTGAGTCGCCACGTCGGCAGCCACCCGTGCATCGGCGTGTTGGACCACGTGGCACTCCGGCCGCTGCTGCGTGCTGAGCTGGCAGACGCTGCCACGTCAGCGAGAAACGTCGGGCGGAATCTGGGGCAGCATCACGGAGGTACGATAGAACGCAGATTTTTCGGAAACGCAGAGCATTTTTCAAGTTTCCACCCCTCCCAACTCCTTTCCACCTCTCCTCACCACTTCAAACCCTTTCCCAGCCCCCCCCCCCCCCCCCCCTCCCCTCTTTCCCCCCCCCCCAGTTCCCGGTGCACCTCTACGGCGCTGCGAGCCCCACCAACCGCCCCTTAGACGCCATTCGTCGCGACCTGGGATACTTCCGACCGCCCCCAGTGCGTTCCGAGACGTCTGCGTTAGCTGAAACCAGTGTCGACGCTGCTGCCCATCCCGAGCCTCCTTCCATACCTCCTCCCGAGCCTTCCTCCATCCATTCTCCCGAGCCTCCCTCCATACCTCCCGACTTCGGCCCACTCCACCCGAACCCTCTCAAGGGCAGAGTTGCAGTTGGCGGTGCTCCGTGGGTGTATAATTACAACATACCCATCCAAACCCCCTCCCGGGTCACCCAAACCACCCTTGCAGCGGCTAGACGGGTGGCTAGACGCGTGAGTGAGAGGGGAGGGGGGGTGGTGGGGGTACAGAGCATGGCTTTAATGCATGGGGACAAGTGTGTTGAGATAGCTTGTAATATATCTGAGCCTGATGCACCAGCAGCAGGAAAAACTGTTTTGGAAAATGAAGCGCCAGGAGCTGTGAAAGGCTCTTTAGAATATGAAGCAGTGCAAGTAGCGGGAGGGCCCGGAGCGGTGAAAGGGTGTTGGGGGTATGAAGCAGTGGCAGCAGGGGAGGTGCAGGGAGCAGTGGAGGAAGGGGTAGAGAGGGAGGTGGGGTTGCAAGGGGCGAGGGTGCTGGCAGGGTATTCGCCAGGGCTGACGAGACAGCAGGCATTGGAGATGTATTTTGACATGGAGAAACAAAAGGTGTGGATATGATGTGAGATCAGGGGAAGTGCACATAGCAGTGGAGGACGGGATTGGGAGGGAGGAGGGGTTGCAAGGGGCGAGGGTGCTGGCAGGGTATTCGCCAGGGCTGACGAGACAGCAGGCGTTGGATATTTATTCTGACATGGAGGACAGAAAGGTCTGGATTTTATTTAATATGATATGATGCGATACGTTATGATATGATGATATAGGAGTGAGCGAGACGAGGGGATGGAGGTGAGACTGGAGTGAGTTTATTGAGAACCAAGGAGGCACGGGGATGGGGTGCGTGAGTGGGGAGTGTGGAGTGGAATGTGGAGTGGAGTGTGGAGTGGAATGTGGAGTGGAGTGGTGGCAGCAGGGAGGTTTGGGGCAAATACGGTAGCAGTGAATGGGGTGAGTGGCAGGGGATGGGATGATTGGAGGAGGCAGGGTGGCCGAGGGGGTATTCAAGCAATGCAAATGCTATCCACCAAAGTTTATTGCATATGCACATTGCATATGTTTATGTATACAGTAGCTGCGGCAGCAGAGCACCTACCTGGCTCTCTTGAAGTGCTGCTTTGCTGAGAACAATGCACAAGACAAGATTGAACAGCGTTACATAAACTTGTTGCAACGCTGCAGAACTCATAGGAAGGATCAAACTCGTTGTAAGCAAAGACACTCTTGTTGCAGTCTTAATTCCATTACTCTAATCCCAAAAGCTTGTGACCTTGTCCACTATAAGCATGCAATCACAATTCTACTGTTTGCAAGTCTACGGTGCGGCTAGCCTAAATTGAAGCCACCAGGGTCAGGCAGGGTCGATAGGGGGAGTTGTAGCAAGCCCAGCCCACAGAGAGTTTAGCGCTGCACAATGTCAGAACGGAACGCATAAGAATTCTGGAGAGAAAGCTGCATCTGGGCTGCTTTTGAACAAGAGAAGAGAGTGGTTTAGGATTTAGGGTGTGGGGAAGAATGAGAGGACTCTGCTGTTTCCCTCACCTTGCCCTTGCCCTTGTCCCCTCCGCTGCTCTTCTTCCCAGCCGCCTTGCCTCCACTGCTCGCTGCCCCTCCTTTCCCACCCGCTGCCCCTCCTGCTGCTGCTGCTGCTGCACCTGCTGCTCCCCCTCCTGCAGCAGCAGCTGCCTCTGCCGCCTTTGCTCTCCTCGCTGCTTCATCTGCTGCTTTCATGCGAGACACAGCCTTCTTCAAGCTCTCCTCTACCTGCAACGAGGGGTGGGCAAGGCAGAGGGGGAGGGCAAAGTCGACGTAAGAAAACACAACCTTAGCTCTCCTCCTTGCTGCTTCATCTGCTGCTTTCATGCGAGACACAGCTTTCTTCAGGCTCTCCTCTACCTGCAACGAGTGGAGATGAAGGTGGGGGGGGGAGGGGGAAGGGGAGAGGAGGGAGAGGAAGAAGTATGACTAAAAAAAGACAGCCTTTACTCTCCTTGCTGCTTCATCGGCTGCTTTCATGTGATACACGGCTTTCTTCAAAATCTCCTCTACCTGCAACGAGGGGAGCGGGATTGGGGGAGGACAGCAGAAGCGAGTGAATACACATGAACTCTCCTTGCTGCTTCATCTGCTGCTTTCATGCGAGACACGGCCTTCTTCAAGCTCTCCTCTACCTGCAACGTGGGTTGGAGGGGAAGGGGAGAGGGAAGTACAAGTAAGAAAAGACAGCCCTCGTTCTCCTTGCTGCTTCATCTGCTGCTTTCATGCGAGACACGGCCTTCTTCAAGCTCTCCTCTACCTGCAACGTGGGTTGGAGGGGAAGGGGAGAGGGAAGTACAAGTAAGAAAAGACGGCCCTCGTTCTCCTTGCTGCTTCATCTGCTGCTTTCATGCGAGACACGGCCTTCTTCAAGCTCTCCTCTACCTGCAACGTGGGTTGGAGGGGAAGGGGAGAGGGAAGTACAAGTAAGAAAAGACGGCCCTCGTTCTCCTTGCTGCTTCATCTGCTGCTTTCATGCGAGACACGGCCTTCTTCAAGCTCTCCTCTACCTGCAACGTGGGTTGGAGGGGAAGGGGAGAGGGAAGTACAAGTAAGAAAAGACGGCCCTTGTTCTCCTTGCTGCTTCATCTGCTGCTTTCATGCGAGACACGGCCTTCTTCAAGCTCTCCTCTACCTGCAACGTGGGTTGGAGGGGAAGGGGAGAGGGAAGTACAAGTAAGAAAATACGGCCCTTGTTCTCCTTGCTGCTTCATCTGCTGCTTTCATGCGAGACACGGCCTTCTTCAAGCTCTCCTCTACCTGCAAAGTGGGTTGGAGGGGAAGGGGAGAGGGAAGTACAAGTAAGAAAAGACGGCCCTCGTTCTCCTTGCTGCTTCATCTGCTGCTTTCATGCATGACACGGTAGATGAAGCAGCAGATGAAGCAGCAGATGAGAGTCTGGAGCTGCTTTCATGCGAGACAAGGCCTTCTCCGGACTCTCTACATGGAACGTACGGTGGAGGGGAGCAGGAGACCAAGTAAGAGCAGACACAAAACACATGTACTCTCACCGCTGCTTCATCTGCTGCCTTACGCATGCGAGACAACCTTCTTTCACACGCGCCACCTCCACCTTCTCCTCCACCTCCCTTTGCCGTTGCACCATGAAATCCCTTCCCACTACCGCACTTTTTCTCCTCTCACCTAATCATTCTACCAGCACTCCCTCCAAGCAGCGTCCAACACCCTCTCATCCACCTCCCACTGCCGCATGCTTTCATGCCTCAGAATCTCCACCCCACAACCCTCCCTCAACCCCTCACTTACTGCCCTAGTGCCCTCGCCTACCCTTCCCCCCCACCCCACCCTCACCTTATCGTTCTGCCAGGTGTCCCGCCAGGCAGCGTCCAACATTTTCTCCTCCACCTCCCTCTGCTGCTGCAGCATTGCCTGCCACTGCTGCCTCTCCGCCTCTCCCTTCATCTTGCTCTGATCCGGTTCCTTGCAGTGATCGGACTCCTGCACCCAGTCTAGCTGGAAGGACTGCAAGGGGAGGGAAAGGGAGAGTAAAGGGTTGTAAGATGGTGGAGATGGGTTGAGAAAGAAGGGGTTACAAGATGTTGGTAAGGTTCCACTTTAGAAGAACACCACTAAGCATTTTTCGAGGCACCTCAAAAAGGATAGAAACCACTCAGCTTCTCCTGAGGCGCCTTCCTTCATCTCTTCCTTTATTTGTTCCTTGCTTTCTTCCCTTGTCGTTCCTTGCTTTCGTCCCTTGTTGTTCCTTGCTTTCGTCCCTTGTTGTTCCTTGCTTTCGTCCCTTGTCGTTCCTTATCTTTCCTTACCTCTTCTTTCCCTTTCTCGTGAAGGCCAAAGTCTCTCTCACCCCAAAGTCTTTGGGTCGGGGGGGAGGAGTCATCTTCTCCACCTTCTTCCGAGCCTCTTCCAGAGCTGCAGCCACCCGAGCCTCGGCGTCGCCCTCCAGCTTCGGCAGCCGCCGAGCCTTGAGGGGCTTGGTTCGGACAGCAGCATCGAGCTGAGGGTCGTTGAGAGCCGCAGATGGATCCATCTCGATTAAAGCCTGGAAAACGGGGAGGGGGGAGAGGACGGAGTGAGGAAGTGAGCTAGTGAGGGAGTGTTCGAATTGAATTGGTGAGCGTTGTGACATGAGACGGAGGGTCGTTGAGAGCCGCAGATGGATCCATCTCGATTAAAGCCTGGAAAGTGAGGGGAGTGAGGGGAGTGAGGGAGTGAGGGAGTGGGGGGAGTGAGGGAAGTGACGGGAGTGAGGGAGTGGGGGGAGTGAGGGAAGTGAGGAGAGCGAGGGAGCGGGGGGAGTGAGGGAGTATATGTTTTGATGTAGAGGTAGTGAGGCTGAGGGCTTGAGAGCCGCAGATGGATCTATCTTGATTAAATCCTGGAAAATGGGGAAGTGGGGAAGGACGGCTTGATGGAGTGAGCTAGTGAGGGAGTGCTTGATTTGAAGTGGAGAGCATTTTGACGCTGCGAGGGAGTGTTAGGTTTGAATCAGAAGGGACAGCACGGCTGAGGGTCGTTGAGGCGCGCAGATGGACCCATTTCGATTAAAGCCAAGGCTGATGTGAAGATGAGGAGTGTTTATGGGGGAGGGGAAGGAAGGAGTGTGGGAGTGAGGGGGTGAGAGAGTGGAAGTTTAAACAAAAACGTATTGCGATGTGAAGCTGAGAGCCATGGGCTGACAGATATGCGAAGCCATGCCGCGTGGCATGCGCGATATATACGCCCATACATTCACACACACATGCACCGTGCATGCAACATAAGGTACACATAAAAACCCATTTGAGTCCCGTTTATGAGCCATGAACTGCCATGCGAAGCAAAGCCATGACGAGTTCCCTGAGCCATACATACGCATATACACACACATGCACCATGCATGCAGCATCAAAACACACCTGTGAGATGGCATAAGAGACGGCAGAACCCACCTGCTGCGCCTGCTGCCACCCCGGCTGACTTTTGAGTGGACTCAAAAGTCAGAACCTGGCGACTCAAAAGTCAGAACCTGGCGACTAAAAAGTCATGCAGTATGGATCGAACCACACGTGGCATAAGAGACGAGAGAACACACCTGCTGCGCCTGCTGCCACCCCGGCTGCTTCTGCAGCACTGCCTCCCGCATGCCCTCATACCGTTGCTTCCACTGCAGCACATAGAGAGAATACGGGGAAAAAGAGAGGGTAGACGGAGTTGGAGAGGGTAGACGGAGTGGGAGAGGGTAGCAGGCAGAACAGGTAAGATCATCAGGCACATAAGCCTGATGGAGAGGATCTTACCAGCCACACACCATCAGGCACTTGTCATGGTTGGAGAGGGTAGAGGAACGGGAGAGGGTAGACGGAATGGGAGAGGGATGCTTGCAGGATTGAAGAGGAGGGGAAGAACGGGAGATTTTTGAGGAGCTGGAGAGGAAAAAGGCAAGCAGAAGAGACACAGCACAGGTTGTGCCCGCCTTCTGTCTCAGATGCCCCATGCTGCATGCCACATGCCCCATGCCATAACTCACAATCCTACATGCCATACCTCATGCTCCCACCACATGGCCCCCTCATCCCTCTCACTCATCTCCGCCCTTACCTCCGCTGCGGGCCGCTGCAGCAACCAGAAGGGAAACTGCCAAGCCCCACCATGCTATACCCCATGCCATACCCCATGCCATACCCCATGCCATACCCCATGCCATACCCCATGCCATACCCCATGCCATACCCCATGCTTCTGCATACCTGGTGCTCCCACCACACGGCCTCCTTGTCCCTCTCGCTCATCTCCACCCCTTCCTCCACTGCCGGCCGCTGCAGCAGCCAGAAGGCAGCGCGGTTCGGGTCTTGCATTGCCTCGGGGGATGGCTGGGGGGGGCGGAAGCGGAGAAAAGGAGGGGAGAGAGAGAGGTTGGATAGTGGACAAGGAGCAGCAGCCAGAAGGCAGCGCGGTTGGGGTCTTGCATTGCCTCAGGGGATGGCTGGGGGGGGGGAAAGCGGAGAAAGGGAGGGGAGAGAGAGACAGTGGACAAGAGAGCAGCAGGCAGAAGGCAGCGCGGTTGGGGTCTTGCATTGCCTCAGGGGATGGCTGGGGGGGGGGGAAAGCGGAGAAAGGGAGGGGAGAGAGAGACAGTGGACAAGAGAGCAGCAGGCAGAAGGCAGCGCGGTTGGGGTCTTGCATTGCCTCAGGGGATGGCTGGGGGGGGGGGGAAAGCGGAGAAAGGGAGGGGAGAGAGAGACAGTGGACAAGAGAGCAGCAGGCAGAAGGCAGCGCGGTTCGGGTCTTGCATTGCCTCGGGGGATGGCTGGGGGGGGGGGGGGGGGAAGGGAGGAACAGTGGGAGGGGGAAAGAGAGTGGAGGGAGGAGGGGGGCCAGCGAGCGGAAGAGTCGAGTGACAGACAAGAGATCAGCAGGAAGGCAGCGCAGTTGGGATCCGCTGTTGAGAATTCTCAAAAGTGACTCCCTTTGCTCAAAAGCAGATCCCAACTGCGCTGTCTTCCTGCTAAAAGTGACTCCCTTTGCTCAAAAGCAGATCCCAACTGCGCTGTCTTCCTGCTAAAAGTGACTCCCTTTGCTCACAATCTTTTATCACGTGGGCCGTGCATTGCCCTGGTAAGTGTTGTAGGAGGTGGAGGGAAAGAGAGGGAGGGGTAGGAGGAAGGGGGTGGGAATGGGAGGCATACGCTGGAGAGAAGAGAGAGAAGGTAGTAGGGAAAGGGCTGAGTGGCAGACAGGAGAGCAACGGGGAGACGCAGACTTGACACACACACAGGCCTTGATTTGCATTCCTGGTTATGTTCCATAACACTCATGACAAGCACATTTTTGAGTCCAATCAACAATAGCAATTGCTGCTCACTGGAAGTATGACCACGGATCTGCTAACACAGCCCTTGATTTGAATCCTTGGGTATGCTCCATAACACTCATGGCAAACACACCTCGCCTGGATTTAGGGTTACCATACCACAACATGTATCACAACATGTACCATCCGTTGCAACTCATCTCAGGCATCAGAGCATCACATCACAACACGTACCATGACGGGTTTGGCCATGCGGTACGCATCCCAGTGTGCACAGTCACATGCCCTGCCATGCCATGGCAGATCATCATCACATCACATGCCCTGCCATGCCATGGCAGATCATAATCACATGCCCTGCCATGACATGCCATGCATCATGCCACGCTACGTACCATGACAGGTTTCGCCATGCGGTACGCATCCCAGGCTTTCAGTGGCGAGTCCAGCACCTGGGGGAGGGGAGGGAAGAGGGGCGGGAAGAAGGGCGAACGTGAGAGAAAGGGGTGGAAGAGAGCAACAGGGGGATAAGTTAGAGAGGTCTGGCCATGCGGTACGCATCCCAGGCTTTCAATGGCGAGTCCAGCACCTGGGGGAGGCGGACGTGAGAAAAACGGAAAGGGGGCGGAAGAGGGGTGGGGGACGGGAAAGAAGGTGGAGGGAAGCGGTTGGGGGAAAGTTGAGGGTGGGAAGAAGGGCGATCGAGAACGAACAAGTATCATCATCTTCATCTGTACCAGCCAGCCCTCACATTCCACCCTGGCGGATGTGGTTTTATGCTTCCACCGTCCACGTGTCTGCATTGCACACCAAGCACTTTATACCCCTTGATATTGGTGAGCAATAACGCGGCATGGCAGCAGAGCATGTAACAGACAAACACACACGCAATCCCTCTCCCTGTGTATGAAGATTTGTTTTGAGACGTCTCAAAACAAATCTTCATACACGTAGCAGAGCATGGAGCATACAAACACACACGCAATCCCTCTCCCTGCACTCCACTGGCCTTCCATGCGTTACCCCTCAGTCAGCTCAGCTCAGCTCTCGCATCACATCTCACTCACCCTATCGGATGTAATCTTGTGCTTCCACGCGTCTCCGTTGCACACCGAACACTTCATAACCGCCGACCCGTTGCGTTATCCCTCAGTCAGCTCAGCTCAGCTCTCGCATCACATCTCACTCACCCTATCGAATGTAATCCGGCACTTTCTCACACCTCGCCAAAGCATACCAGGCATTGTGAGGCGCCTCCAATGCCGCCTCCAATGCACACAGAACACCTCACCACCTTCAAGTACCGACCCAAGCACGTGGCGCAGCAGCGTGAGGACCAGATCAGCAACACAATCCCTCTCCCTGCAAACCCCTTGGCGTCTCACCCTGTCAAATGTGATCTTGTGCTTCCACGCGTCGCCATTGCACACCAAACACTGCATAACCTTCAAGTACCGACCCAAAGCACGTGCGGCAGCAGCGGGAGGACCAGCAACACAATCCTTCTCCCTGCAAACCCCTGGCGCTCTCACGTCTCACTCACCCTGTCGAATGTGATCTTGTGCTTCCACGCGTCGCCAATGCACACAGAACACCTCATAACCCCCAATCCGTGGCACGTGGGGCAGAGCGAGACACAAACAAAGACAGTCCCTTCAACCCCTGATCCTCTCTCACCATGTCGAATGTGAACTTGTGTTTCCACGCGTCTCCGTTGCACACCGAGCACTTCATAACCGCCGATCCGTTGCACGTGGGGCAGAGAGAAACAGCAGGGCAAGGCTCTAAGTTCTAACACACACGCAGGATCTATCTCCTTGCACCCCTGCCTGCCTGGTTTGCCCTTCTCAAAGCTCACCCTGTCAAATGTGATCTTGTTTTTCCACGCGTCTCCATTGCACACAGAGCATTTCATCACCCCTGACCCGTGGCACGTGGGGCAGAGAGAAACAGAGGCGGCAGCTGCGGAGGAAGAGGAGGAGACGGCGGGATGGGGTGATGCCACGAGGAGAGATTGCCCAGAGGACCTGAGGGTTGGGTTGGGGGGAGGAGGGAATGAAGGAAAGAGCAGCATGTGGGGCTGAGTGACCTTGTGACCTTATTATAATTCTCAGCGAGCAGCAGAAGAATTATGAGCAGCATGTGGGGCACAGTGAGGAAGAAGTAGAGGAGACGGCGGGGTGAGGTGATGCCACGAGGAGGGATTGCCCAGAGGACCTGCGGGTTGGGGGGAAGGGGGGTTGAAGGAAAGAGGAGCATGTGGGGCATGTGGGGCATGTGGGGCATGTGGGGCATGTGGGGAACAGTGAGGCACAGTGAGGCAGTGGCAGAGGAGGAGACGGCCGGGTGGGGAGATTCCTCCAGAAGAGAGTGTTTTTGAGACGTCTCAAAAACACCCTCTCTACACCTGGTGTGGTGATGCCACCAGAAGAGATTGCCAAGAGGACCTGAGGGTTGGGACAGGGGTTGTAGAAGGGTGGGGGGGGGGGGGTTGGGGGAAGAGGGTTTGGGGAAAGGGGGTGATCAGGAAAGCAGGGTTGGGTGTGCATTTCTGAGTCGACTCAAGATTGGACTTAGGGGATAAGGCACAGCATGGCATGGAAAGAAACCGTGGAAGGGGGATGGGGAGGAAGGGGCTGATTGGGAAATGCATACAGGATGGTTTTTGGGTCGACTCAAGAACCGACTCATCACAAGGGGATGATTGGGAAATGCATACAGGATGGGCCATGGGAATAGGAGGTAGGTTACATGGCAGATCAGCATAGAATCGGGGGAGCATGGAACTGGGGGTATGGGAAATGGGGCATGACATAGGGCATGAAATGGGAATAGGAGATTGCATACAGACAAGGGATGGTACGCACTTGCTGGATGGCAGCGCTTGTCTTCTAGTGTGTCCTGTTCCTCGGCATGTAGTGCATGCCACTCCTTCCCACCCGTTGCATCCCTCACACTCCCTGTGTGTGGCACGGCATGGCATGGAAAAGGCACAGCATGGATAAAAAACGGTATGTGGGCATGGCATGGTGGCATGGAATAAACCTAGCACGGCATGGCATGCACAAAGAGAGTGGGACAGTATAAAGGACGAAAACGAGGGAAAGGATTCACACGACTGCAACAGCAACTCTTAATTCCAGCCCATCCCATTTCAACCCAGAATCCAACCTGCCCAGTCCCTCCCACGCCATCCTACGTGGCGTGGCACCAACTTGCCTAGCAACGTCCTACGTGGCACCATCCTACCTGGCATCGTCTTACGTGGCACCATCCTACCTGGCGCCATATAACCGAGCGACGAAGTCAGTGGTGATGGCTGCTGTGCCCGCTGCTGCTACTGCCTGCAGTTACAGTGGAGGGGGTTCAGGGTTTGCAGGACTGAAAGCTATCGCGGACAGAACTTCCAGTTTCAATGACCGAAATCTCATCCGAAATGCGTATACCGAAGTGTAACTTCCTGGCAATGATTCCGTTCGATAGTGTCACACGGCTGATTCCTTTCAGGCGTCAGGGGAAGCTGGCAAAGGGGGAACTTCGAGGAAGTCGGAATGAGAGCACGAGAAAAGCGGACCTGACAGGAAGGAAACCCTACGTCTACGGAGGAACAGACATTGCGAGACAGAACGGCATGAACGGAAAACGGCTCGGTAGGAATGGGTAACAGCACAGTCGGAACGGGAAAAAGGTTCAGGAACGGGAAATGGGTAAGCTGGTCGGCTTACGAAGCATCCGAAGCTGGCGATGCTGGTAACCGCCCTGGGAATGCCGAGGCCCGTTCGCAGCGCCTCCTGCGACTCGGTGCGCAGCTCGAAAACGAGCTCCTGCGCGAATTGCGCCGCGGCTTGCGCGACGCCCTGCACCTGCTGAACTGCGCGGGCGATAGGAGGCGGCACCATGGCGAGTGTACGGCAGGTTAGGTTGGTCTTGAGGCGCCGGAAACCACCCGTGTGGCCTTCGGAAATGAGCGAAAAAGAAAGCTAGTCGTTCCTTGCTGTAATGTCCAATCTAGGGTGTTATAAGTTGTCAGAATGCAATATCGAGGAAGTGATTACAATTACTCACTGGATTATACGCGCTGAAGCAGTAAAAACACGGGCGAGTTCATACACCACAGAACATTTCGACAGCAAACCCAGCCACATGCTACTGTACCGAGTTCGTTTCTTCAGAGGGACCCCCTCGATGGCAATTTTGGGATCTAACAAAACTTGGTTTCTGTGTCAACTGATCGTCTGCACGTCTTCTATTCGCTTTAGCCAGCGATGGCTGCTCTAGACTTTGAAGCTCTAAAGAGTTACGTACGAGATGGTCCCACGGGTTCCAGCGCCCTTGCTGCTCCTAACGACGGCGACACCGTGTCTCTGCTCGTAACGCACAGTCATCTGAAGCGGCAATTCATTGACATGAAGTTCTCGCTAAGTGCAAGTTCACCGAGTCGCTCCCCTTCATCAGCAGACCTATTCGTCATTTGTTTCCTTAGACGTGTTATTCTTTTGTGATATTTTGAATTCGCACGTTGACGCGAAAAAATCTTTACGTCGTTCCATTATCTGAGAAAAGTACCCGTTTTTGGATTCCTAGATCCGTACAATCCGTGCTTTTCTCTCTCTGAGCAGAGCTCTGTAGAGCGCGTGAAGGAGCAGCTTCAGGTGCACACCGGGACAGCCGTGTCAGCCATGCAGCTGCAGCTTTTCAGTGCTTCCAGCAAGTCGTCAGAAACAGACACATTGTTACATTCAGGACTCGAGGACATTCGACTGCTGGGATACTACTCCCCTCAAAACGGGTACTCTTCATGACCCGAAGCTTACTGGCCTTTCAAGTGAGGCTCCTGACGATGGAAGTGATTATATTGAGCAGCCCAATCTCTGCATATTTGAATTTGATTTTTCTTTTTGTTTTGGACAGGTACCGTCTCCACGTGATTGACACTGATCCCACCTCAGCAGCTGCCTCTGGATGGCTGGACGACACGTCCTTGGTGGAGAAATACACGATTTCTGAAGAAGATTATGAAAAACGAGATGGTAAATGATGCGGAATCCATCTTTCCACGAGCAACGTCTGACAATGTTTCACTGTCAGGAACTCACACTTCAACACATGTCTAACAGATTCTGTTCGGAGATTCAAGCAACAACTGTATACTGCACGGCCTGACCTTGCCCCTCAGCCTGTAAGCTCGATCTTCCTTCCTGCTGTTGGCCTTCTCTCGTCCAAAATCAAATCTCCTGATGTTTCAGATATCAATCATGGACCTTGAAACGTTCTGGTTTCCACATTTCAGGGTACTTCTGCGGACTTCATGGCTGACATTGCAGCAACCATAAAGGTGTCGAATTTCTCTCAAATGGCGCATCAAGTGTGCCCCATACCAGCATTCTGTTTTTCGTGTCACACAATCTGGTTCTTGAAATCCTCACCTTCATTGTTCTTGTTTTCAACTCTGAGTCAGCTGTCTGCTTGCAGGTTGGCGACAGATGTGAGGTGGACCCAGGCGGCAAGAGAGGAAGCGTTGCCTTTGTGGGCACTGTAGATGTTCTTCCTAATGGATTCTGGGTGGGAGTGAAGTTCGATGAGCCTGTGGGGGTCAATGATGGAAGGTGCGTAGATTTATTTATGTATTATATATCCTTGAGCTTTTATTATTCCACCCTTCTCTTTCAGCTTCTCTTTTTCTCTCTTCTGTGTTGCTGCGTTATCATGCCCAGCATTCTAATGCAGGCCGCATAGCTTGCATTGTGGCTTCTTTTGTCTCTTCTTGCAGTGTGGAGGGTAAGAAGGTCTTTCATTGTGAGCGGGCTCGTTTCTGCGGCCAGACAAAGTCAAAGTGAGAGGGGCTAGTTGCCTTTTAACCCAGTAATTTCCCCTTCTTCCAGAGTGCAATTTGATTCTGACTCCACCTTCTGCCTTGGCAGATTGGAGAATACCCTGAAAGAGATCCGTTTGACGATGACGAGCCTGATGAGTTTTAATGACAAAATATGGCAGCGGCGTCAGAGGGGCCGTGCAGGGGCTGCTTTCAAGGCATGGGAGTCAGCGTCTCCCTCTATCCTTGGGTTTGTTACTGACCATATGCATCGTATTCCACCACTACTCACCCCCATCACTGCCCTCATTGCCGCTGTCATCGCTGCCCGCTGATGCTTCCATGGCAGCGGCGTCAGAGTGGCCGTGCAGGGGCTGCCTGCATATCATTATCTGTGGGGGGGAGTCGGAGGCAGTGAGGAGAGAAGGAAAAGGGGAAAAGGGGTGATGTTTTAGTCGACTCGACAGTCAAGGCGGGGGAGGTGTCAGAGGGGCCGTGCAAGGGTGTAGCAAGCCAATTACATGTCATGCTTTCAGTGATGGAAAGAAAACGGTGTAGCTTATTTGAGTGGTTAAACTCTAGTCCAGCTACTTTGTAGTTTCAACCTCTACTTTTGTCGGAGCATCTTGAAGTGTGGCCAATTTTTCCGACCTTTCCTCACCGCTGGCATAAAAACTGTTGGTGGTGGGCATGCTGCGTGGTTCATCGTCCCATCCAGGCGTGTTCGAGGCAGGGCTCGATGTTTCGCGAGCGAATCTCGAACGTACCTACTTTGTGGGAGAGCCCTGTTGTGTGAGTGGTGCAAACTCAGATTCAATGCTACTGTACCTCTACGATAACCTGAAACATCCGTATGCCGTAAGAAGACATGCCGAGCTTTAGACCCCCTGAGAACGTATATTTCCCATAGTCGTGAACGGAGCTCCTAAAAAACAAACCCTCTGCAACTCTGACGATACCCCAACGTGACTTTCTGAAGCACCAATTTCTGAGATGTCGTGCACTGCATCCCCGGCATCCACGCCATTCTCGCTCCTTGTCCCGCCATCCGCTCGACACTGCTCCGTTCAATCGGTCGTGCCTGCGTTACTCCGTAACCCTGTTCTTCGCCAGCCAGCCGCGAGCCTTGACTCTCCTCAGCCTCACCCCTCACCCGCGTCTTCCAGCTTTCCTTCTCGTCTATCCCCTTCCTGTACTCCCTCTGTCCGTGCTTCCTCACTTCATGGAAACCCACCGAACCTGACGCCACTGTATCGACTCAGTAGGCTCGAGGCATCCGAACGTGCAGTGGCCGTGTATCATGAAACCAATGCGTCTGCCAGGTCAGCACGGTTGGATTCCAATACCACTGGATTGAGAAGCGACCTACCTGAGGGCTCAAGGGAAGAGAGATTCGTCAGGAGTTCGGAGAGTAGATCGGTAGAGTACGACAGCAGCGATGACCAGGAGATACAGTTCGCGGGTGCCCTCAGCGATAGTGCTTGCAGCAACAGCGAGAGTGATGATGACACGATCGGGGATACGGCTGTCGGGGTTTTCGCAGAGAAACTAGTCTGCTTGGTCAGACCTGAGGCCCCTCTGATTGCGAATCTGCAAAAAAGAGACGGAGATTTCAGTTCTTCTCTCACGGGCCCAAAGGATCCGATAGCATCAACGCGCGACTCTCAAAGGGCGGCAGCGGGAGCGCCAGCAATTGCAGCAGCATCTGAAACAAGAGAATCTGATAAGCTTATGGCAATCCGACGGCCTAGAATGCTTCGTCCAGTGCCGGTATCTGCATCTGTCGAATTGAAGGCCAAAGGCTTTCAAGATACGCGGGTGTTTCGCAGAAAAGGGCGCATTTCGCAGAAACAATCAGACCAAGCAGCGATGTTCTCAGCAGCAACACCAACACCAGCCACATCACCACCAACCCCATCGTTACAAGCAGCCAAACCAGCACCAGCCACACCACCACCAACCCCATCGTTACAAGCAGCCAAACCAGCACCAGCCACACCACCACCAACCCCATCGTTACAAGCAGCCAAACCAACACCAGCCACACCACCACCAACCCCATCGTTACAAGCAGCCAAACCAGCAAGACCGCTATCAGGGATACCGCCGTCCCCTCCCTCCTCTTCCTTTACCTCCTCCTCCTCCTCCTCCTCCTCCTCCTCCTCCTCCTCCTCCTCCTCCTCCTCCTCCTCCTCCTCCCCCTCCTCCTCGTCCACTCCCCCTACCCCTCGCCCCCTGCAGTCGACAGTGTGGGTGAACAAGGCAGCACCCAGAGCCCCCCGGCACAGAGCAGACAGGATGGCGAACCGAAGCCCCGTCAGCGACCGCGTGCTACAGGCGATTGTGACTATACAGAGGGCCAGGCGAGTGGCTGGAGACGGCGCCAGGGGAGGCCAGGGAGGTATGCGGGGTGTAGAGAGCCAGCAGCAAAGTCAAGCAAGTCAACGGAGCCATGGTGGAGGGGCGGATGGGAGGGTGCGTGGCGGGGGGGGGTCGCTGAAGGCGGTGGTGGCGGAGGTGGCGGGGGCGCTGGAGAAGCGCGAGGTGGAGGAGCTCATGACGGAGCTGCAGCGCCGCCACGACTGGAAGGCCACCCTCGAGGTGACGCACACTGTTGGGCCGTCTGTTTGTTTTAGAATTCTCAAAAAAACATAAGAGAATTCTTAAAAAACAGGCGCTGGAGAAGCGCGAGGTGGAGGAGCTTATGACGGAGCTGCAGCGGCGCCACGACTGGAAGGCCACCCTCGAGGTGACGTGACGCACACTGTTGGGGCTTCGTGTATGAACAAGTGCTTTGGACGTCCCAAAACACTGTTGGGGGCGTCTCCTCTCCTCTAGTTCAATCTCGCTGCTCCAATGAGAAAGACGGTCAGCGCGCAACCGCAGCAACCCCTGCCCGTTTCCTCCGCTCCCCATCCTTCTCCTTCCGCAGGCGCATCTCTATCGTGGGCCTCTTACCCACCCAGTGGCGTCTCCTCTATCCTCACCTCCTCCCGAGATCCAGACATAGCTCAGTGAGCTGCGTGCGTGCAGTAGGCTTAGCAAAGCTAAGTGCTCAAAACGATCCTTCCGAAGGCGCATCTCTATCGTGGGCTTCTTACCCACCCAGTGGCGCCTCCTTTCTCCTCACCTCCTCCCCTTCCTCCCCTTCCTCCCCTTCCTCCGCCCCTCTGCGATCCGGCAGGTGTTTGCGTGGAGCCAGCAGCAGGCGTGGTTCCGGCCCAACATGCGGCTGTACAACCGTTTGAGACGTCTCAAAATGTTGCTTTTCTCACGCAGGTGTTTGCGTGGAGCCAGCAGCAGGCGTGGTTCCGGCCCAACATGCGGCTGTACAACGCGCTCATGGGCTTCCTGGCGAGGGAGCAGCAGGCGCACGCCGCCACGCTGCTCTTCCAGGACATGCTGCTGTCGCGCGCGCGCCCCAACCACTTCACGTACACCTTCCGAAGGCGCGTCTCTATCGTGGGCTGGCTTCTTACCCACCCAGTGGCGTCTCCTGTATCCTCACCTCCTCCCCTTCCTCCCCTTCCTCCCCGCCCTCCGCCTCTCTCCGGTCCGGCAGGTGTTTGCGTGGAGCCAGCAGCAGGCGTGGTTCCGGCCCAACATGCGGCTGTACAACCGTTTGAGACGTCTCAAAATGTTGCTTTTCTCACGCAGGTGTTTGCGTGGAGCCAGCAGCAGGCGTGGTTCCGGCCCAACATGCGGCTGTACAACGCGCTCATGGGCTTCCTGGCGAGGGAGCAGCAGGCGCACGCCGCCACGCTGCTCTTCCAGGACATGCTGCTGTCGCGCGCGCGCCCCAACCACTTCACGTACACCGCGCTCATCAACGCGTACGGCCGCGCCGGGTGGTTCGAGGACGCGCTCGCTGTGTTCCACCACATGAAGACGTGCGATGATGATGACTGCCGGTGAGGGGAAGGGAGGGGGGCCAATGACGGTTACCATTACCACCACGGTGTGCCATGCCATGCCACTTCACAAAAGTCGACTCAAAAGTCGGTGAGGGGAAGGGGGACCAATGAGGGTTACGAGGTGACTTTTGAGTCGACTCTAAAGTCAGCGCGCCCCAACCGGGTGGTTTGAGGACGCGCTCGCTGTGTTCCACCACATGAAGACGTGCGATGATGATGACTGCCGGTGAGGGGAAGGGGAAGCATTGCCAGTGAGGGGAAGGGGGACCAATGAGGGTTACCATTACCACCACGGTGTGCCATGCCATGCCCCTTCACATCGAACCTCTTCCCCAAACCACCTGTGCAACTCACTGTCAAACCTCTCGACCACTTGCCACCATTCTGCCATCCCATCCCACCCGCCCAGGCCCAACACAGTGACGTGCAACGCGCTGATTGGTGCGCTGTGCAAGGGGGGCATGTATGACGAGGCTGTGGAGGTGTTCATGGACATGCGTGCGGGGGCGGGCGGGTCGGGCGGCCTGCCACTCAACTGCAGGTCAGCCACATGATAACAGTAGAGGTTTGAGGCGTCTCGAAACTCTACTTTTAGCAAGAGGGGCATGTATGACGAGGCTGTGGGGGTGTTCTTGGATATGCGTGCGGGGGCAGGCGGCCTGCCACTCAACTGCAGGTCAGCCACATGAGAACAGTAGAGGTTTGAGGCGTCTCAAAACTCTACTTTTAGCAAGGGGGGCATGTATGACGAGGCGGTGGAGGTGTTTATGGACATGCGTGCGGGGGCGGGCGGGGCGGGCGGCCTGCCACTCAACTGCAGGTCAGCCGTGCCGTGCCGTGCCGTGCCGTGCTGGGCCCACAGTGGGTGGGTACCAGCAGAAAAGAAGAACCATTGTGGGCGTGTACGCTTATGCAGGGAGAGGAGGTGCAGTGCAGGTGCAGCCAGCTACGGCCCTTATGCCCTGCTCTGCTCGCACGTTGATTTCAGAGAAAGACGCCCTTCACGCTTAGGGACGTGTAGCGAGGTTGTTTTTGAGACGTCTCAAAAACAGCCAGCTACGGCCCTTATGCCCTGCTCTGCTAGCACGTTGATTTCTGAGAAAGACGCCCTTCATTCACGCTTAGGGCGACAGCGAGACAAGTGCAGTTCTGGCAGGAAGTGGAGAGTAGACTAGTTCTGAGAGGAAAATGGCTCCTTGCCTTGCATATCTCAGCTTCTCGCTCCTTCCTCTTACAAATTGGCATACAACACGCTCATGTGCGGGTTTGGGGTTTCTCAATGCTTCTCATTTGTTTGACCTTCCCTCTACCCCTCTCATCCCCCTCGCCACCCACGTCTTTCCCCCCCCCCCCAGGCCTAATATAGTGACGTACAACACGCTCATCGACACCTTGTAACAAGGTGACTTTTGAGTCGACTCAAAAGTCTCCCCCTCGCCACCCACGTCTTTCCCCCCCAGGCCCAACATAGTGACATACAACACGCTCATGTTCTTCCACCCACGTCTCTCCCCCCCCCCCCAGGCCTAATATAGTGACATACAACACGCTCATCGACACCTTGTGCCGGGAAGGCCAGCTCGATGCCGCTCTGCAGGTGGGTATGCTGCACGACCAGGTGGGTATGCTGCACGACCAAGTGGGTATGCTGCACGACCAGGTGGGTATGCTGCACGACCAGGTGGGTATGCTGCACGACCAAGTGGGTATGCTGCACGACCAAGTGGGTATGCTGCACGACCAGGTGGGTATGCTGCGCGACCAGGTGGGTATGCTGCACGACCAGGTGGGTATGCTGCACGACCAGGTGGGTATGCTGCACGACCCAGTGGGTATGCTGCACGACCAAGTGGGTATGCTGCACGACCAGGTGGGTATGCTGCACGACCAAGTGGGTATGCTGCACGACCAAGTGGGTATGCTGCACGACCAGGTGGGTATGCTGCACGACCAAGTGGGTATGCTGCACGACCAAGTGGGTATGCTGCACGACCAGGTGGGTATGCTGCGCGACCAGGTGGGTATGCTGCACGACCAGGTGGGTATGCTGCACGACCAGGTGGGTATGCTGCACGACCCAGTGGGTATGCTGCACGACCAAGTGGGTATGCTGCACGACCAAGTGGGTATGCTGCACGACCAGGTGGGTATGCTGCACGACCAGGTGGGTATGCTGCACGACCAGGTGGGTATGCTGCACGACCAGGTGGGTATGCTGCACGACCAGGTGGGTATGCTGCACGACCAGGTGGGTATGCTGCACGACCAGGTGGGTATGCTGCACGACCAGGTGGGTATGCTGCACGACCAGGTGGGTATGCTGCACGACCAGGTGGGTATGCTGCACGACCAGGTGGGTATGCTGCACGACCAGGTGGGTATGCTGCACGACCAAGTGGGTATGCTGCACGACCAGGTGGGTATGCTGCACGACCAGGTGGGTATGCTGCACGACCAAGTGGGTATGCTGCACGACCAGGTGGGTATGCTGCACGACCAGGTGGGTATGCTGCACGACCAAGTGGGTATGCTGCACGACCAGGTGGGTATGCTGCACGACCAGGTGGGTATGCTGCACGACCAGGTGGGTATGCTGCACGACCAGGTGGGTATGCTGCACGACCAGGTGGGTATGCTGCACGACCAAGTGGGTATGCTGCACGACCAGGTGGGTATGCTGCACGACCAGGTGGGTATGCTGCACGACCAGGTGGGTATGCTGCACGACCAGGTGGGTATGCTGCACGACCAGGTGGGTATGCTGCACGACCAGGTGGGTATGCTGCACGACCAGGTGGGTATGCTGCACGACCAGGTGGGTATGCTGCACGACCAGGTGGGTATGCTGCACGACCAAGTGGGTATGCTGCACGACCAAGTGGGTATGCTGCACGACCAGGTGGGTATGCTGCACGACCAGGTGGGTATGCTGCACGACCAGGTGGGTATGCTGCACGACCAGGTGGGTATGCTGCACGACCAGGTGGGTATGCTGCACGACCAAGTGGGTATGCTGCACGACCAGGTGGGTATGCTGCACGACCAGGTGGGTATGCTGCACGACCAGGTGGGTATGCTGCACGACCAGGTGGGTATGCTGCACGACCAGGTGGGTATGCTGCACGACCAAGTGGGTATGCTGCACGACCAGGTGGGTATGCTGCACGACCAGGTGGGTATGCTGCACGACCAGGTGGGTATGCTGCACGACCAAGTGGGTATGCTGCACGACCAGGTGGGTATGCTGCACGACCAGGTGGGTATGCTGCACGACCAAGTGGGTATGCTGCACGACCAGGTGGGTATGCTGCACGACCAGGTGGGTATGCTGCACGACCAAGTGGGTATGCTGCACGACCAAGTGGGTATGCTGCACGACCAGGTGGGTATGCTGCACGACCAGGTGGGTATGCTGCACGACCAGGTGGGTATGCTGCACGACCAGGTGGGTATGCTGCACGACCAAGTGGGTATGCTGCACGACCAAGTGGGTATGCTGCACGACCAGGTGGGTATGCTGCACGACCAGGTGGGTATGCTGCACGACCAGGTGGGTATGCTGCACGACCAAGTGGGTATGCTGCACGACCAAGTGGGTATGCTGCACGACCAGGTGGGTATGCTGCACGACCAGGTGGGTATGCTGCACGACCAGGTGGGTATGCTGCACGACCAGGTGGGTATGCTGCACGACCAGGTGGGTCTGCTGCACGACCAGGTGGGTATGCTGCACGACCAGGTGGGTATGCTGCACGACCAGGTGGGTATGCTGCATGACCAGGTGGGTATGCTGCACGACCAGGTGGGTATGCTGCACGACCAGGTGGGTATGCTGCACGACCAGGTGGGTATGCTGCACGACCAAGTGGGTATGCTGCACGACCAGGTGGGTATGCTGCACGACCAGGTGGGTATGCTGCACGACCAGGTGGGTATGCTGCACGACCAAGTGGGTATGCTGCACGACCAAGTGGGTATGCTGCACGACCAGGTGGGTATGCTGCACGACCAGGTGGGTATGCTGCACGACCAGGTGGGTATGCTGCACGACCAGGTGGGTATGCTGCACGACCAAGTGGGTATGCTGCACGACCAGGTGGGTATGCTGCACGACCAGGTGGGTATGCTGCACGACCAGGTGGGTATGCTGCACGACCAGGTGGGTATGCTGCACGACCAAGTGGGTATGCTGCACGACCAGGTGGGTATGCTGCACGACCAGGTGGGTATGCTGCACGACCAAGTGGGTATGCTGCACGACCAGGTGGGTATGCTGCACGACCAGGTGGGTATGCTGCACGACCAAGTGGGTATGCTGCACGACCAAGTGGGTATGCTGCACGACCAGGTGGGTATGCTGCACGACCAGGTGGGTATGCTGCACGACCAGGTGGGTATGCTGCACGACCAAGTGGGTATGCTGCACGACCAAGTGGGTATGCTGCACGACCAGGTGGGTATGCTGCACGACCAGGTGGGTATGCTGCACGACCAGGTGGGTATGCTGCACGACCAGGTGGGTATGCTGCACGACCAGGTGGGTATGCTGCACGACCAAGTGGGTATGCTGCACGACCAGGTGGGTATGCTGCACGACCAGGTGGGTATGCTGCACGACCAGGTGGGTATGCTGCACGACCAAGTGGGTATGCTGCACGACCAGGTGGGTATGCTGCACGACCAGGTGGGTATGCTGCACGACCAGGTGGGTATGCTGCACGACCAAGTGGGTATGCTGCACGACCAGGTGGGTATGCTGCACGACCAGGTGGGTATGCTGCACGACCAGGTGGGTATGCTGCACGACCAGGTGGGTATGCTGCACGACCAGGTGGGTATGCTGCACGACCAGGTGGGTATGCTGCACGACCAGGTGGGTATGCTGCACGACCAGGTGGGTATGCTGCACGACCAGGTGGGTATGCTGCACGACCAAGTGGGTATGCTGCACGACCAAGTGGGTATGCTGCACGACCAGGTGGGTATGCTGCACGACCAGGTGGGTATGCTGCACGACCAGGTGGGTATGCTGCACGACCAGGTGGGTATGCTGCACGACCAGGTGGGTATGCTGCACGACCAAGTGGGTATGCTGCACGACCAAGTGGGTATGCTGCACGACCAGGTGGGTATGCTGCACGACCAGGTGGGTATGCTGCACGACCAGGTGGGTATGCTGCACGACCAGGTGGGTATGCTGCACGACCAGGTGGGTATGCTGCACGACCAGGTGGGTATGCTGCACGACCAGGTGGGTATGCTGCACGACCAGGTGGGTATGCTGCACGACCAAGTGGGTATGCTGCACGACCAAGTGGGTATGCTGCACGACCAGGTGGGTATGCTGCACGACCAGGTGGGTATGCTGCACGACCAGGTGGGTATGCTGCACGACCAAGTGGGTATGCTGCACGACCAAGTGGGTATGCTGCACGACCAGGTGGGTATGCTGCACGACCAGGTGGGTATGCTGCACGACCAGGTGGGTATGCTGCACGACCAGGTGGGTATGCTGCACGACCAAGTGGGTATGCTGCACGACCAGGTGGGTATGCTGCACGACCAGGTGGGTATGCTGCACGACCAGGTGGGTATGCTGCACGACCAGGTGGGTATGCTGCACGACCAAGTGGGTATGCTGCACGACCAGGTGGGTATGCTGCACGACCAGGTGGGTATGCTGCACGACCAGGTGGGTATGCTGCACGACCAAGTGGGTATGCTGCACGACCAGGTGGGTATGCTGCACGACCAGGTGGGTATGCTGCACGACCAAGTGGGTATGCTGCACGACCAGGTGGGTATGCTGCACGACCAGGTGGGTATGCTGCACGACCAGGTGGGTATGCTGCACGACCAGGTGGGTATGCTGCACGACCAAGTGGGTATGCTGCACGACCAAGTGGGTATGCTGCACGACCAGGTGGGTATGCTGCACGACCAGGTGGGTATGCTGCACGACCAGGTGGGTATGCTGCACGACCAAGTGGGTATGCTGCACGACCAAGTGGGTATGCTGCACGACCAGGTGGGTATGCTGCACGACCAGGTGGGTATGCTGCACGACCAAGTGGGTATGCTGCACGACCAGGTGGGTATGCTGCACGACCAGGTGGGTATGCTGCACGACCAGGTGGGTATGCTGCACGACCAAGTGGGTATGCTGCACGACCAAGTGGGTATGCTGCACGACCAGGTGGGTATGCTGCACAACCAGGTGGGTATGCTGCACGACCAGGTGGGTATGCTGCACGACCAAGTGGGTATGCTGCACGACCAGGTGGGTATGCTGCACGACCAAGTGGGTATGCTGCACGACCAGGTGGGTATGCTGCACGACCAGGTGGGTATGCTGCACGACCAAGTGGGTATGCTGCACGACCAAGTGGGTATGCTGCACGACCAGGTGGGTATGCTGCACGACCAAGTGGGTATGCTGCACGACCAGGTGGGTATGCTGCACGACCAGGTGGGTATGCTGCACGACCAAGTGGGTATGCTGCACGACCAAGTGGGTATGCTGCACGACCAAGTGGGTATGCTGCACGACCAGGTGGGTATGCTGCACGACCAAGTGGGTATGCTGCACGACCAGGTGGGTATGCTGCACGACCAGGTGGGTATGCTGCACGACCAGGTGGGTATGCTGCACGACCAGGTGGGTATGCTGCACGACCAAGGTGGGTATGCTGCACGACCAAGTGGGTATGCTGCACGACCAAGTGGGTATGCTGCACGACCAGGTGGGTATGCTGCACGACCAAGTGGGTATGCTGCACGACCAAGTGGGTATGCTGCACGACCAGGTGGGTATGCTGCACGACCAGGTGGGTATGCTGCACGACCAGGTGGGCATGCTGCACGACCAAGTGGGTATGCTGCACGACCAGGTGGGTATGCTGCACGACCAGGTGGGTATGCTGCACGACCAGGTGGGTATGCTGCACGACCAAGTGGGTATGCTGCACGACCAGGTGGGTATGCTGCACGACCAGGTGGGTATGCTGCACGACCAAGTGGGTATGCTGCACGACCAAGTGGGTATGCTGCACGACCAGGTGGGTATGCTGCACGACCAGGTGGGTATGCTGCACGACCAGGTGGGTATGCTGCACGACCAGGTGGGTATGCTGCACGACCAAGTGGGTATGCTGCACGACCAGGTGGGTATGCTGCACGACCAGGTGGGTATGCTGCACGACCAGGTGGGTATGCTGCACGACCAGGTGGGTATGCTGCACGACCAGGTGGGTATGCTGCACGACCAGGTGGGTATGCTGCACGACCAGGTGGGTATGCTGCACGACCAGGTGGGTATGCTGCACGACCAGGTGGGTATGCTGCACGACCAGGTGGGTATGCTGCACGACCAGGTGGGTATGCTGCACGACCAGGTGGGTATGCTGCACGACCAGGTGGGTATGCTGCACGACCAGGTGGGTATGCTGCACGACCAGGTGGGTATGCTGCACGACCAGGTGGGTATGCTGCATGACCAGGTGGGTATGCTGCACGACCAGGTGGGTATGCTGCACGACCAGGTGGGTATGCTGCACGACCAGGTGGGTATGCTGCATGACCAGGTGGGTATGCTGCACGACCAGGTGGGTATGCTGCACGACCAGGTGGGTATGCTGCACGACCAGGTGGGTATGCTGCACGACCAGGTGGGTATGCTGCACGACCAGGTGGGTATGCTGCACGACCAAGTGGGTATGCTGCACGACCAGGTGGGTATGCTGCACGACCAGGTGGGTATGCTGCACGACCAGGTGGGTATGCTGCACGACCAGGTGGGTATGCTGCACGACCAGGTGGGTATGCTGCACGACCAGGTGGGTATGCTGCACGACCAGGTGGGTATGCTGCACGACCAGGTGGGTATGCTGCATGACCAGGTGGGTATGCTGCACGACCAGGTGGGTATGCTGCACGACCAGGTGGGTATGCTGCACGACCAGGTGGGTATGCTGCATGACCAGGTGGGTATGCTGCACGACCAGGTGGGTATGCTGCACGACCAAGTGGGTATGCTGCACGACCAGGTGGGTATGCTGCACGACCAGGTGGGTATGCTGCACGACCAGGTGGGTATGCTGCACGACCAGGTGGGTATGCTGCACGACCAGGTGGGTATGCTGCACGACCAGGTGGGTATGCTGCACGACCAGGTGGGTATGCTGCACGACCAGGTGGGTATGCTGCACGACCAGGTGGGTATGCTGCACGACCAGGTGGGTATGCTGCACGACCAGGTGGGTATGCTGCATGACCAGGTGGGTATGCTGCACGACCAGGTGGGTATGCTGCACGACCAGGTGGGTATGCTGCACGACCAGGTGGGTATGCTGCACGACCAGGTGGGTATGCTGCACGACCAGGTGGGTATGCTGCATGACCAGGTGGGTATGCTGCACGACCAGGTGGGTATGCTGCACGACCAGGTGGGTATGCTGCACGACCAGGTGGGTATGCTGCACGACCAAGTGGGTATGCTGCACGACCACGGTGAGCTAGCTGGTGCACATTGTACATACACCCATCTCATACATTTCGGTTCTGCTCCACCGCATTGAGCTGGTGCAACACGGTGAGCTAGCTGGTGCACATTGTGCATACATACACCCATCTCATACATTGCGGTTCTGCTCCACCGCATTGAGCTGGTGCACATTGTACATACACCCATCTCATACATTGAGCCGGTTTGGTTCTGCTCCACCGCATACACCAGCTACACCTCCCAACTTCACCACCCCCCATCCTCCATACCCCACCCCACTCGCCCCCCAGGTGCTGGAGGACCTGTCATCGTGCGTGCTGGACGCGCACGTGGCGCCCAACATAGTGACATTCAACACCATCATCAACGCCTGTGGCAAGGCTTTTGAGACGTCTCAAAATTCCTTCCCCCACCCCACTCGCCCCCCCCCCCCCAGGTGCTGGAGGACCTGTCATCGGGCGTGCTAGACGCGCAGGTGGCCCCCAACATAGTCACATTCAACACCATCATCAACGCCTGTGGCAAGGCGGGACGCGCCCCCGACGCGGAGGCCACGCTGCAGGCCATGGAGCGCACCGGCTTGGCCCCCGACGGCATCACGTTCACCCCACCCCACTCGCCCCCCCCCCCAGGTGCTGGAGGACCTCTCAACAGGTGTGCTAGATCCGCATGTGGCCCCCAACATCGTCACATTCAACACCATCATCAACGCCTGCGGCAAGGCGGGACGCGCCCCCGACGCGGAGGCCACGCTGCAGGCCATGGAGCGCACCGGCACCGGCATGGCACCGGACGGCATCACGTTCACCGCGCTCGTGGACGCGTACGGCCGCACGGGCGACGTGGAGCGAGCCGAGGAGGCGTTTCACCGCATGCTGCAGGCCGGCATCGCCCCGGACGTGTTCTCTTACACGGCGCTCATGGCTGCGTTTGGCCGCGCTGGGCTGTCCGACCGGGTTACGGAGACTCTCGCTGCCATGCAGCGTGCAGGCGTGCCGCCCAACGAGGTGACGTTTCTCACCGTGCTGGACGCCCACGGCAAAGCGGGTAACTACGAGGAGGCGGAGGCCACGCTCGCCGCCATGGTTACGTGCGGTTACCGCCCGTCCGTGTACAGCTGGAGCTGCTTGATTGACGCGTTTGGGAAGGCCGGGCTGTATGCCAAGGCAGCAGGGGCGTTTGAGCGCATGCAGGCCGAGGGGTGCCGCCCGAATCTGATCACGTATGCGGCCATTTTGTCTGCTTGTGCGCGGTGCGAGAAGTGGGAGGATGCGCTGGAGCTGCTGTACTGCCTGCAGAGGACTGGCGGTGAATGGGAAGTCGCCATGTGTCGCCTCATGATGGCAGGCCCAGAGGAGGAAGGAGTGGAGTGTGCGAGCGAGGAGGAGGTCGTGGAGGGACTGGTGAGAGGAGGGGCGCGGGGAGGGGCGGGCAGGAGGAGCGAGAGGGCGGACGAGGGGTTGTGGGAGTCGGCAGGGCGGATGTTTGGTGCGTTTCAGGCGCTGCCGCTGCCCATGCGCCGCTCCTTCTACAACGCTCTGGCCGACGTGCTCTGGAGCTTTGGCATGCGGCGCCGCGCTGCCCGCGTGGTGGCGCTGGGCCGCGGGCTGGGCGTGTACGGCGGGGCTGACGACCTGCACAAGGAGGCGCGCGGTGCCCGCAGGGCGGGCGCGGGGCGCAGGGAGAGCAGCAGCAGTGGCAGTGAGAGTGAGAGTGGGAGTGGTAGTGGGAGTGGCAAGCAGAGGGGTGGGGGGAGTGGCAGCGGCAGGGGCGGGGGCATGTGGAGGGAGGAGGGCGTGTGGAGTGTGGACCTGCACGAGCACTCCATCGGCTCCGCCTGCGCCTTCCTCTACCTCTGGCTCCGCGACCTGCGCACCGCCTGGCAGGTAAGCCAAAGCCGACTTTTGAGTCGACTCAAAAGTCCGTGTGGAGTGTGGACCTGCAAGAGCACTCCATCGGCTCCGCCTGCGCCTTCCTCTACCTCTGGCTCCGCGACCTGCGCACCGCCTGGCAGGTGCGTTGTGAGGCGCCTCAAAATACACCTCTGGCTGCGCGGCCTGCGCACCGCCTGGCAGGTGCGTTGTGAGGCGCCTCAAAATACACCTCTGGCTGCGCGGCCTGCGCACCGCCTGGCAGGTGCGTTGTGAGGCGCCTCAAAATACACCTCTGGCTGCGCGGCCTGCGCACCGCCTGGCAGGTGCGCCAAAGCCAGGGGGCAGGGGAGAGGCTACAGGGGAAAGGAGATTGGGGAGAGTGGAGGGTGTAGATTCTGGAAAGGGAATTGCTCGTGCCATTGTGTCCTGGTGCCCAGCCCACTGCCTGTGCATTGTGAGCGTACCTCTTCGTGCCTCCCGATTACAAGATAGCACCAACTCTCTCCTCTCTCGCTTCCCAATCCTCACCAATCCCCCATCCATCCGTCAAACTCCCTCCACTCTCTCATCTCCTTGCTCTTCCTCCCTGCGTGCCGCCCTCCCTGCCCCCTGCCCCCTGCCCCCTGCCCCCTGCCTGCCTGTCTGCGTGCGCATGTGCCAGTGGCACAATGAGATCCCGGAGGCCATCGATATAGTCACGGGGTGGGGGCGCCACAGCAAGCGCAAGGACGCCACGTCAGACAAGCCAGCACAGGTGGCGCCACTCAAGGCAGCCATCCTGAGGGAGCTGCACCTCATGCGCTCGCCCTTCCAGGAGCTTTCTGTCAATGCCGGTCGTCTAGTGGCGGGCGGGTGGGCGGCGTACTCGTGGCTGTTGCAGGAGGAGATGGGGGAGCAGCTGCAGCTCAGGGACGCGCCGCAGCCCGTGCCTCCTGGGGACAAGCCGTACCAACCACGGTAACAGACTCAGTAGATAAGGAGCAAGCTCATGTTTCCAGGTGCTGTTATTTGTTGCTCAATGGGCTTTGTTGTATTCGTAAGCGATACGGGCACTTCCCCTTGTGCCCTAGATTTGTGCTCGACGAGTGAATGGGATGGTTGGTGGCATGACTGAAGCAGGCAGGACAGTGACATGCTCCCACATGGCTGTGCCATGTACCGTAATTATACAATGCATAGATACCATATTCCAGCAAGGATATCCTCAGCTGTCATAGCGCCAGCTAGGAGGTGAGAGGCAGAGAGTGAGGATTAGAAGCGGGAGAGGGCAACGGTGCACGCGCAGAAGGTGCCTCAGTAAGGTATTAACAAACTTACATAGGGAGAAATTCCTTACATAGGGAGTGCTTTTTGTTCCCGCAAACTTTGATGCCAGGGTTTAACTTTAGTAGTGCGTCTGCATCACTATTGGTTGCTTGATAGCAAACAAGTAAAAATATATATGCTTACCGTACGTAGATTTTAATGCACTCTTTCACATGAATTTGCACAAAAACAATGAACGAATAAATAATGGAACCAAAACAATGAATGCAACCTGCCGAACCCATATAACCCACACTTGATTTTCGTCAACAGCCACTAGCGTGGGGTGCCAGTTTTCCTCCTCTGTAACCGCCTCGGTAAGCGCTCATGCTTCCTCCTGCTTTGAAACAAACTCCCTATTGGCGACGTCAGTGTAGCAGGGACTGTCGGACTGAATGACGACGACGATGCTGAATCCCCATCACTTTCCTGCTCTACATACCCCCCTCCGTCACCATTCCCATTCTCATCACCATCACCACCACCATATGCGTTCCCACATGCTTCCAATTGCTGACCGCTACCACCAATCACAGATACCCTCCCATGCATTCCCCCCACACCCAGCACTGGTCTCTCTGGCCCCCCCTCACCTCCCCTCTCCTCGTCCCCTTCTGGAATCTCCAACCCAACCAGCACCCGCTGATACACACCCTCTTCCTTCGGTGACTTGCTTGAGCTGTTACGTTTCATTGCTGCAGCGCGGTTACCACCTCTGGGGTTACCGGTAGGGGAATGTGTGGGGCTGTGGAGAGAGCTGGTGAGCTTCCTGTCTGGGTTGGACTGTATCCAGCTCGCACCTGCCTGGGTCAAACCTCCACCAGATATACCTGCCCAACCCACCCCACCTGCACCAGCTGCCCCACCTGCCCCTCCTGCCCCAGCTGTCCCACTCTTCCCCTGGCCCTGCAGTGCTAGCCTGCGATCAGCAGTGCCTTGCCGCGTCCACTTCCTCTCAACCTCCTCCTCATTGCTCGCCTCCTCCCCACTCCTACACGCCTGTACTGCCACCCCAGCTGGCACCGCCTGCCTTGCTTGTCCTGCTTGCTCTCCCTGCCCTCCCTGTCCCGCTTGCCCTGCCTGCAGTCTGCTGCGCACATGCCCCGCTAACACATCCTCTGCCCCGTTATTAGAACACCCCTTTACAGCAGCATCTCCCTCCCCTGCTGCACCCATCCCTCCTCCTTCACCTCCTACTCCTGCTGCTGCACCTGCTCCTGCTCCTGCTGCTCCCGCTGCTGTCCCAGCAGCATCCCTCACACCCAATAGCACATCCGGTCCCGCATGGCTCAAACTGGCCTCTAGCGACATCCCCCCACCACACACCCCGCTCACCTCACTATCCGCACCACACATCCCACTCACCTCACTATCCCCCAGCATCCCACTCAAATCACTATCCCCTGTAACCGCCGCCTCCACCTCCCCACCCTCCCGCGTCGACGTGGAGGGTACAAGGCAGGTTCCCCGGCGCACCTTGGGGCTTTTCCGGGGGGAGAGCAGGGAGAAGGAGCGGCCGATGAGGGAGGAGGAAGAGAGGAGGGAGCCCCAGCTCATGGTACCCTCGCTGCTGAAATTCCCAGAGCCAGCAGTGGGACCTTCGTCTGTGGATAGGGTCAACGATGGGGTGCTTTTGAGACCCCCTAGCGCCACTGCTGCTACCAAGGACGACCCTCTCCCTTGCCCTGCTCCTGCTCCTCCTGCTGCTGCTCCTGCTCCCGCTCCTGCTCCTGCTGCTGCTCCACCCGCTGCTACTGTCCCCGCTGCTGCTGCTGCAGATCCGCCTGCCCCCCCTGTCCCTGACGCTGCACCGAATCTCCTTCCAAACTTTCGAGGACTTCGCAACTTGGGAGACTTGGGAGATCTGGAAGACTTGGGCGATTTAGGAGACTTGGGGGATTTGGGCACCAGGGAGGAGAAGGAACCCGCCAGCTTCGCAGCCAGCCTGCCTCCGAACCGGAGGGGCGACGTGGGGCGGGTGTTGTTGCCGCTACTGCTGCTGCTGCTGCTGCGCCCATAGCTGGAAACAGAGGCGTTGGCACCACTGCTGCCGGCACCAGCAGCAGCAGCAGCAGCAGCAGGGCCATAGGTGTCCCCAGGAGAGGCACTGGCGGCACTGAGAGAAGACTCTGCTGCTGGCTTCTGGCTGTTCTGATTTCCCACAAGCTGCTGCTGCTGTTGCTGCTGCTGAAGTTGCTGGTGTTGAATGCGGTGCAGAGCGGCCACGTGCTGCATGCGGGGAATGGCAGCAGCGGTATCAGAGCTCAGAGTGCTGCTGATAGTCTCCACTGACGTTGCTTCTGGGATGCCCACCCGCCCTTCAATGCCCTTCCGCCCCTCCAACATACCCCCAGGCCCGTCTGACATACCTGCACGCCCTTCCGACATACCCATGCGGGCATCCATGCTCATACGGCCCTCTGGCATGCCCACACGCCCATCCGGCATGCCAGTAGCAACAGCTATGAGAGCAGCTGCAGTGGCGAAGGCTGGCGCGGGGCTGGGCGCAGGGGCGCGCGGGGAGGCGCGGAAGGGGAAGGGCAGCGGAGGCAGAGCCGCCAGGGGGTTTCTGAATGCAAGGGATGGGGCAGAGGCAGACGGGCCCAGCGGCTTGACCAGATCAGCAGAAGGAGCTGCAGCTGCTGCAGCTCCTGTCTTGTTAGGTTTATTGGAGGAGGGAGTGAGGGGCGGGATGAGGGTGAGTGTGGAAGGGCTATCCGGGGGGGAGGGGATGGAAGCAAGAGCGCGGCACAGCACAGCCTCCGCGTCTGTGGAGCTAGCAGAGCTGCGCGTGGGGAGAGAGCGCGTCACCGTGGGACTCGTGGGACTGGTGGGGTTAGGACTTGTGGGGCTTGTTGGGCTAGCAGGGGTGGGGCTAGCGCATTGGCTGGTAGGGCTAGTGGGACTGGGGAAGTGGATTGTAGGGGTTGTGGGGCTGGCTGGGTTTGTCGGCCGTGCAGAAAGTGCTTCAGCAGATGCAGCAACAGCAGCAGAGGCAATGCGGATGTTATTTCCTGTGGTAGAGGCACGACGAGAAGGAGAGGCGCCAGCGAAAGCAGCATCGGCATGAGCTTTGCCGCTGCTGCTGCTCTTGTCCTCATCCCCCTCGCTGACCCGGCTTGGTAATGACGGCACTGGGGATTGAACCCGCGACCTCACCTCAAACGACCGCTTCTGCTGGAGTTGGTGTGCTGCTGCTGGCGGGCTCAAGGCTCTTCCAGGCGGGCTGTACCCCATATTGCGCTCCTCGCTATACCACATACTGTCCCGCGCGTACGGAATCCCCGGACTGTACCCCCTGCCGTCTCTATTAGGAGAAAGTTCTGAGTAAGTTCCCCCTGGGCCTATCTGGAGGTCTATACACGACTCGGACTGGTGCTTCTGGTGCCGCCGCCGCTGCAGCTGCTGCGGCTGCTGCTTCTGAAACTGCCCGTGCTGCTGCTTCCCGTAATACCCCATACCTGTACCCGCGCCCATGCCCATCCCCATGCCTGCGCCTAGCCCGAACCCCTCCCCCCGCTGCCCCCCCAGCAGGCGACTCGCCTCTTCCACCACTCGCCTGGGCGTCCACAGCGGCGACTGCCCGAGCGACTGGTCCGTCGCATTGCTGCTGCTGTGCGACCGTGTGCGAGAGGACGTGCGAGAGGGGGCGAACGAGGGCGAGAAAGAGGACGGGAACCGGGACGGGGAGACCGAGGAGGAGTGGGAGGGAGTGCGGGAGTGGGGGGTGCGGGAGTCGATGGAAATGGGGGAGGATTCGAAGGACGGGGGGGGCCGGGGGAAGGCTACTCCGGGGAGGCGCTCGCAGTCCCACGAGGGCATGCGGCGGGCGGAGCGCCGCCGCCGCCGCTCCTGCTGCCACCCGCTGCGCTCCCTCTCCGCCCCTTCCCTCTCCGCCGCTTCCCTCTCCGCCACCTCCCTTTCCACCGCTTCCCTTTCCGCCGCCTCCCTTTCCGCCGCCTCCCTGTCCGCCGCCTCCCTTTCCGCTTCCCCCTCGGCCCACATGCCCGCGCCCTCCCTACTGCCTTCCCCCATGCCCGCGCCCTCCCTCACGTGGAAATGCTCCCCCATCCGCCCGCCCTCGCTGCGCCCCCTCTGCAGCGCGCGCCCCTCTCTTGCCCGCCGTTCCGCGTAACCCCTGCTGCTTCCCGGCGCTCTCCCCTCCACCGCTCCTTCCCCAAGGTCCGCGCACTCCCCGCATTGCTCGCGCATGCTTGGCTCCGCGCTTGCTTCCGCAGCGGTTCCCCCATGCGCGGGCTCTCGCTCCTTCATGCTCCTCCCCCGTGGTCTATTTACAAGCGCGCGTGTCTCCGCCGAGGGGGAAAACCGCGCCCCTGGAGCGGAGGGCAACGGGGGAGTCGAATCTGAAAACCTCCTGGAACTTTCCGCGCTAAAACGGCCACTGGTTTCCCCGTTATAAGACGCGAAGTCATCCGCGCTATAACGCCCGGATGCGTTTCTATCGCTGTAGGGATGCTCTACACCTATTGGTATGCTCTCCTGCGACGAGTTTCCTCCAGTTCCCGCACTACTCGTTTCTCCCGTCGCCCCTCCGCGAACCACGTCCGATAAGTCTCCGCCTCCCTCCTCTATCCCCTCCTCTAGCGCGCGCAAATCCTCTTCCGCCAGTGACAGCTCCCGCGACCCCCGCCTGCTTCCGCCGCCCCCGCTTCTTCCGCTTCCGCCCGCGCCCCCGCCGTCCCCCATGCGCCCACTCATGCTCCCCCGTCCGCGGCTATTGGCGCGCTGCACCAGGTTATCCGTGTCCGAGGCGGAGAAGCGCCGCCGAGCCGCCGCCGAGGCAAACGGGCTGGATGGGCAGCCCGAGGCTGCGGCGTTGGTTTGGGTGACGACTCCGTCGGTTGACGTGGCTCGGGAGCGATTACTCTGGGAGCTCTTCTGAAGGGGGCGAGAGGGGGAGAGAGGGGAGAAGGCGGGAGAGTAGGGCGGGTGGAGAAGGAGGGGGTAAGAAAAGGACAATGAGACACGGGAAAGAGGGGGAAGGGAAGCAAGAGATTTGAAAGGACTTGCCTGAGGAGGGGGGACCTTCAAGCTCGCCTCATAATCGCGGAACAGCGAGCCCTCTCCGCCCGCCCCCGCCTCCCCGCGCATCTCCGCCGCCCCCGCTGCTGCCATCTGCCGAGGAGAACCCGGCGCACGCGGGCGCTCGGCGCGCGAGCCTTCCGCGGAGGCCACGCGCGCGCGCGTGGCAGGGGAGAGCAGGGGCTCGAGCGGAGCGTGCAAGCCCAGGCGGTGCGCCTGCAAGACGACCTCGCTGTGAATGGCTAAGACCCGCGCGGCGCTGGGGGAATGGTGCTGGTGCAGCGGGGAAGTCGGGACGGAGGAGGAGCAGGGCGGGGGGGAGCCTAGGGGGGAGGAAAACGGGGAGGAGGACGGGGAACCTTCCTGTTGCTGCTGTTGCTGCTGCTGCTGCTGCTGCTGCTGCTGGTGCTTCTGCTGCTCATGGTGCTTATCGCGGTTCTGATAGCGCCGGAGGTGGTGCTGCTGCTGCTGCGGCTGCTGCAGCTGGCGCTGCATGCGCTCCTCCAGCTGCTGCTGCTGCGCGTGCGTCTCCGCCGCTTCGGACGCCGCCAGCTGGCACGCAGCGAGGAAGGCGGCGGCGCGCGGGCGGAGCAGCGGGAAGGCGAGGATGTCGGCCGCGGTGGGGCGGCGCGACGCGTCTTTAGAGAGCATCTTGGTGAGCAGGAAGCAGAGCTCGGGGGAGTATCTGAAGGGGCGCGGCGGGGGGGTCAGAGGAGAGGACAGGGGAGGGATGGGGGAGGGATGGGGGAGGGATGGGGGAGGGATGGGGGAGGGATGGGGGAAGGATGCGGGAAGGATGCGCGGGGACAGAGAAGAGAGGTATGAGAACCTGGAACAAGAAAGAAGTCAGAAAACAATAACGAGAGATATAACACAGCTTACATGTGCGGAGGAGGGCGGTAGTTGCTCTTGAGCACTCGCAGAACGAGGTCGCGTATGCTTGTAGCGGGGAAGGGCTTAGTGAAGCACATCATCTCGTACAGTATGCAACCCAACGCCCATATATCTGCAAAGGTTAGAAAAGGCAGGAGGCAAGGGGGAGAAATTAGGCTACACTTCAGAACACAGTACACGTGCCAACAGGTAGGTTGAATCAGGCCTTTACACCCGGGTCGTACGGCTCATCTGACTAATAACGTACGGCTCACCTGACTTATGGTCGTACGGTTCGTTCCGGATCAGCTCAGGCGACATGTACAGCGGCGTTCCCACGAAGCTTCGTGCGACCGCCTCGTGGGCCTCCAGCATTCGCGAAATGCCGAAATCGCCCAGCTGCACCGTCGCCGCGTTACCCAGCGGCGTGTCGTGACGGCTGCGAAGAAACACGTTCTCCGCCTGTCCGGAGGGCGCAGGGGAAAGGGGTGGGAGGTGGTGGGAGAGGGTTGGGGAGGGAGGGAGGCGTAAGGGAGGGAGGAGGCGCAACCGAGCCGCGTGTTTGAGCGAGCGAGGAGAAATTGGGTTGGGAGGGAGCGGAGGGAAGAAGTGAGGCGAGGAAGAGGGAACGAGCGGGGGCTATGAGGGGGCCAAGGCAGACGGCAAAACGATCGGACGGGGGAGATGGGGGCGAGCGGTGTGGAGTTTATCGTAGTACCTTGACGTCGCGGTGGAGAATGTTCTTATGGTGAAGGTACTCTAACGCGAGCACGAGCTGCACGAACCAGTTGAGAATGGTGTCCTCCGGAATCCTGCCGGGATCAATCAGAATGAGGACGACAGAAAAGCTGAGTCAACGCAACGCAGCGAAAAACGGCGAAACTGTGCGAAAGGACGAAACGACGCATCGTCATAAGTATCCTCATGAGTCAACTGACACCTGCACTGGATGAACGAATTCGCCTCAAACGCAAGGACCAGCCTCTCACATCACTATCATCACCGCAGATTAACTGACACCTGCTAGAACCGTATTCAACCACTCACATCATTGCCATGTTGGAGCGCTTCTTGAGGTGCTGACACAGCTCGCCCTTACGGCAATACTCCATCACTGCACGCACCCAGCACCAAGGACCAAGGAACGGACGGTAGGGATCATTATGGCGGTATGACTTTGGTCCTAGTGCGCGTGACACGGACACACGTGTTGCTAGGGCGAAAGAACGCTCCTCCGTGACTCTCGTTGTTGTCACAAATTTAAACGCGGAAGGAGTGATACTAAAAGAATGTCACATGGCCAACACAGCTGCAGCACTATTGAATGTAGTCGAGAAACCCTAAGCAACCGAACCTTGACAACTCAACTGCTAGGAGTAGAATTTTCGCAATATATACAAACCCTAAGGTCTCTAAGACGACGAGTTGCAAAGAGTACGAAAGATTGGATCTTCCGTAATCGCCTCTGCGACGCTATCCGAGTGTCGCCATGGGGACGAACAGGAACACGCTAAGCGAACGAATTCGACGAACTGCTGTACATCAGTAGTGACAATTTGCACCGTTTTCACGCGTGTCCTACTCACCAATGCAAAATGCACGGCTGGGGCGGTCGATAAACGCTTCCTGCGACGGAAAAGGCAGCACCCAGGTGACACGAAGAAACCCGCATTAGAAAAAGAGAAACTTATCAGCAGCTGGAGAAGTGACGACGTACGTCGGTCAGACGTTCAGATTCTGCTGAATCCATCGGCCTCGAGTCTGAAATACGGGGAATTAGTACGCTTTCAGTAGAAGGCGAGATTAGACGGTAAGTACCTTGCAGCCGACAATGCAAGGGTGACCGAGCTTCATCATGGTCGACCCTTCTCGAACGCATTCTTCTCGCTCCTTCGGATCCGACGGCAACGGTACGACCTTCATCACCCATACTTTATCGCTCGGACTGCGAACGGCCGGTTGATGCTTCGAGGATCCTTCGCCGTCGGGTTTCTCCTTAACCAGATACACTTTCCCGTGCGATCCCTCGCCTATGAGTTTGATCTTAACGTACTTGTCCATATACGTACGGGACGTAAGCGAGAAGAAACGACGCACGAACCGCTACTTCGTCTGACGCTTGATACTACATGTAGAAGAGCTGACATAGAGTATGGGAGGTTACAATTAAGGTCAGTACACGGCTGTGAAAACTCGTCTGACTAGCAGTTGACCACTTCAGGTGACCAGCATCACAGTGGTACCTCATTCTCATCCTGATAGTAACATACCCTCCCTCTTAGCGGACATGGTGTCGGAACAACTTAATTGCGCTGCTAACGTAAGTCAAGCGAGTGGCTCCGGGTGAAGGCAGAGTTAGATGAGGAGGTAAAGGCGGAGGTAGAGCCGGGGGAACCATTATTTGAATCATGGAGCTCGTCTGACACATTTAGAGGTATCTAATGCCTATGGGAAAAGTTGGTCTGTGATGTGGCTGTAAACTGAGAAACACTTAGGTCGGATCATATTTCTCGTTCAGGGTTCGTTAGACGCGGTTCAGTAGGTCAACTTACGTTTGGGAACGGTTTGAAATTTGTCACCGTATTGGACCATTGCACACCAGACTGAACCTTAAAATGCCTTCAGAAGACAGGGGTCGAGAGACGGGACAAGACGGACGAGAGGGAACGGATGAAAGGTGATGTTTTTCAGGCAAGTGATCCCCTTGCGGCCGTGGCTGACAGTCGCCAGCTCACCTGGACGCGGAAGAGGATCCTCGGAAGACTCCAAGTGGGCATTGAGGTGCAGAGCTGGTGGTGTGTTTTGAAACCAACCTGCACAGTGGTCTCTGAAACCAGACAAAACGAGATAGTGGACCAAGGGGTGTTCGCACAAACCAACGTCCCCCACACAGCTCAGACTTTCCATTCCCACAGAATCCAGGAAACCACGTGAAATACCGTGTTCTGTACACCTCGAAAGTCTACTGCTAATGCGCATGCAAAGTGCACAGATCCATCCTCGTGGAGTGGGGATCTAGATACCTACTAACAAGGGGTTCTCCACGGCATGGGCGCTCATAAAAAAGTCGAATGGCGGTACAGTTCATACCCAAAACAACTGACAAGCTTCACAAATCGGGTTCGCCGTGTCCATTGCAACAACTACCAAAAATTCTTCTGCTAGTAACCCTAACGGTTGTGAAATCGAATCTATTTTGGGTAAGCACTGGCTGAAAATAACTTGTGTGGGGTGGAACTACCAGAGTTGAGAGGTTCACTTGTCTATATACCAGCAGACACGCCACACCTCAGTTTTTTTTCGCCACTTTTTTTGGCGATGTCAGATATGTAGCGCAAAACAGACATCAACAAACATCACTTTTTGTTTTTTTTTTCGCCACTCTTCCAAGCGGAAAACTCTTGTTCTTAGTATTTTGCCCTTCCAAATTTCGTCTCCTCCCAGCAGAAACACTTGTGAGTGGACTTCAATAGACCATACGTCGCAAGTTTGCACATGACCTGTTCGACCCAGTATTTGGGAAACACAATGGTCAGCTTTCAGTTGTGACCATGGGATGGGACGACATGTCCTAATCAACCCGAGAATGTCCACGTACAACTCGCACACAACCCGGACTTCCCCTCATGGTCTTCCTTTTCTCGGGTGGGCCTTCTGGGCTTGACAGGACAGGAGGAGCCCTTCAGGGGTTGGGTGTGCGCACGACGACGAAACGTATCTTTACAAATCTTTCCAATGGGGAACTAGAACATCATTTCGACGGTAATTGCTTTACACCAACCTGGGGCAAAATCATCCCCTACATTGAGTGAGAAAATGACATCACACTGTGTAACAGCAAACAAATGATTGATCTAAATATGCAAAAGAGGGCTATGCAAAACTACATATTTCCCTTTGTGATGATAAACAAATACGCGTTTTATATCATTGAATCATAGGTTAAATGTTAATAGTATGAAATATAGTATAGTATTAATAATATATAGTATAGTATGTTAATAGTATATCTAAATGTATTTTATGTAGCCTGAAACTTGATCAATTATGCCTGAGAATATTTCATAGCATCATCAGGTGAGTTTATTGTGGGAAAAAACGGGAATTGCTGGTTCTTTAATAAGCTCTTTGATGTGTAAGCCAACAAAAGGAAATAAACGTATTTCTTCTTGTTACGTCACTCAGCTACCGGACCGCGCTGAGCCACCAATAATTACATTGCCGCACACTTCACGGCCTCGCCTTCATCGGGTTCGTCTGCTTCAACGCGTTTCCATTTCCACCTTCCCCCCAGTTCCACCCCACGGTTCCCCAAGCCTCCCCCATGGCTCTCTCCCCCTCACAATTGCTGTCCCCTCCGCGTCATCCTCGCGCATTCATTGACTATTTTCCGAACGCGGACCACGGTTCATCGTTCCTCCTTCCGCGAAGCAATTGCCAACATTCAGCGCGCCCACTCCCGCATCCCGTTTCCGCCCGTCGTCCCGCCCGCCGTTGCCTTTCCCTGCCAATGCTTCAAATCCGTTCCACTTCATCCACCCCAACGATGTAACTCGCGGAATTCCCAATTCCCCAGAGACACGCAGAAGGCCCGAAACCCCGCCCAGAAGGTCCAGAAAGTCCAGATGATGAACATAAGTGCAACCGAAGACTCCTCAAAGCTGACACACAAGGCCCTGCCCGTGAAGCTTGCGTTTACTAGCAATCGAGGAGATTGAGTCTGGCGCTTGGGGTGACCGCGACTTACTACCAGGCCGTTTTCTTTAACTTATTGGTCGTGAGGTTGGGTCGGCCCCGTTAGGAGGATGATGGACGTCTGAGCCGGTCCCGGTTTCTTGCACGCTGAATTTGTGTTCGATATAGTTTTGGCCCTCGTTAATCGAGTTCTGAATCAAGTAAGAGGCGCAGAACAGCCACTAGCAACAGAACCCTCGTCGTACATCGCCTTGTAGTAATAGCTTCGTCGTAAACACATCAACCGCCGTGCCTTTCCTTGCGTAAGTTTTTCTTCAGGTCTCTGAAAACGCCTGTCGTACTAGTTCCGTTCAGGAAACTCCATTTGCCGCATTGCCGATTTCAAAGTACAGTACTGCGAACGGAAGCATCTCAAGGCTGCACAGACCGCGATTCTGACCCGACGGTGAAGAGTAGGATTGAGAGTCGCGCTACCGGAGGCATTAGCATAGCAGGCGAAGGCCTTATATCCATTTCTTTTTCAAAGCTTACCACATCACATCGCTGTACGGAGAAATCTCCGTAGTGCGGAACTCACTCCTTCACTAGTCCCGTTTCCACTACTACTAAGTCGAACTTCGGTTGAACCGCTCCTATATCGTTTCGTAAATTGCGCCGAGCGGCATCATGGCAAACAACACTGACTTGAAATCGCAAGGCAGGGTCACGGGGAGGACGCACCACCAGAAGCCAGCAGAGGGCACCGCTGTGCTTGAGCCTGATTCGGGGCCCAAGTCGCCTTCGCCTCCTGGGGGTCCCAAGCCTGATTCTCCTCCGCCCGGTCCCGAGTCGCCTCCTCCCAAGTCGCCTCCTCCCAAGTCGCCCCCTCCCAAGTCGCCTCCTCCCAAGTCGCCTCCCCCCAAGTCGACTCCTCCCAAGTCGCCTCCCCCCAAGTCGCCTTCTCCCAAGTCGCCTCCCCCCAAGTCGCCTCCTCCCAAGTCGCCTCCCCCCAAGTCGCCTCCTCCCGAGTCGCCTCCCCCCAAGTCGCCCCCTCCCAAGTCGCCTTCTCCGAGCCCCAAGTCTCCTCCGCTTCCGGGTCCGATCCCACCTCCTGCTCCTTTACCCATCCCCGCCCCTGAAACTAACCCTGAACCGACCCCGAGTCCTCCCATCTCCGGCTATCTGATCGCAGGAGTGGTGGGGTCGCTGGCCGCTCTGTTCCTCGTGCTGCTGATCGTTGTGATTCTGAAGTGGCGCCAGATGCGGACGAAACGGAGAGTCGTCCCTACAGGGAAGGGGAGGCCCACGGGAAAGGGCGCAGCGGGCGCGGCAGGGGGAGGGGGAGAAGCAGCTGCTCCGAAGGGAGGTGAAGGGGATGCGGGGGACGCGGATGACGTGCGGATTCGATGGGTCCCCGCGCTGGGATTCGCGTTCACGGATCGTACTATAACGCGTATACCCTCTGGAAAGGAGGTTGCCGAATTCACTGCGTCTGGCCGCATGGTGTTTGCAGAGGCAAGTGAATTCGAGGGTGACGAGGAGAAGGGTAATCCCAAGGTTTCCCGTGAAGGAGGGCCGTCAAAGGTGGTTCCCGAAAGAGCATAAGAAGAGCGGAGAAGGTAAGGGTACAGGGCTGGAGAGGAAAGGAGCTGATATGGTGTTCGCAGAGGAAGTGAATCTGAGCGTGATGAAGAGAAGGGTGATCCGAAGGACACCGGAGGAGCGTAGAAATATCGGATAAGGTAAGGGTACAGTCCCAGGGAGGAAAGGAGCGGATATGGTGTTCGGAGAGGGTGCTGATTCCGAGGCTGATGCGGAGACGGGTGAGGAGAGGCTGCAAAGGTGATTTCCGGAGGAGGAGGAGCATAGGAAGCGCAGGGGGGAGAGGTAAGGGCGCAGTGTTAAGGAGGAAATGAGAGTGCATAGGTGGATCAGTTAAAGGGGAAAGGCCAGGCACAACCCACCTGCGAGAGGGATGGGTGGAGAGATCCGGGTGAAACGATGGATGCAGCTGTTATAATCCTTTTCTGCTAAATATTTTTCTAGCCTATTGGTGCTGATGTGACAAACCTGTTTGCACAAATAATCTGTCATGATGCTTGAGAGTCATTGGGCCTGTTTGCTCGCTGATCCCCAATATAAATTATTCCAGAAGCAAAAATTAGTAATAAGCACTTTGGCACCAATGCAACAAAGACAAAGCATTCAACACGGAAGCAAAGGTGATCCTGGGAGCGTGATTGATAATCCACAAAAATTGATCAGCACAAATTTATCGCCTTCTAGAAGCTGCGTCTAAAAAAGAAACTAAGAATATCTACGCGGGTTTGGCGCTCCAGCAGCCACGGCATACCCGGGGTGTGCTTGTGACTGCTACAAAATCTCCTACTGCTGCTGCTGCGGCTACTCCTACTGGCGCTGGCAATAGGCATGCTACCCTAGCGCGACAACTTGAGCCAGGAGTTGACTTGCGTGAAGGTGTTGGCGTCGTATCCGCTGACGCTCGTGATGATCCCAGGGTCAACCCAGTCCGCGCGGGAAGCAGCGGCGCCCGGCCCCTTGCTGCCCGCCTCCGCCAGAAACATGCAGCTGCCCTCGTTCCACGACAGCCACCCGTCCTTCTCGATCACGGCCGGGAGAAAGGTGTTGATGAACACCGTGAACGCGCATTTCTTCCACGGACGGCCCAGATACACCTTTGTCGTGCCCTTGTCCGCCGAGACAACAGCGTCGCGAATCACAATCCCCGTCGGGGTGTCCTTGGCCCGTCCCGACGCCGTTAGGGTTCCGAAAGAGGGGCTCGGGTGAAGCTGAATCTTGGGCGCGTCGATAACCACGGCCGCGTCGCCGAAAATGAAATCCTGCGTGCCGCCGATGAAGCAGTTTTTGTAGTACTGGCGGCCCGCGTCCACATACAATGTATCTTGCGATCCGTCGAACGCGCAGTTGAAGAGAGCCGTTTGGTCGCCGGTGGCGCGAAACGCAACTGCTTGGTGATTCTGGGGGCCTGCCGTGTTGACGAACTTGATGCCGAAGGCGACGAACCTGTTGTGTGGTTACCAGGTGGGTGGATAGATGCATGAGGAAGAGAAAATCGGATAGCCGCGAAGAGAGATAAGGGCAGAAATGGGGGCAAGGGGAAAGGGCGGCATTACCTGTCGCTATCCACCCCAACCGTAGCCGACTCGAAGGTCCCGGATCCGCTGCCGTAGCTCGCGTCGCCCGTGATGATCGTCTTACCCGCGCCCGCACCAATCAGAACGATGTCCGTCGTCGAGATGACAACCTGCTCCTTGTACGTTCCCGCGGGAATGTAAATCACGAATCGCGTGCCGCCGGGAGCGGCGTCAACGGCGTCTTGGATCGACTTGTATCCGGATCCGACGGTCGCGCTGGCGGCGAGAGACGCGCTGACGACCATCGGACCCTCGTTCGGTGACGCCTTCTTCTTGCTGCTCTTGCTGCTGCTCTTGCTGTTCTTGCTCTTGCTGCTCTTGCTATTGCTATCCTTGTTGTCGTTGTTGTCGCCATGGTCGTGGTGGTGGTGGTGGTGGAGCAGACGCCTCCTCGAGATGGAACCGCCCTCGGAAACCTCCCCGCTTGCGGCGGCAAATTCGGCGTTCAGCCTCGTTTGAAGCTCCTGCAGTTGCTCGTACAAGCCCTCCTCAAGCCAATCCATCGCGCCGTTTCCCGCGCTGCTGGATCGGACGGCCATGCGGCGTCCGCGCACGGGCGCCACGTCCTCTTCGGTTGATGCGACGGTAGCGGCGGATGCGAGGGCTTTCGCGGCGGCGTTGGTGATGGATAAGAGGGCGTCAAGGGTGCTGCCCGCCTTCTTAGCCGTGTACTGCGGAGATGGGGACGGGAATTCAGAAAAGGATTATAAATCAGTGCTGCTGTTGACAAGTTGTTTCATAAAAGGAGAAACCCAAATGAGAAAACATCAGTGCGAAAACCAGCACGTGAGAGCAATGCATTCGAATGCTTTTTAATTGAAAGATTTGTAACGAACCTCGAGATGTACGTAGGCGGGGAAGCCTTGCGCGGCGGGAGAGAAAGTCTGGAAGCCATCGACGCAGTTGTCGATCTGCGTGTCGGCGGCCGCCAGCCAGTACGGCACGTCGAGCTGATTCGTGCCCGCCTCCACCGCATCCCCCGCCTGCCCCAGGTAGCGCAGCGCGATGGTGGCCTGGCGCGCGCAACTCCTCGCCATGACATTTGCGAAATGGTCTTCCCGCACGTTGCTTGTCTTAATCTCGTTGGTTGCCTCGATTAGCGCCGCGACTTGCGCTTGCACCGCTGCGATCATGGCTGAGGTCACTTGCTCCTGGGTCTGCGGCACGACGCCTAGGGATCGCCGCGCCACGCGGAATTCTGCCGCGCAGTGTGTTCCGTTGGATGAAGCGATGCAGGCGTCCGGGTGGGTAAGGACGAAATAGTTGTCGGCCATCTCGCAGCAGGAGATGACGGCCAGCGCGAGGCCCAGTCCAGCGAATGTCCAGATTGCAGCGCGTTTCACCCAAGCGATTTCCATCTTCGCGAAGAGAAAGAGCTCACAAAGAAGAGTGCGGGAGAAAACCCGCAGGATTTAGGAGAGGTAAGAAATGTCGTGGCTAGATAAGCCGCTTCAGCAGCACTGGACCGATGAAAAGGTGGAGTTGAGACGTAAGCACAACTGATGATGGCTGATGGTAGTTCAACTGATAACTTATGGTTCTTAGAAACGCTTATTTATGTGAGTTTCCGTTGGGAAACTGTGAGTGTGGGAGGGCATAGGGCGCGAGTGCTTTAGCGAGGGGCCAATCTGGTAGGAGTCGCTGCGGGGGAGGGACAGCCAACTTATCGCAGCTCGATTTTGATAGCTGAAGAAATCGAAGCGCGAATACCTTAGCCCAATCATTGGTTGTTACGGAGCGCAGAGGGGCTGATTGCCCCGCAGCAGTCACAACTAAAGCGGCGTAAGGGACCGCCTACAAATTTTATAAAATCTGTTTATCAGAATTATGCAAGTGTTCCTTTCTTCCTGCTCCACCAGCCCAACAATTTGTTCACTCGGGCGTTGCCCAGTTCGATATATTCACGCCCCAGCGTTTCGGCCCCAACCCAACATTCACGAGGCAAATGGTAATATCAGGGACGTGTGGCGACGCGAGACACCGTGCTTCTACCGATACATGACTTGACTAATCAGGAAGCGTAGGTGATTGTCTGAGAAGCTAGCTAGCACTGTATTGTCTGCTGCTCTGCTGTGTAATATGATACATAGTAGAATTTCTTCCAATAAAGATGCGCAGTCAAGTTAATTTCCTACATCAAATGCACAGCTCCGTTGCATTAGTGTACAATTCAGTCTGTACCCTCCCAATTACCATACCATTACTTTCCGAAGGGCATTATTGAGTCAATCAACTTAAGTACCGGTAAATGTGCTTGGGAACTGTGAATAAAGCTGCTGATATACGAAGTTAACAAATTGTACCAAACCCGTATAGACAGCTGACACTACCTGCCGACACATGCCGTAAATGTATTCCCGACCCCATGTTGATACTATGGAAGCTTGTATGGAAACCCACCAAGATTGAATTGTACCCAGCACATGTAATCTAAGAGCCCTCAGCCCTGATCAGAACAAAAATGAGAACATAGGCACAGCAAAACAAAACTACAGTACCGTACGAAATTGGATTAAGTCCTTTCCGCGGTTGGAGAACCAAAGCCGAGGTAGGCAGCAATAGCGGGCACCTCAAACGTTGGTATTAAAAACTTCTTGTCGCAGCACATCCAGCAGTCCGTATTCTCTAAACCAAGGAGCAGTGGAGGGGATGAGTGGAGGTGGTGTATGGTCCGGCGTAGCAGCAGGTATTAGAGTTGGGAGGAACAGCCACCTGCAACCCTTATTGCATGTCATTGTTGTGTTCATTGCCAGTGAATGCAAGTCACTGCAAGTCACGCGGCCCGGGAGGGAAGACCGAGGCAGGAGCAGCCACAGCCAGAGGCTTCCTGCTCCGCAGATTCACCCGCCCCTTGCGGATAAACGAGTAAACCGCCCTCCCATAGTGCTCATTCCTCACTGTCATCGTGCTGGCTCGCCAATCACACGCCTCCGCATCCCGCAACCCCGCCTCAACTATCGCCTCTCGCGTTTTCTTGGATGCCACTAGCTGCCGAAGCTTGCCGACCGCGTCGTCCACGTCCCCCGGCGTGAACAGGAACCCGTTCTGCCCCTCTCTGTTGACAATATCTGGGATTCCACCTGCCCGGGCGGCGACCACAGGGACACCTGACGCCATCGCTTCTAGAACCACGTTCCCCAGCGTTTCTGTTTCCGAAGGAGTGATGAAAATGTCTCCTGATGCGAATGCTCGCGAAAGGTCGGCTCCTTGCTTCATGCCGGCAAAGACTGTGGGCGTTCCGGCAAACAGTTTTTCCAGCTCGCCTCTGTAACAAGAATGGGGAGCAGAAGGTAAACGAGCATTGGAAGGGCAAGGAGCACAAGGAGTAGGGTAAGGACTTTGGCCCGAGAATGCATGCCTTCATGCCAGCTAAAACTGTGAGTGATGGAAAAGACTGCAGGCGTTGACAAACAAACGCCCAGAATTTCCTTGTTGGGAATAGTAGCAGCAGGAACAGGAACATGGGAATGTACATGGGAAAGAAAGCATGCTGTTACGAGCAAATGCGGAGGCAACAGAAGAATAAAAACTATATATTTCAAAACTCCTCACAACAGTCTCACAGCAAAGCTTTTAAAGATCCTCACAAACTTCTCACTGGGACAATACAGGAGTGGCGACACAGGGACATACATGGAAACGGGAAAAGGGAAGATGCTGCCAGATGCAATTTGGGGGGCAACATAAGACCTTATGAGAGCAGAGAAGGACGAGCTTCACACATTGAGGACTCCACTAATCCTCAACAGACATACATACCTGTGTGGTCCATCCCCGATGAAAGCAAGGCGTGCCCCTGGAAGCCTGTCCAGCATGCTGGTGGGAGGGAGGCATGGGGAGGGGAGTGGTGGTGACAAGGGATAGGGGAAGAGGGGAGAGAAGTGGTGGCAAGGAATGGGGGATGAAAGCAAGGCGCGCCCCTGGAAGCCTGTCCAGCATGCTGGTGGGAGGCACAGGAGGAAAGGTGATGACAGGAGATTGGGGAGGGGACGAATGGTGCCTACGCCAGCCAAGAAACCTCTTAGTGGATTCTGCCTTTAAGTGTGATGTGAATTAAGACTGGCATTGGTGCGAACCAGTGTAAACACTGGCATTGGTGCAAAGTGGTGTGAACAGTGGCATTGGTGCAAACCGGTGTGAACCAGTGTGAACTTGGTGAGAGGATGGAGGGGGAGAGGTATATGTCAACCAAGAGACTTTGACTCAGCTTTTGCGGTAGCTAATAGCAAACTCAGATTAGCCAATCAGCACACAGATTGATTCGAACAACTCGGTTTGGTTGATTAATCCGACTTTGGTTGAATCAGTCTGCTCAAAGTTTGTGCAGACATACTCACGGCTGTCAACCATCTCCTCCCGTTTCTTACAAAGCAACCTATGCTTTAGTCAATACTCACGGTTTGAGCAGATGAAGGTTCTTCTCAGCTCCCAGGCGCCCCACATGCACAATGAGAGGCTTGTCCACCTCCCCTCCACTGTTGGATCAAGAAGGAGAGAGCATGATAGTAGCACAGAAAAAATCAGAGCAAGCGGCTCAATCCGATTTACAGTTCTAGGCATTGCTGCTGACACGGTTACGGCAGGCGCACACCTACATCTTTTCAAATAATTCCTCGAAGCCCCTTCCCTTCCCTGTCAACACGTACCGTAATCTAACACGTGGCCAAAGGTGGAACATCGTGCACACAGAGAGCATCTCCTCCTGGTCTCATACCTGCGCGTTGAGCTCGTGAAAATCGACGCAGCCTTGGGTTGGGACACACGCCTTCCCGTCTGCCTCAAGACTAACCTAAACCGTGCTGCCTTGTGACATACAGCTGCCATACCTGAACAGTTGCGTGTCTGCTGGTCTTGGAACCACGGGTTGAACTTGTGAGAATCCACCAACTTGGCTGGGCCACACTCCCATCTGCCTGCCTCCAGAGAGCAGACGAAACTGACCCGTCTAGCCCTTGCCTGGGATCACCACAGACAGCTAACGCACCTGAGCAGCTTCCGCGTCTCCTGGTCTCGAAACCGCGGGTTGAACTTGTGAGAATCTACTGCCTTGGGCCACACGCCCATCTGCCTGCTGCCTCCTGCGCGTGGACGGCAGGAGGAGGAAGGAGAGACAAGGGGAATGGGAAGGATCATTGAATCTTGTGATTCAGCATGCATGAAAACTCCAACCCTGGTTTGGCATTGTCCATCTGCTTCAGGCAATTAGCTTTGCGCCTAGACAGAGACAGCAGCACTTACCTGCTGTGGCGTTGTGCTCTTTAAGCTCCTTTGCCAGCTCGTGAGATGTCGTGATAGCATGGTCCGCCCCTCGATGCAAGTATCCTGAGAAAGTTAAGGGAAGAAATGACAGGAGATGGAAAATCACAGGTAAGATTGGAAAACAAAGGCAAAAAAACAAGCAAAACACAAACAAAGAAACGAACAAACAACCATTGGAAAGTGGTCCTCGACCCAGAATCTGAGAGCCGAGAAGTGTTGTTTGCAATAGGCCACAAAAGAATGTGCAACTTACGAATTACTTTCCACATGGGCTCCACTAGTCCTGGAAAAGTGTACTTGGGTATGTACCTGCGAACAGCACAGCAGGCAGCATGGCGCACAGCTTTTGAGACGCCTCTGAACAGCTGCGGACTGAGACGTCCCACATTATGAGACGTCTCACATTATGAGACATCTCACATTATGAGACATCTCACATTATGAGACATCTCAGCCATGGAGCACAACAACAGCCACCACTAGTTTACTGCTATTGGACCAGACACGGCACACTGACATGGGGGCTGGGAGGAGGGAGTGGTGGCGGGATCCATGACATCAAAAGCAGGAAGCGTAGGAGGATTTCACGTTGGGACCGGGCGTGTGAGTAACATAGCGGCATGTACGGCGCTTATGTTGCAAGTTTATGATTTGCCGAGCCACAACATGAAGAAATGGGGGGATGGTACGAGAGCGTTACGCTGGAAAATGTGTGTGATACGGGAGCAGGAAGGGCGTGTGTATGTGACCAAAAGCTTTTATGAAAGCAATGTTGCAAGTGGGAGGGCATTACGCTGGGACGTGAGTGTGATACGAGAGCATGAAGGGCGTGTGTGTCATCTTCGCTGTTGCCATGGCTCCAAAGCACTGCCAGTTAGGAGAATGAAATGTTTCGGTACAAAGAATGGATTGATGTACTTATATTGGTACGCTTGCACGGTCAGCTTTACTGTTGCTGTTGGCTGAATGTAGTGTATTGATGCACAAAAATCTACCATGATTCCTGAAAAGGTGGAATGGACACTGCGAGGTTTGAATCTTAATTTCCTCATATTCTTGCAAACCTGGCCTCGACATTCAAGAATAGCACTCTCTTTTCTGAGGCTCAATAACGCACCAATGCACCATGATTCATGAAGAGGTGGAGTAGATGATATCAGGCTTGTAAGTTGCTTCACGTACAATCAATCAACCTGCCTTTGACATTCAAGAACAACACTCTCTTTTCTGTGGCTATACGAACTCACCATCATTCCTGGAGTGGAGTGGATAATGCCAGGCTTGTAAGTTAGTTCACCTACAATCCTGCAAACCGGCCTTTGACATTCAAGTATAGCACTCTGTTTTCTGAGGCTAAAAAAACTCACCATGATTCCTGGAGAGGTGGAGTGGATGATGTCTGGCTTGAATTTGGCCACTTCAGAAACAATTCGTGGGCTGAATCCCAGCGCGAGAGGAACATTCGTGTACCACGGGCAGGGGAAACTGGAAACAACACAGGAATGAAAGGAAAAATAGCAAAACATTAGCTTCAAAATCACGTGATAGAGGAAAAACGCAGATGGTGGCTGGGCCGATGCAGTCTTAGCGGCAGCGTAAGATGCACAGGATGATACCTTAGCGAAGGTATCACCTTTGCTCCCAGAAATTCTTTAGGAGCTCCTTTGTGAGTGGTCACCACAAGCACCTGCACAGAGCCACTGATACTCCGTTAGCATGCCGGCGGAAACTTCAGCGAAGGGGGAACAAGTGGGGGATTATAGGGGAAAGGGTGGCTGGCACAAGGGGGACGGAGGGGGAAGAGAGAGGGAAAAAAAAAAAAATGCCTTTCTTTTATATTTACCTCGTCCCCCATATCCCGTAAGTGGCGAATGAAATTTTGGAAGCGCGTTTTGTAGCCACATACGTATCTGCACCACCAACGAACTGGGGCCCGTGAGTAAAACGACAAAGCTTGCCATCCACTGGAGCCAAGTGGCTAAGAAACCGTAACACTTGACAGATCGCGTCGCAACCCTTACGCGAACGGCGAAGGTTCCACGAACAACGCTATTCGTCGCTTGCTTCGCGACCACTGCTTGCAAAAATCGTCGCATCCCGCGTCCATTCGTTCCGGCGACGACAACGCATCACCATTGGTCAATTCTGCCGCGGAGCCTGACGGGACCAATCTCTCTTCCACTCGCAAATCTGGGCTCACTCCCCAAGGTATGGCTTTGAGCAATCGCTCCGCAACCATCGCGATCACAACAATCAGGAGAGTAAGCGCCTTCGAGATACTGATAAGAATTTCCAGCCTGCTAACCGTACGGAATCGACTAATTGCTTCTATACTGTCAACGCTGAAGAAAACCATTCAAAGGCTTGGATGAAGCTTGAAAATGAATGGCCAAAGTTGAAAGCCGCGACGGAGCAGCAGCAGGTTAGACGGAGCCAAGCAAGCCAGAAAGCCCAAGGCAGGGGTGTGTGAGGCGAAAAAAGTGGCGGGAAATCTAATCCCGAGGTTGGATTGGGCGGGTGGGGCAGCCTGGGGAGCTTTCAGCCGTGCTTCTTGCGTGTCACCCTTGGTATCTCCGTTCAGGCCTGGCAGCAGGCAATTCGTGGTTGAAATTATCCGTTTGAAGGATTTGAACCCTCAACACTTTGCTGCCTGCGTGTTTGCGTTTGAGAATATTCCTCATCGTGTACGAGGCTAGATGCCATTCTTTGAATCGAGTCGAGAACAGTACTGAACCGTCTAGTGATGGATTGAGTGTGTGCATAACAATCCCAAGATTCAAGAATGTCACTGCTTTTATCATCTGCAATGTTCGTATTTTGACAATTGAATGACATAAACGTGAAGCCAGCTTCCAAAACGTTATATCCTTTTAGTTAAGCACGCAACTCTTTTGGCTTGAATTAATACCATCAACCCAAACCCACTGCAAAAAAAAAACAGCTTCCATTATCGCTCAACATGCAAAGCAAACCCACCTTATTAGTGGCCTAAAGAGCATGTCGCATTACCATTCTTTTTGCTGTTCCAAAACATGCTTCATACTAATCACAATGTGTAATACATGATATCAAATCAATGAGCTGCTGAGTACTAATTCCAGTGTAAAGCAGGTACAATGCTGTGGAAGGCAGTGCAGTTCACAACTTTTATGCCTCAACATTATTAGTTCAGTATTGTAACCCCTTCTTACAACACGTGTACATTCTGCATTGCAGCATTCTACCAGAATTCCCACGTTTATAGTATATGACATTCACATTAAAATAGAACCAAGATACCGGCACTAGAGCTCCGGCAAGAACCCTGTGTACCTGTGATTCTAATAACAGGCAGGTATTGTACTGATATGTCTGTGGAAGAACCTAGGCCACAGCCACCTGTTCTTCCTCAGCGCCGTCTCTTCCTGAGTGAGTGGCGTGTGTGGCGAGCGAGTGTGTGCATGAGTATGCGGTGTGCGTGGGCGTGGTGTGTGTGTGTGTGTGTGTGTGTGTGTGAGTGAGTGAGTATAGGCATACCTCTGCCAGGCTAGCTTCAAGAATTTCATCCTCGCTCCCCCATACCACTAGGCATGGCTGGGACACCTGCGCATGCACACATGCGCATGCATGCATATTCACATGCACACATGCACATGCATAATCGAATGCATACACGCACGCACATGCACACATCCACATCCACATGCCCATGCCCACGCCCATTCACTTGTGTGGAATGAAACGAAAATAAAGGAAGTTAGAGACAAGCAAGAGATAAAAAGAGGTAACTTCCTGATGCATGAACAACACGTGGTAATTTTCTGACGCATGAAATCAACCAGCTATGCCTCTATAACAAAGGTCATCAGCCCTCACCTCGCCAACTCTCTTGGACACGTGGTAACCGCCCGAGCGCATGAAATCTAGCAGCAACAGTGCATGTGTGTTAAGGATATCAAATCTCACCTCGCCCACTCTCTTGGACACGTGGTAACCGCCCGAGCACATGAAATCTAGCAGCAACAGTGCATGTGTGTTAAGGATATCAAATCTCACCTCGCCCACTCTCTTGGACACGTGGTAACCGCCCGAGCGCATGAAATCAACCATGGCATCAGCCCAGTCAGGCATCACGCAGTACAGGCAGCACAGTCAACTGCCTCTCCATACAGTGCCCATCCTACCCCCTCTCACCTCGCCCACTCTCTTGGACACGTGGTAACCGCCCGAGCACATGAAATCTAGCAGCAACAGTGCATGTGTGTTAAGGATATCAAATCTCACCTCGCCCACTCTCTTGGACACGTGGTAACCGCCCGAGCGCATGAAATCAACCATGGCATCAGCCCAATCAGGCATCAGGCAGTGCAGACGGCCGACCTGCAATGCGGGGGGGGGAGAGTAGAGAGTAGAGAGGGGAGATTCCCTTAGCAGCTGACATGCGCAGCAGCACGCTCGTTTAGAGTGGTACCATGGCATCAGCCCAGTCAGGCATCAGGCAGTGCAGACGGCCAACCTGCAATGTGGGGGGAGGCGAGGAGAAAGAGAGGGAGTTTCTTCAAAGCCGAGAATAAAAGCGTTGACATGCTCAACGCTTATATTCTCACGCACACACACATTCACTCACTCACTCACTCGCTCGCTCACTCGCTCACTCACTCGCTCAATCACTCGCTCATTCACTCGCTCATTCAATCATTTCCTCACTATTACAACACACGTGTGCACCTGCACGTTCCGATGTTGGAGATTCTAGGGTATTATCGAAAGACCACTCGTACATTCATTGCGCCTTCAGTGGAGTGTGCCTTCAGTGGAGTGCGCCTTCAGTGGAGTGTGCCTTCAGTGGAGTGTGCCTTCAGTGGAGTGTGCCTTCAGTGGAGTGTGCCTTCAGTGGAGTGCGCCTTCAGTGGAGTGTGCCTTCAGTGGAGTGTGCCTTCAGTGGAGTGTGCCTTCAGTGGAGTGTGCCTTCAGTGGAGTGTGCCTTCAGTGGAGTGTGCCTTCAGTGGAGTGTGCCTTCAGTGGAGTGTGCCTTCAGTGGAGTGTGCCTTCAGTGGAGTGTGCCTTCAGTGGAGTGCGCCTTCAGTGGAGTGTGCCTTCAGTGGAGTGTGCCTTCAGTGGAGTGTGCCTTCAGTGGAGTGTGCCTTCAGTAGAGTGTGCCTTCAGTGGAGTGTGCCTTCAGTGGAGTGTGCCTTCAGTGGAGTGTGCCTTCAGTGGAGTGTGCCTTCAGTGGAGTGTGCCTTCAGTGGAGTGTGCCTTCAGTGGAGTGTGCCTTCAGTGGAGTGTGCCTTCAGTGGAGTGTGCCTTCAGTGGAGTGTGCCTTCAGTGGAGTGCGCCTTCAGTGGAGTGTGCCTTCAGTGGAGTGTGCCTTCAGTGGAGTGCGCCTTCAGTGGAGTGTGCCTTCAGTGGAGTGTGCCTTCAGTGGAGTGTGCCTTCAGTGGAGTGTGCCTTCAGTGGAGTGTGCCTTCAGTGGAGTGTGCCTTCAGTGGAGTGTGCCTTCAGTGGAGTGTGCCTTCAGTGGAGTGTGCCTTCAGTGGAGTGTGCCTTCAGTGGAGTGTGCCTTCAGTGGAGTGTGCCTTCAGTAGTGTGCCTTCAGTGGAGTGTGCCTTCAGTGGAGTGTGCCTTCAGTGGAGTGTGCCTTCAGTGGAGTGTGCCTTCAGTGGAGTGTGCCTTCAGTGGAGTGTGCCTTCAGTGGAGTGTGCCTTCAGTAGAGTGTGCCTTCAGTGGCGTGTGCCTTCAGTGGAGTGTGCCTTCAGTGGAGTGTGCCTTCAGTGGAGTGTGCCTTCAGTGGACTGCGCCATCTTAATGCCCATTTGGACCAGCAGTGCATGGTATGGCACATATACTATTGGTGAACGTACATTCATTGCATCTTCCGTTGACATTGACTTGTCATGGAATGCCATCTTGATTGCTGACATGCGCAGCTGCACACTCTTCAGCAGAGCTACCTGCTTGTCACTCTCCCTCCCTTCCTCACTCACATTCATTGCATCTTCGGTTGACTGTGTCTTATCATGGAATGCCATCTTGATTGCTGACATGCGCAACTGTACACTCTTCAGGAGAGCTACCTGCAGTAGCCATCACTCGCACACAGAGACACATGCACAAGGATACAAACACACAGACACATACATAGAAAACCCATTGAAGCACACACAGACACACACATGCAAACACACAGAAACACACGAAGAGACACATAGAAATGCAGTTATAGTAAGACCGATACACATTGAAACGCCTCTGCAGTTATATTAAGAGCATGCCACAGAGCTTTTGCCCCAACAAGCTGCATGCTCATACGAAGAACCGCCTGCATGCCCTTGGGGATCCCCAAGAGCCCTTACACAGAAAGAGCCCGTTCAAGCTGCGCGTTCCCACCTACCTTCCAAGGGTCCGTTCGAGCCCTAGCATCCATACGCCACAAAGCTTTGCAGGAGCATAGGTAGGGGCGCGATCGGGCGCGATCGGGCCCTTCCACAGACCAACCGGACAAGGCAGGCGAGGCAGGCAGAAGTCAAGTAGGACTCACCCCAGCGTAGGCCAGGAACTTTGCCAGGGCGGCAAGAGGGACCTTCCACAGGCAAAAGCAGATAAGGAAGGCAAGCCAGGCAAGCCAGGCAAGCCAGCGAGCCAGGCAAGCCAAGCGAGCCAATCTCAACAACCCCACCTGAACTGAATGCAACTCACCCCCGCGTATGCCAGGAATTTCGGCAGGGCGGCGAGAGGACCCACGCCCTCCTGAAACGCCTGTGCGTCCAACAGGAGGAGACCCACTGGCTGGGATGGTGTTTGCAGGGAGGGAAGGATAGAATGAGCGGGAAGGCAGAGAGAACAGCGGTGTGACGGTGCAGCAGTGAGAGGACCCACGCCCTCCTGAAACGCCTGTGCGTCCAACAGGAGGAGACCCGCTGGGTGGAGTGGTGGGCGGGGGAGAGGAAAGAGGGGAGAGGGGAGAGGGGAGAGGGGAGAGGGGAGAGGGGAGAGGGGAACAAGCAGTGAGTGTGGATGTGACTGCATAGTGGCGAGAGGGCCCACGCCCTCCTGAAACGCCTGTGCGCCCAGCAGGAGGAGACCTGCTGGCTGGAGGTTGTTTGCAGGGAGGGGAGGATAGAATGAGCAGGAAAGAAGAGAGAGCAGCGGTGTGACTGTGTAGCAGTGACAGGGCTGGCGCCCTCCTGAAATGCCTGTGCGTCCAGCAGGAGGAGACCCGCTGGCTGGAGTGGTGTTGGCGGGTGGGGGAGAGGTTGGAAGGCAAGCAGGGGCGAAACGGGAACGAGCAGGGAAGTTGGGTCGGGCTATGCAGCAGCGAGAGGGCTCACCACCTTTTTCAATAGTCAAGAAAGTGTAACTAATTTGGTGCCTGTAAAAGAGAATTACCCATGAACGTTAATGATGTATAGAAATCACTATTGATACGAACAAACCTTACCACATCGAGATGGTTCACTACCAGGTGGATTGCAGCAGCACCAAAAACGCGTAACAAAAGAAACATTAGCAATATAGGAAACAACAGTAATATTATAAACCGTACCACATCGGGATGGTTCACTGCCAGGTCGATGGCAGCAGCACCCCCGAGGCTAGGACCAACCAGCAGAGCCGGACGGCCCCCTAGGTGTTGCCGCCAGAACTGCAAGGGGAGGGAACAGGAAGGAGAAGCACTGATGAGGCGGCCTCGGTTCGTTTGAAAGGGAAGGCTGCCCGGCTGCCTGACCAACCAGCAGAGCTGGGCGGCCCCCTAGGTGTTGCCACCAGAACTGCAAGGGGAGGGAACAGGAAGGAGAAGCACTGATAAGGCGGCCTCGGTTCGTTTGAAAGGGAAGGCTGCCTGGCTGCCTGACCAACCAGCAGAGCTGGGCGGCCCCCTAGGTGTTGCCACCAGAACTGCAAGGGGAGGGAACAGGAAGGAGAAGCACTGATAAGGCGGCCTCGGTTCGTTTGAAAGGGAAGGCTGCCTGGCTGCCTGACCAACCAGCAGAGCTGGGCGGCCCTCTAGGTGTTGCCACCAGAACTGCAAGGGGAGGGAACAGGAAGGAGAAGACCGGGCATGAAAGTCGTTCGGCTTGAAAACAAGGCAGCAGGGCCGGACGGCCCCCTAGGTGTTGCCACCAGAACTGCAAGGGGAGGGAACAGGAAGGAGAAGACCGGGCATGAAAGTCGTTCGGCTTGAAAACAAGGCAGCAGGGCCGGACGGCCCCCTAGGTGTTGCCACCAGAACTGCAAGGGGAGGGAACAGGAAGGAGAAGACCGGGCATGAAAGTCGTTCGGCTTGAAAACAAGGCAGCAGAGCTAAGCGGCCCAATAGATGTTGCCGCCAGAACTGCAAGCAGAGGAGACGGGAAGGAAATGACAGGAAATAGCATTAGTCCGTCTTGAAGGGAAGGCGGGAGGACTGGTTGGCCCCCTAGGTGTTGCCACCAGAAATGAAAGGGACGGGAAAGAGAGCAACAAGGTAGCAGCATTAGTTCGTCTGAACAGCTAGGATTTCGAGCAGTGAGGGCTAAGGGCGTTACCAGGCTAATGTGCACGAGAAAAGAGCAGGGGGAGGAGATTGGTACCGAATTCATTCAGGTGTTACCTGGTGCAGGCAGTACCTGGTGCAGGAGAAACCGGTCCAGGCAGTACCTGGTTCAGTTCAATAAATACTAGTGCAGGCAGCATTACTTGGTGCAGGTGGTACCTGGTGCAGGCAGTACCTGGTGCAGGAGAAACCGGTCCAGGCAGTACCTGGTTCAGTTCAATAAATACTAGTGCAGGCAGCATTACTTAGTGCAGGTGGTACCTGGTGCAGGCAGTACCTGGTGCAGGCAGTACCTGTTGCAGGCAGTACCTGGGGCAGGCAGTACCTGGTGCAGGCAGTACCTACCTGGTATAAGTGCTCCCTCTTGGCATCCACGGAGAAGGACTGGATTCCCCGCTCTGCCATCACACGTAGTGGTGGGATGGTGGGATGGCGGAGAGACAGACAGTAAGCACATGCAGTGAGAAGGACTGCATTCCCCGCTCTGCCATCACACGTAGTGGTGGGATGGTGGGATGGCGGAGAGACAGACAGTAAGCACATGCAGTGAGAAGGACTGCATTCCCCGCTCTGCCATCACACGTAGTGGTGGGATGGTGGGATGGCGGAGAGACAGACAGTAAGCACATGCAGTGAGAAGGACTGCATTCCCCTCTCTGCCATCACACGTAGTGGTGGGATGGTGGGATGGCGGAGAGAAACAGAGGAAATGTTATGAACAACTGCCTCTGGAGAGAAAGAGAGGAACAGTACAATGCGAGGGATGATGAGGCACCGATGCTTTGACAATAGAACAAGAATAATCATGATAACAAAATAATATTAATCATATTAAAACTTTGGACTCACCCCTGAGAAGCCCCAGCCAAGAGTGTCCACCGCCCATGGCTCTGCTCCGTGCTGCTGGAACAAGACAGTGCCAGCAAGCCACCCAATCAGCACACCACTGAAACCCCTTTCCTCACCCTTGGTGGTGTCGGAGAAGCCCCAGCCCAGAGAGTCCACTGCCCATGGCTCTGCTTCATGGTGCTGCGGCATAAGATGAGCAGCAAACCACCCTATCAAGCACACCACTGAAACCCCTTTCCTCACCCTTGGTGGTGTCTGAGAAGCCCCAGCCCAGAGTGTCCACCGCCCATGGCTCCGCTCCCCCCTCCTCCAGGCGCTGATACACCCGCCGCCACTCCAGGCATGAACTGGCAGCAGGGGCGGGAAGGCGGTGGGGGAAAGGAGTGAAAGACCATGAAAGGTCTTGACTGGGATACAATGCTCCTCCCCTCTTCCAGGCGCCCATGGACCCGCCGCCACTCGAGGCATGAGCTGCATGGGAGGAGTTGACTTTTGAGTCGACTAAAAATGACTTTTGACTTTTGAGTTGACTCAAAAGTCATCCAGGCGCCCATACACCCGCCGCCACTTCAGGCATGAGCTGCACGGGAGGAGAAGGGGCGGGAAGGGGGGGACGAAGGGAGGAGGACCGGGGTAAAGGTGGGGAGAGTAACGGAGACTCGCTCCTCTCCTCCCTCCTCCAGGCGCTCATACATCCGCCGCCACTCCAGGCATGAGCTGCACGGGAGGGGAAGGGAAGGGGAGGTGGATGGAGGGAGGAGAGGAGTGGGGAATAGCCTACTGATGAGTCTCAATGATCCTCCCTCCTCCAGACGCTGATAGACCCTCATGGTCCTCATGACCGTCATGGTCCTCATGACCCTCATGGTCCTCATGACCCTCATGGTCCTCATGGTCCTCATGGTCCTCACCTCATGACCCTCATGGTCCTCACCTCATGACCCTCATAGACTTCACTGACATGCACCCGGCCTCACTGGCTTTACTGACACGTCAGAAACGGATCTCATTGGATCAGTTGACTCGTCCGAATTCGGTCTCAAGAACTCGACTGACCTGTCAAATCCGTGGAAGAGCAGGATGGGGACGGCTGTCTGGCCGGCGTTTTTTGGCACGATGCAGCCGCTCATGATTGGTTCTGAAGCAAGGTTGGTCTGGGTGGCAGGGGAGGGGAGGGGTGGGTGGGGAGGAGCGGAGGGGTGGGGAGGAGCGGAGCGGAGGCGGAGGAGAGAGGAGGAAGTAAGTACGAGTAGAGGAAATAAGGGATAGGACCAGAGGAGACGGTTGGGTTGGAGGGTGGGGAGAAAGGGAAGGGAGGGAGGAAATCAGGGAAAAGGAGGGGGAAGCAAAGGCAGAGAGAAAGGGGGAGGGAAGGGTAAGGAGAGAACAGAGGGGAAGGAAGAGGTTATGAGGTCAGCAAGGGAGGGGTTGGAAGTGACATGGAAGAAGTTATAAGATGTAAACTGAGAATGCATCTCGACGGCATACATCCGATGGAATCGATCGTATGCCTTCTCCTATGCGTCCAATCCATTCCAATACCTCCCTCCCCACACCTGCAATCTGTCTCGTCACCTGCATCATCAACATCATCTATACCTCTCCTCACCTGCGGCAATCTTCACAGCCTCAATACCTCCTCTCACCTGCACCAGTGCCTACAGCTCCCCTATGCAGCAATCCTTAGAAATATTTACGCCAATACCTCCCCCCACCTGAAGCAATCCGTAGGAGCATCGACGCACTCACCTGTACTGGCAGCCTCTGAACGCGCCGTGCCAGCTGGCGAGCCGCCTCCTCCTCAAGCTCCGTCACTTGCGGCGGCAGAAACGCGGGGAATTCCGTGGCTTCCCCTCGTGGCTCGATGGACGGAGACGTGGCAACGCCATTGCCGCTGCGCGCCTCGGACTCCGAGCTTGCTGACACGCTCACTCTCATGTAGCCGCTATTTCTGTTAACTCTGTAATCCATGTTTGTACCCTTATTTCTGTTAGCATGGCTTATGCTAAGCGGATGGGGAGCCAATAACGGAGATATCTGAATTGGTGACTGTAACGAAGCCCGACGAGACCCGCCATGCGCGTCTTGTCGCACGGCGAGCCTGCTCGTAACGGCAGCCTGCGAGTACGAAGCAATCGCAGCCATAGTAAACGGCCTCTAAACAGCGTGTTTTAGCACCTGACGATTGAGCGACTCGAGACTGTCAGCAATGCATCACAGAGACAGATTTAGTAGCAGTGGAATGCCTGCGGAATCTGTTTGTGCTAAATTTTTTCTTCAAGGCATCCCACGCTACCGAGCTTTATCGAAGCGAAGCGAATGCAACCGAAGACAACTGAGATGACTTTCCTGATCACTACACAGCGACAAGGACGATGCACTTCGACAGGTGACAATGCCGAGGGATGACTTGATTGGTACTATGGAATAAGCCGCTCATCACTCGCCACGTCACTTGCATGTCATCGGCGACACCAGGGCCGCTTTTCTTCGCAAAAATCACAGCTTCACCGTCTGAACCCAGCAATTCATGTAGTACTGAACCCAAATGGAAAACTGCAACGACCCGCGAGGTTTTTTATGCTGGGTAGTACTTCTGTATTCTGAGTTCAGCATCACGTTTATGTTCCGAGTGCGCGTGAAAAAAACCCGACTGATGGTGAACTTCACACAACGAACGGAGGCAGAACACGCTGTACCCTCCCTGCGAGGCTTCATTCTACACGGCAGCACGCAATTCCGCCAAGGTGGGTGAGAGCAATCTCTCTCTCCAATCCGCTACGTTCCCGCGCAGCTTTAGGAGAGCCACTCATCCCTTCAGAATGTCGCCGCCACCGCAGCAGACTTGCGTGCTCCTGGTGAGCAAAAGCACAACAAACATCCACTACGTTTCAGTGCGTTTCAATGCGTTTCCACACGGTAAACGGGGAATGTTTAACACTACCGCTCTAGATCGCTTCGCACCGAACACGACATTGATCGTCAGTCTCTGTTCCCCACAAACCGCAGCTCTATCAGTTCTCTCCACTAACCTCCTCCCAATTCACTTCCAGAATCTGGATTTCTCCCTCATACACAGCCGACTCCTTTTTCAGCTTCAACTTCCTCCTCCATTCCGCTGTCTTTTATTCATGTCCCCCCGTGAACCAGTGACGAAGCAGAATTTTCCGTGAACGATGCGCGTTTTTGCTCTGGATTGCTAGGCTGGTTCCACGTTGCCCACTACGCCTCGTTCTCGTTGCTGGTTGCTGTTCCTCATGGCGACTTCCAGTACCTTAAAAGAGCTGGTCCGCGTTTCTCATCCTCGACCTCTAGCTTCGCAACGCCCTAGCTTGGTTCACAATCACAACGCTCTAGTCCGCTTGACTCATAACCACAATTCTCCCAAAACATATCATGTATCGCTGTCGCATCGGCACGGCTTGAAAATTGGAACAACTAGAAAGGTTTCAAAGAATATATCCTTTGTTCAAGCGACAGCATCGCGTGTGAGGTGCCACGTAGCGATTCCTGCGGACGTGAGCTCCGACAACGGCTCTTCAACTTCTGCCAAATCTCGTCGGAATCCATCAGTCATCGACGCCGATGATTCACATTCCCTCGCCGGGGGTTTCGCCGTGCCAGCTCACGAAACAGATGGACTCGTTGCCGGTTCGGTCCATGTGTATGGCGAAAAGCTCGAATTCAAAGGCGGAAGGCTGGCAGGAGGAAGCGCGGGAAGCAACCCGCGGGGACCTCGATCGCACGAGGAGATTCGCGAGCGGATAGCGTTAGAAAGGGCACGGCGGCGCGCAACGGACCGGCAATCTACCGCTCTCGTCCGCGCGCTGACGTGGGCTCTGCGAGGCGTGGATGACGTGGCAGCGGTGGATGCGGTTATGGCTGTCGCGGAGGAGGAAGGCGAGGAGGTGAACGCGCGAGTGGTATCTTCCGTGCTGCAAAAACTCGGCATTGAACGCCGAGTTGGTGCTGCGCTGGCGGTTTTCCATTGGCTGCAGCGTGCTTCTGGTTCCGAGACTGTCAGAAGCGGCACTGCAAAAACCGGTACGCCTGACTTTGAAAAAAACAGTCACGCACAGGAACAAGCAGTTTTTGAACAAGAGGAAGGAAGAAAAAGAGAGACTGAGGGGAGATGGAAGGGACTTTCTGAGCCGAATGTGTACACGTACAATAGCTTGTTTGGAGCACTAAAAGCCAGCGGGGAATGGACACGGATGGAGGATGTAGTGGAGTGGATGTCAACCAATGGCGTGGCGCCAGATGTCGTCACTTTGAATACTCTCCTGTCAGCTTTGGAAACTCAAGGCAAGGACGAAGCAGCGTGGAACCTTCTCATAAAATTCGGCATTCAGTACTCGTTTCACAAGCCACGGCGGACCGCTGATGCTCAAAGCAAGCCGCTGGAGAGCAAGGCTTCAGAGAACAAGAAGCACGAGCCGAATCCGCAGAGCAATTCGCACGAGCCGACTCCCCATAGCACGCTACGCGATGCCGCAACGGTCCCGCAGCATTTAGTAGCCGCGACCGCGCCCGCCAAGGCCGCGGAGTCCGTGGAGGGATGGTGTGTGCGGCCGGACCTGTTCACTGTGCGCACCGTGCTGCCTGTGTGTTGTAGAGGACGGGTGGTGGAACGAGCGCTGGCATTGTACTCTCTGGCTCTGGAATCAACGGGCCCTGCTAGTGGCAGCGGTAGCAGTAGCAGCGGCAGCAGCAGCAGGAGTGAGGGGAGCAGGAGAACTGTAGCCAGAGGAAGTGAGCGGAGTGGGAACTCCCGGCAGCAGCAGCAGCATCGGGAGGTGGCAGCGGCGCTGAGGTTTGCTTGTAACGAGGAGATGAAGCAAATAGTTGCTGCACTGGAGCGACAGGTGGATGGAAACCGTCAAGCAGACGGAAACTGGCAGGCAGACGTTCACGTGCAGGCAGGGAAGGCCGAACAGACAAGGACCGGTAGGGCAGCTGCAATGGCTGCCACTACAATGAAGGGGATAGCCGTAGGCGCAGTTGTAGAGGCAGCGTCAGGTGTGGGGGGGAGAGAGGGAGGAGCAGGGCGAAGTGATGTAGCTGCTACTGGTGTAACGGCGACAACGGTCGGAGTAGCAGCGGTTGCCGGCAAAACAGCTGCAGTTGGGGCCTCCAGGCGCGATTTTGCTGTAGTGATAGATGAGGGGAAAGAACAGGAGGAACAGGAGGAGCGGGAGGGGGAGGAAGCGGAGGAGGAGCAGGAGGAACAGGAGGAGGGGGAGCAGGAGCACGGACAAGGGCAAAGCGCAGGGAGTAAAGGGGTAGGGGAGGGCACGATGAGGCACGACAAGGCAGGTACTTCTAGAGTGCTGTGGCTGCTGGATCAGATGGAAAGGGTGGGGATAGAGGCGGATGCGGACACGTACCGCTTGGCCCTGCACGCTTGCTGCCTCGACGACCTCGTGGGCCATGCTAAGCCCGTGGGCATGGGCAGTCCTAAGGGTGCAGGTATGGGTCACCGTAGGCATGGGCATGGGCACGGGCACGGGCATGGGCATGGGCACGGGCAAGGAACTTGCAGGCAGCGGGAAATCCGCACTCTCTTTGCTGCCATGCGCAGCCATGGGTTCGTCCCTAGCCTGAACACGTGTCACCAGGTGATTGGCGCCCTTGGCAGGGCGAAAAAGTGGTGGGCAGCACTGGAAGTTTTCGAGTCGATGAAAACTCAGGGGCCCGCGCCGACCGCTGCCACAGAAAGGCTCATCCGCGGGCACTTTAACATTTTGCTGACAGCTGCCCGGAAGCGCGGGCTATGGAGGTGGGCTCTTTCTCTTCTCGCCAAGATGGAGTCTGCAGGGGTCCCACCAGACGCCTTTGCATGGCGCACGGCGCTCGTAACCTGTGCAAAGGCTAACGAAACCGCTTCCGCTATCAAAGTGTTCGAGGATATGGTGGAAACAGGGGTCCGGGCGGATGCAGTGGCGTACGGCGCTTTGCTAAGTGCGCTGGAGAAAGGGGATTTGTTGGAACCAGCGGAGGCGGTGTGGGGGCATATGAGGAAGATGGGTGTGGAGCCGAACAGGCAGGCATACACTACTATGATTGTTGCGCTGGGGAAGCGAGGGGAGTACGGGCGAGCTGCAGCCCTGTTTGAGGAGCTTCAAGGGACGGCTAGCAGCGGCAGCAGCAGCAACATCAGTGATGGGAGCAGCAGTAGCGAGGCTGCTCTGTCCCAGCAGGGGGAAGCAGGGGAGGAGCTGGTTGCTGTCCGGGTGCACAGAAGGCAGGATGCTGCTTACAGAGAGCGTTGTCTGGGTGCTGACGTGGCGGCATTCAATGCAATGGTGACGGCTTGTGCTCATGCTGGAGAAGGGCTGAGGGCGCTGGACTGGCTGCAAAAGGTTAGTAGTGAATCCTGCTCTTGTTTTCCCTTTTTGAGTTTACTCAAAACTCTCCGAACGCTGGAGAAGGGCTGAGGGCGCTGGACTGGCTGCACAAGGCAAGTGAATGCTGCTCTTGCTTTTCTTTAGCACTGGACGTTTCTCGTCGTCCTCATCACTTGTCCAAGTGTTAAAGTGCCAGTTTAAGCTCAAAATTAATTTCACAGCACTTGTGTCACTAAGGAGGTGGTCCATGTAGCGTTGCCCTCTCTTCATATCAGGTGTTTCAATGCTCAGCACGCTTTCCCACCCCCGATCGCCCAGCTGCTGCCTATTGCCCCTTTTCAACCAGCATCCAACACCACATGCGCTGATCATGTCCACTTTTATTCCTATTCCGTGCCTTTTTTAACCTTCATTTTCCGTTTACAGATGGAGGTATCATCTGCCACTCCACCAAATGCCACCACCTACCAGCAAGCTGCCATCGCCCTTGCTGATGCGAGTCACTGGGAGGTCGCGCTCTCACTCATCCCAAGAGCGCGTTCTCGGGGAATTGAACCCACACCTCTGATGTTTGATGTCGTGCAGCGAGCTTGTGCCGCCAATGGGGCAGACTTCGCATCACAGTTGGCAGCTGTTTCAAACCCTCGTGCAGATTTGGTGGGTGGTGCGAAGAGTTGATGCCATTAAGGAGCCTGTGGATGCTGGTCTGCAGTTGAGAATCTAAAGTCTTGCAAACACACTCTGTCTCGAATGTTCCAACGTGTTCTCTATGTTTTCTTGTGTTGGAAACAAGTAACTTAAGCGCCTCTGTCGTGTCGAAACACCAAGTCAGAAGCGAAGCCAAACATATCGAAGCATCAGCGAGTCAACCTTCGGAGGTTGAGCAACTGCTGGAGGTTACGCGAAAGTCAAAGGTCGCTGACCTTTGACTTGACAAGTACAGCGCGACAGCAAGGACAAACAACTGACTCGCTATTGAGCAGTTGCCCGAGTCGTCACTGTATCGAACCGCAACAGCAACAGCAAAACAGTTATTAGTTATAACCCTTCATATTCCCTTGTACTCTTATAAAAGGCTTGTATCTCTTTGTGTTTAATCAATCTACTTTGCCCTCACATACCAGCGCAAGGTGGTTCACAACTCTTCATTAAACGCATCCGCTATTACATCAGTCCTACCAGGAATTTAGTCCTGCAAAGATCCTAAGGGCTTCTTCTCAGCCCAACATCTTGTAGCGAGAATTTGCCATTCGCCTAACAGTAGAAGCAGCTGGTGGAATTGCACGATCGCGTACACATGATGCCCAACCCGTGCACACGAATTCGCCCTGCACCGGATGGAAACCCTGCACCCGAGGTTTTTTCCCAAGCCAGTTGCACGCCCGTTACAAGCACGTCGCGCAAGTTGCAGTGGTTATGAACCAATAGTAACGAACAGACCGAAGTCACACTGAAGAGAGTGAAGTCAAAATGTCAACGGATAGGTTAGAAAAGTTTTATAAGCACCTGACGAATCCTTTTTTGCTAGCTGCGAATCGACGATATTTAGGCGAAATGCGGGTTACAGATTATAAGCCTCCTTTACAAGGCAACCGGGAGTGGCTCAAACGGGCATCATGTGTACAGGCCCACCCGCCACCCCTCGCTGGGGACAGGTGCAGACCAGCTACACCTGGCCCGCGGTAAATTCACCGGCGGTATCCTCACCACGTGGTGGTACTTTCCCGCGGTCAAGCTAGTTTATGAAGGTAGTTTCGGATTCAAAGGGGGTAGAATCATGCATACCCTTCACCAGACCGGGAAAGTCGTAACTTTTTAAAAAGCCAATCCCGCCCTTCTCTCCGATCACTAAGTACGAGTGCGCTAGACAGGAATGCATCCTTGCAGTTTACTTGTAGCTCCGCATTCTCTGGGTGACCGTTTTATTAGTCGGAAATGCAGAAGGGAGGCCTGGAAGAAAAACGTTCAGGCGGTGAATTTACCGCGGGCCAGGTGTATTGCTGAGCTGGACAGTCCCTCAGTAGTGACCTGGAGGGGAGGACCCCTAGGCCAATTGCGTTGCCGCACAAAGAAACGTCGCTCAAAGCCTCGATAGGTGTCGGTCGGTAGTTCATCCAGTCACTTGTGTCGCTTTTCCGTAGAGCGGTGCCTAACCGTCCACACTACCGTCATCGACTCTTCTCGATGGTGTGTGACGTTCTACCGCTATGTCGCAAGGCGACACTCCTCGCCGAACCGAATTTGGCCATCATCCAAACCATGTTCCCCGTCAGCCAATCAAAACACAGTAGGTGCTCTCTCTCGAAGTTCGTCGTTTCCCCCGCCGATGTGACAACCCACCCCAACTTTCCCGCCGTTCCGCCGATCTGCTGGAGTTTTCCCCTCCCCGCGTGCTCCGCTCCGCGCATCCCAGATTGCTTCCGCGTGATTCTTCCGCCTATACAAGAACCAGACAACCCCAGGCTGCCTTGGTTCTGGTTGGCTGGTTGGCCATTCCATTGCCAAGTCTCCCATGCCTGGCCGTCTTTTCGAATGGCGGATGGTGATGGATCATGGGTGGTGGTGACTCCTCCCACCAATCCCTGTGCGTTCCGTGAAGAACAGAGTCTGAAAATACGTCAGTCAGCCAGGTCATAACCTCACTGGACCACCTCGCATGTTCCCGAGAGAGAGCAGCAGAGCAGACAGAATAGCACGGAACCCTGCACGATGCTTCTTTGTGGTTAGGAGGTTCTTGCACTCCCATATTCACCCTGCACCGCTTTTCACTGGCTTGCTCACACAGCTACGGACTAGGCGTTTGGAAAAGAAAGTGTAATCTAACCAGCAGCATGCTTCTCTCTCCTTACCTAGGTTTTCAGCTCTTTGTAGTTACTGCCAGCTTCGACTGTAGCACGGACTGAACGACCGTATCTTCAGACAGCCAATATCAGTCAAGGCCCTGACGGACTCGAGCCCTATGGCGATTGCGGTTTCTCAAATCAGAAAGGTCGCCGCGGCGGTAGCGGACGAGCAATGGGGCGACGACCCTCCGCCGCTGAATTCCTACTTACCTCCTTACGCCCCGCCTCCCACCCCCGCCCTAACGTCCAAATCGGTATTTTCTCCCAGCATACCGCAACGAAGCTTCCCCCCTCCGCTCATGTCGGAACTCGCGTTCTCTCCTCGCTCCCGCAACTCCGACGTTTTCCCTCCGGCGTTCCTCGAAAGGCAGTCAACCACGACGAGCTCCGTCAAGACCGCTCAGAACTCCGAAGAACCGCAATCGGAACTGCCGCTTCTCCTTTTGCGGCCAGACCCTAACGACGCTGAGCAGATGAACGAGGACCGGCAACTGTGCGACACGGTGCGAGCAATGCAGCTCCAGCGATTCCTCGACGACTGCCTTGCGAGCGCCGTCGCGTCGCAGACGCCAATCGTCGGTAGCACTTCACACCCCGCTCCGCTTCTCCCGGGTCTCCCTCCCGTCGCATTCAGCACGTCCAGCTGTAACAGCGAGCCGTCGGATGGCAGCCGCGTTTCGCTTCATTCGCCGTCGCTGTCGCACGCGCCGTCGCAAGCGTCGTCCAGGGAGAAACAGAAGCAGGGTGGCGATTCCCGGCCGGTGTCGCCACGTCATGCGCACGGCGAGTCGCTCATGGATCAGGTCGACGAAGATTGGATTCGCGCGCAGGCCGCGAAACAAGCCCGCGCGTCTTCCGCCGCAGCAGACGACGGCGGAAACTATGCTTTTAGTGGGGGGAATGGCGCTAGTGGGGAAACCGAAGCGAATGAAACGACCAGGGAGAAAGAGGAGGGCGTAGCAGGTCAATCCACGTGTCATAGAAAGGAAGTCTCTGGGAATCCTGGGCACGAGAGGCCCAGCCATGGCAGTCGCGCGAGCAGCATAAGTAGCGGAGGAGTCGGAGCACTAGATTGGGTAGCAGGCAGCAGTATGAACGCGTCTAGTAACAAGTCTTCCCCCGGACTTCCCGGGGATGACTCTCAGCATCCCGCCATTCCCCCCTCCGCCCCCGCCTCCGCCCTCTATCGCGAAAAGCCCTCCGCTCCCCCCGCGTTCGCCTTTCCCCAGGCGCAGCCTTCCCCGGGAAACGCCGCTGGTGAATTAAAACCGCTCCGCCCACCCCCCGGCGCGTACAGGCGGTCAGTTTCGATGGCTGACGTGGACAAGGGGAAAAGTTACGTGTTAAGCGCTAGGGTAACTGAGCGACAAAGCTCGCTGAAAATGTCGTCGTCGTCGGTTGAATTTCCAACCCTGAGGCGTTTCGCAGACGTCGCAGGCGACACAGGCGACGTCGCGAGGCCCGAAGACGTGATCTGGAAGAATCTTATCGCGTCCGCTCAGGTACACAACCGCGAGATTTCCGGGCTCCGCGAGGTGTCTTGTAACGCGAACGAGCGAGTTAGAAGCGGCAACAGTGCGTGTGACAGTAGCGAAGGTCTAGGCTCGTTGAGCGCGAAACGGAAACCGGTACCGGTGCTCGAAGGTTTAAAGGAGGTGGAGGAAGAGGGAAATGCTCCCCAGGTAACCCCTCGAGAGGAAGCTTCGCGCGAAATAACACCCCGACCTTCCACTGCTCAAGAAGTTTCCCGCGAGATAACGCCTCGTCCCTCCACTGCTGCTACTGACGTTGCCTCTACCCCAACCACTGACGTTCCTTGGACTCCGACTTTTGAGCGAGACGGGGCCATGCCGCCTTCCACGCCGCAATCGGCGGCGGAGGCAGCGGCGCAGAGGGCCGCGCGGAAGGCGGCGCAGGGGTCCTGCATTCCGCCGAGGGCGCAGTCCCCGCGGAGGCGCAACAGCGGGCTGTTCCGCAAGCAGGGCTCCGGAAGGCTTGATGGGTCGCAGAGACAGGGGTCGGGGAGGCTGGATGGGCCGCAGAGGCAGGGATCGGGGAGGGGGCTGGCGGGACTGGCTTCCGCCGCAGCGGGCGCAGCAGCGGGGGCAGGCGCGGGGGCGGGTAGGAGGAGCATCTCTCGCATGTCTTCCGTTAAGAAATGGCGGGTGCTAAACGCGCTAGTAAAGCAGATGAACGTAGAGGATGCGGAGAACGAGACTGCTGACGACGGGAACGGCGGCGGCGCCGGCGATGGCGGGGGCGGGGGCGGTTTCACGGCGACTGAAACGCATTCCGGGGCGATTAAGTCTGAGTCGGATAAGAGCGGGTGGGGCGCGCCGAGCTTCTCAGGAATGAGCGTTGGGGGGGATACGGAGGGCGGAGGGGGCGGGCAGACGGAGGAGTTCAGCGTTCCCTGGAGTTTCGGCAGTATGGGGGATGTAGAACGGTTCAATAACACTGCAGGGGGCGGGTTTGCGGATTATAGCGTGGCAGCTGCGAGTGTGTGCCAGGTTTCCCCGGCGATTTTCGAGGCGCATTTGCATTTGGCGGAGACCATGGCTAGGGAGGAGATGGAGCGGCAGCAGCAGCAGCAGCGGCAGGAGGGGCGGCATGGCAAGGGGCCAAGAACGCCGAGAACGCCGAGGGTGAGTGGACGGGGTTTGCAGTGATGGGTTGTGTCGGCTGTGTTTAGTACCCGCCAAGGGGCAGGGGCGGCTTGGCAAGGGGCCGAGTTCGCTAAGAACATCGAGAGCGCCGAAGGTTAGTGTAAAGGGTTTGACGTGATGCAGTGTGGTGAGATGTTGCCGGTCTGTGGCGGAGTGTGGTTCGGTCCGATGCATGCACTCACGAGTTGAGTCACGAGGCCCTGCGTTGTGAGTAGCGGCGGAATGCTCCTTGTGAAGCTGATACAGCACATTCATGTTCACAGGCATGCCAGTCTCTTCTCCCAACCCCGTCTCTCCTTCCTTTGCAGTGTTTCCACACCCCTAAACCCACATTACTCATCCATCAACGCCCCCACCTCCGCGCACCTTCTCTCTTGCTCTCTCTCGTCCCCTTTCTCTCCCTCTCCTCCTCGCTCCATCAGGGCATGGGCTTCCGCAGCAACTCTCGCAGCATCTCCATCTTCACCCCTTCAAACACCTTCTAACCCCCCACACCTTCTCCCTTATTCTCTCCCCCTCCCTTCCTCACTCCATCAGGGCATGGGCTTCCGCAGCAGCTCGCGCAGCAGCTCTCGCCGGCAGCAAAAGAGCAGTAAGTGCGGAGAGTGCATGGTTTTGAGTGCACCTCGTATGACCCTCCTAGCCCCCCACCATGCATACACCGCATGAATCTGACCTCCTTTGACCCACCTGTGGCCCATCTTTAACCCTCCTTTGACCCCCATCTCTGACCCTCATTCTACCCACCTTTGAACCTTCTTCCAATCTTATTTGACCTCCCTTTGACCCCCCTTTGACCACCCTTTGATCCGACCACCCTTTGACCCCCCTTGACCACCCTCTGACCCCCCTTGACCCCCCTTTGACCCACCTTTGACCCTCACTTGGCCCTCATTTGCCCCTCACTATACGAGCATCCAACCCATCAATCTGCCCCTCCTCTGACCCCCACCACCATACATACATCACGGCGGCAATCCCAGGTCAAACGTGCCACTGGCCATGTGTTGTGCACTCCACCCTTTCACTCCATGCTTTTTAACACCTCCCGTTTCACCATACGCTCCCATCATCTTCCCCCCATTCCCCATCCCTGCTACCCTTTCCCAGCCTGGGGTCCCCACCATGTGCCTGTGTGAGCAACCAGGGTTAAGCCAGCCATTGCCCCCGAGGGCTGAACCCCAACAATGTGTTATTTCCGACTTACCTTCCATTATCTCCTTCCGTCCCCCCTAACACCTCGTGCCACTACCCCACCAGCCTGGGACCCCCACCACGTGTCAGTGCGAGCAGCCAAGGTCAAGCGCGCCATTGGCCACGTGTTTCGCAAAATCACCGCCAAGCCATTGGGTTTCCTGCGCAAATTCAATCCCGGTAAGCCATTTCTCCCCACATTTTGTGGCGCCCCTTACGTGTGCCCCAAGAATCACCCCCAAGCCACGGGGCGTTCTGCAAAGCATCAATCCTGGTAAGCCATTTCGCTTCTTCAACTGTTCCCTTCGTTTCCTGGTCGTTGTTATGTTGCAGGCTTTTTCCTCTTTCTTTTTTGTGTGCTCTAACTGTGGCCTTAACCTCAATCATCTGATCCTGTATGAGGCATTGTGTGTACTTGTCCCGTCCATTGTCGCTGCTGCTTTATCTTCCCCTCTCTTTTCGTCCATCATCCGCTCCCTCTCCCCTCCCCTCTCTTTGCATTGCATGGTCTTTGAATGGTTTCTTGTTCCTACCCCCTCTTTTCCCGTGACCTTCCCTGTGACCTTCCAGCGTGCCGGGCTACGTGAATGTGCATCCCCGTTTTTCCCAACACGGTTACAAGTACTACAAAGCATTGCCTTGTTTACCTCCATACATACACCAAGGCATGGTTCGAATGTGCCATGGGTCTGTTTATTGACAGCTTGCGGGATACTTAAATTTGGCGGCATTAGGCAGAGTCGATCAAAACTTGTGGTTTGGCTGCGATGGCACTCTATAGGGTTGCAATACTTGATACAGAATTTTGGAAGCAGGCAGCATATACTGATTCAGCCTTTTTGGGCCTTCTCTTTTATACTGAGCTGCAACTGTTCAGCCTGAATCTAGCTGTTTCTGCTGTAGGAGTGATTGTTGAGAGATTCAAATATAGGCGAAATATTGTACCACAGCCACTTATAGATTTTCAACTGTCTGACTGTAACAACTATGCTCTTGGGGTCTCCGCATTTCAATTTTCAACTCCCACACACCACAAGCTCCAGCAAGAGCAAGGTGCAGGTAGAAGCGACATCCCACCCAGGTGCAGGGCGCACGCAAGACAAAACACATCTCAGCAGCAACATTGCTCCTGCCTGTGCCTCGTGTTTCGGCTTCCTCCACTAACCACGCACCATCAATAATTTTCTTCCCATTCAGGATAATTCTTTCAACGCGAAGACAGAACATGTTCACTGGAGCATCAATATCAGACGAACAACGCGCCTCGCCACGTGGCATGAGGTTTGGAGTAAAAATATTGGCGGTTTATGCTACTAGTCATGAAGGTCCCTCTAGCGCAACGCGTAGCTTTTACAATAGCGATGTTTCCCGCTGCGGCTCGGCAGGCACACACGCCGAAGCGACGAAGGATCGTATGACTTGGAACGATTATAAATTAGATGCACTGGACATCATGGCAAAGACAAACTCAATTGTCTCGGCCTCCTAATACATTACCTGCACGACTCACTTCGCGCGACGTACCGCCTCGGCGCCTCTCAAACACCCCTACCGCCATGTCTATGATTGCAAAAAGCTTTCGCGTCGCCGTCTTTCTGACATACGTCACCGTTTGCCTCGCCAGTAACATTACGAGCAACGGATGGTACGTTCCCACCCCGGGAACATCTTTCTACTGGCAGCTCTCAGACTCGAACCTCGATACGTCGTCGCATAAGGAGAAAATATTCGATGTTGACGGATTCAGCGTGTCGGCGAACACTATATCGAGGCTGAAAACGATGGGAAAGAAGGTGATCTGCTACTTCAGCTTCGGGACTGCCGAGGATTATCGCAGCGACTACAAGCAATTTCCTAGATCCGCTCTCGGTGGAATTGCTTGCATGGTGAGAGGAAATGCGAGAATATCACACATGTTAGAAAACCCGTGAGATTCCTTGTAATTATTCGAGCTCGGTCATTCTCTCTCGGGCTGACATGGCGAATTTCTGTTTCGAACATCGGCCCTTTATAGTTTACCTTTGCTTCTGGCTTTTTTTTGGCAGAACGAGGACTGCTCGCAAGTATGGCAGGGCGAGCGATGGCTGGATGTGAAGAGTTCTGCTGTGCGTCAAATACTGGAAAAGCGGATTCAGGTAAGGAGCGTAACAGTTATTTGTGCGGATTGTGCATCACACACGTATAGCGCGAGGTGAGAGAGTGAGAGTCCGTACGTATTGTTCCTCATCGAGTGTTTTAAACCCTCTCCTGAGATCGGTTTCTCTACACATTCTCCTGTTTTTCGGTTGCGTCAGCCTCTCGCGGTCTCAGTCCTGACTTGCTGACTGCCTGTGGTCACTTGTCCCATCCCTTTGTCAGCTGGCGAAGCGCAAGGGGTGCGATGGCATCGAGCCGGATTGTGTGGATTGCGAACACAGTGCACAAGTGAGTCTGCTTGTCTGCTGCCTCAGTTACCCTGCTAGCAGAAGGACCTGTGGGAATCCTGGTACGGGCTTGCAGAAAAGGTAGAAGGTAAGCATCTTACAGAAAATGTTGCAGTGGCCAGTAAGGATGATTTTGCACTTCAGTCCAATCCCAGAATCTACCCATTGACTCCACAGTGACGCAGTCCAGACCAACTGCTATGCGTCCGCCAGTGCAGTGCGTGATCTTGTCCGAGGAATGCCAAGTGCTTCTATTTACGTAGAACCCCCTTTCTCTTCATGCACGGCATATAAGCTTCCCTCAAGAATTGTAGCCCTTTATCTTTCTCGGATCTTGAAGTGCTCGCATGCTTCCACCATTTTCCTTCCTTTCACCACACCTTTCTGATAAACCCTCCTCCCACCTTCTCCACCCTTTGCCACCCTTTCTTATCAGGTACATCATTCAGTGGCTTTAAACATGTTATCTCCATGTCCCCCCTTACTTATCAGGTACGGCATGTCTGTGGGTCTCAAGAACGCTGGCACCCTCGCTCCCGCTTACATGGCCGGCCTGTTTGACTGGGCGCTGCTGGAAGAATGCAACCAGTACACGGATTGGAGCGGTGGAGAGTGGTACAGCGGCAAGTATGGCTGCGACACTGCCAATGAGTTCATTCTTCGCAACAAGGCCGTGTTTGTGGCCGAGTATGTGGAGAGCTGGGGCAATTCAGCAGGAGTGAAGAACGGCATTCGATTCCCGCAGGTGAGCTGGAATTTATGAAGGAATCGTGGAAGGGTGTACATTCATTGGAAAGATAGGGTGTGGTGCGGAGTGGTAAATGCGGCCGTGCGTACGCCAACAAGTTTATTTGTGGCTGAGTATGTGGAGAGCTGAGGCGCTTCAGGGAGAGTGGAAGGAATAGTCAAAGGGTTCAATCAGTACATGGATTGGAGTGGTGGAAAGTGGTAGGTACAGAGAGGTGAGTGTGGCTGTGTGCTCATTGTTTGCAACAAGATGGTGTTTTTGAAAGGGTATGTGGAGCTCCGGCCACCTTCGGTTGGAGTGGAGAGTGGAGTACCGGTATGCTTTTCACAGGCTGGTTGTATTTTTTAGAGTATCTTCGGGGTCTGCTTTATGCGTATTCCTGCCCTTCATTATTTGCCCGCTCTACTTCATCATGCTTTTTAACGTGCTGCATTGGCCGACTCCTCAAATTGCGTGGTAGCCTAGCAGCATCCGCACACGAATATAAGTGTTACAAGTTACCACCACATTTCTCTCTCACCCCCGACTGTCCACCTTGTCTCACACAGGCAATGTGTGCGGACAACAACGCACATGGCTTCACGACCCGCCTATACAACCTGAACTTGGGAAAAGGGCCAAGTTACTCATTTGCCAACTGCTTGCAGCACAAGCCTGCAGGATGCAACGTGTGGACGGAGTGTGTCAAGCCCGAGGTGTATAGCCAGTACAAGCAGCAGGGCATGAAGAGATGGGATGCAGTAGGCCAATGTGCCAGGGCTAGGAGAGCTGCATGTAGGTATACATAGTGGTGTACTGTACACCAAGTAGATTGTGTTTGTTATTAATCTGGAATAAAAACTCTGCCTGTTGTCCCAAGCTGTAGAACGGTAGAAGCATTTGCCCTGGGATGAGTCCGAGAGACTTGGTTGCTGCAGCACTGTCAAGGGCCATGGGCAGAGGATAGATTCAGAAAATGTGTGAATTATTCAGTCCACCCTTCCCCTTGACAGCTTGTGCAACTGGTACATCCACCAATATATTGCTGAAAACACGAACAGGCCTGTACACTTGCTCCTAAATTACGATGCTATATACAGCGCGAATTTACGTTCCCCTGTATAATGTTGCTGTCAGCCTCCACTGCTGTGTTTCATGGCCCATGTTTAGAGGGGAAGCACGGCGGCTCAAGTTCATCATTCATCTATTCATTCCCATGTGGGCAATATGCAGTGGCTCCTGCACACACATGCCCCAACTCTTGCATGGTGGACCATTGTACCGAGTGAGTGCAACCATCGTGTTGGCCTGATAGCTGTTCTGGTCTCTCTGTGGTCACCGACGCGGGCGGCGGGAGAAGAGCAGGGCGACGCAGCAGCAGAGGAGGAGTGATCCCAGGAGAGCCTGCAGGGGGTGGGGATGGAAAGGGGGGAGAGAGAGGAGGGCTTAGAGTGACAGGAGAAGAGCAGGGCGACGCAGCAGCAGAGGAGGAGCGATCCCAGGAGAGCCTGCAGGGGGTGGGGATGGAAAGGGGGGAGAGAGAGGAGGGCTTAGAGTGACAGGAGAAGAGCAGGGCGACGCAGCAGCAGAGGAGGAGCGATCCCAGGAGAGCCTGCAGGGGGTGGGGATGGAAAGGGGGGAGAGAGAGGAGGGCTTAGAGTGACAGGAGAAGAGCAGGGCGACGCAGCAGCAGAGGAGGAGCGATCCCAGGAGAGCCTGGAGGGGAGGGATGGGAGGAAAGCGAGTGTGTATGTAGCGGAGAGAGGCCTGTACTCGAAATGCGTTTTATTGAACGAGTAGGGCGGGTGGGTGACACAGCAGCGTAGCAGAAGCGACCGCAAAAAACCCTGATAGAATGGGAAGAGAGAGCTTGGAATCGTGGAGGGAAAGCAAGCCACATTGAGCCGGAGTAACTGCTACAGTGAGAGCAACCACAGCAGAGCGCATTGTATTCTTGTGGCAACTCATGAAGTTGACTTGACCTGAATTGACTTGCAGACTGCACGTGCACGAAGAAGGTCAGTCAAGTCAATCATCACACAGCAGCATACAGAGCACAACACCCCACCACTGTGTTGGAGAATTGCATTCGCTCCAGAGAGGCCCCCCTTCCCCCACTCCCCTCCCCCCCTCCCCCTCTCCCTGCCCTTCCTCCCCACCACACTGCATGCAGACTCACAGTGTTCAGGAATTGCATTCGCTCCAAAGAGGTCAGCCGAGCGTCCAGCAGCTGCAGCCGGGCTACCAGGCTGGCGGTCGAGGGCGATGCTGACGTGGCAGATGGCTGTTGCGATGCTGACGTGGTAGCTGGCAGTTGCGATGCTGACGTGGCAGCAGCAGCTGTCGGCGGTCCCAGTGGAGGTAGCAGCGACTCATCACTACCACCAGCACCAGCTGTAGCACCACCACCTGCTGTAGTCGCCGCCGCAGCAGCTGTAGCGGCAGCAGCAGCAACAGTGCGCATGGCTGGCAGTGCACCGTTTGGACCAGCTGTAGCGGTGCCAGCTGTAGCAAGTCCGGCTGTAGCGTTGGATGTAGCAGAAGGGACGGCCGAGTAAGAGGGTGGTGGTGGCACAAACGCTGCGAGAGCTATGCTGTATTCCCTCCGATGCTCTGTGCCGCCATGCACTGCTGGTGCTGGCATGTTACCGCCTTGCCAGTTGGCTGCGATGGGTGGCTGGCCTTGGCTTGTGGTGGTGCTGCTGCTGGGAAGAAACGATGGAGCAGCCTGTGAGGGGGGCCAGGGGGAGATGAAGTAGATTGCAGGGCTAGTTGACAGCACCATGCCACCTGTCCTTTGAATAGACGATCTCATGAAACGCTCATGGATGCTTCGCTATGACCTAGGGCAAAATAACTTGTCTTTTTAATTACTTTTGTCTATTTTCTTCAATTGGATTCAAGGAGCAAGTGGAGAGAGGGGACTCTAAGAGCATATCTGGGAGGACACACGCGGCAGCAAGTGGCTCTCACCGGAGGGGACACGTTGAGTCGTTGCAGCAGGGCGTGCAGGCGGGCGGCTTGCTGGCTGCGATGGACGTCCACCGACTCTGAGAAGAACACCCGGTTGCTGTCGTGGATTATCTCCACGAATGGCTGCATGCCACGTGTCACAGGGTGGGGGACAATGCCATAATTGACAGGGAGGGAAGGGATCGGAATGGACAGATAACGGGAAGATTGTGATGGAAGGAGGGTAAGAGGGAAATGAGACGTCTACAACATGATTAACAGGGTTGGGAGGGAAGGGACAAATGATGGGGACTTGCAATGGAAGGAGAGTAGCAGATTTGTTTTTCTGACATGAACATTGCCCTTGAGAATTGCGGACACAGAAATGATCTTTTGAGAATTCTCAAAGGGGACACAGACATTGCCCTTGCCCTTGATCCGCTCAGAGTCAGTGCTGCCGCACTGTACCAACACAGATCCCACAGAACCGAGTCAACCTACCTTGGTGACGTACATCCCTTCCAGCCTCATGGCTTGCCCTGCAGAAGCTACAGCATCCCAGCTTGATCCGCATAGAGCCAGTGCCACCATACCGCACTGACATAAATCTCACAGAACCGAGTCAACCTACCTTGGTAACATACGTCCCTTCCAGCCTCATGGCTCGCATTGCAGCAGCTACAGCATCCCAGCTGCTGCTCTTGATCTGCATAGAGCCAGTGCCACCATAGCGCACTGACATAAATCCCACAGAACCGAGTCACACACCTTTGTAACATACGTTCCTTCCAGCCTCATGGCTCGCATTGCAGCAGCTACAGCATCCCAGCTGCTGCTCTTGATCTGCATAGAGCCAGTGCCACCATAGCGCACTGACATAAATCCCACAGAACCGAGTCACACACCTTTGTAACATACGTTCCTTCCAGCCTCATGGCTCGCCCTGCAGCGGCAACAGCGTCCCGGCTGCTGCCCTTGATTTGCACAAAGCGGCGCCCGTTCAAGCCCTTGATTCCCACCACCTCCACTGAGATCTGGTGGGCAAGACGGACGGGATGGGATGGAATGGAATGGGCACTTGTCATGAGCATGGGGATTGATGAAGCACTACGCCCCACCCTTGATCTGCACAAAGCGTCTCCCGTTCAGACCCTTGATTCCCACCACCTCCAATGAGACCTGACAACATATAAAACAGGTACAAGGAGATTGAAACACAGAGAGACACAGAAACACAAAAACGGAGATAAGCAGTGGAAAAAGCACCACGCCTACCAAACCCCAGCGTGAAAGCTTGTTGGATATGCTACTTCGATGCTGACTGGTTTTGTTCATGCTGCATTTCAGCAAAATGTTCACTTGATACGGTTTGTTTGTTTGTTTGTTTTTTTTTTCGAGGGCGGTTGAAGGTTTCGATGTTCTGATCTGACCTGGTCGTCTTGGAACACCGTGGCTGAGACTTCCATGAACAGCCCTGCCTGGTACCTGCACCCAGCACAAACAGATAAGAGTAAAATGAGTCAGCTTCAAATGGAGATGGAGAAACTTTGGGAGTCAGCTTCAAACACCACCATCGCTGCTGGTAACCTGGTTACCATAAACCTATCACTCACCCAAGCCTCCACAAGCCCTGCCACTGTGGACAGCCAAATAGCAAACTCCACGTGGGGTTGCATCAGATTGCCCACATGCTAGATGGACCACCACCACAGCTGGTTACCTGGTTACCACTGCAGCACTCACCCCAGCCTGACAAGCCCTGCCACTGTGGAGAGTCCAATGTCAAACTCCACTTGCGGCTGAATCACAAAGTCACCCTCTGTTAACGGCTGGAGGGTGTAGGGTGTAAAGCCACAGGCGATTGGGAGAAAGACAACTGGACATCAGGGTTGAGGGGTGTAGCGTTGGGACACAAGCGGAGATAGAGAAGGGGGACTGGGAAAGAGAACGGAAGGACCCGATAACAATCTTCCGTACAAGCACAACACTCAGTGCCACCTCACGAATCAGCACGGCAGATCGGTTGTTGCAGCAGCAGCGCACGCTAATCCAATCAGTCGATTTTTTAGTCGACTCAAAAATAACCTCACCTCACGAATCAGCACGGCGAATCGGTTGTTGCAGCAGCAGCGCACGCTAATCCAATCAGTCGATTTTTTAGTCGACTCAAAAATAACCTCACCTCACGAATCAGCACAGCGAATCGGTTGTTGCAGCAGCGCACGCGGATCCAATCGGACTCCCTCACAGGCCCCTCTGGGTGCAGCCCAGGCAAGTAAAAGAAGACGTCCGTGTAGCACAGCTGTCGCCGGTGGTGGGTGGAGGGGTCAACCACCCGTAAAATGTCCTCCTCCGTAACCTGGTGGTGGGGTGGTAAGTGTGCACAGAAAGTCAAAGAGATTCCTATTAGAATGCAATCCCTCAAAGGCCCCTGGGGGTGCAGCCCGGGCAGGTAAACGAAGACGTCCGTGTAGCATAGCTGGCGCCAGTGGTGGGTGGAAGGGTCTACCACTCGCAAGATATCCTCCTCCGTAACCTGGGGAGGTGGCGCAAAGAAAGATGAGGACAGGATACTAGCAAGACTCCCTCACAAGCCCTTCTGGGTGCATCCTTAATAGGTATGCTTTTGAGTCGACTCAAAAATAGCCCCTCTGCCTCTCTGGGTGCATCAGTAAGAAGGGAAAAACGTCCGTGACGCACTTTTGAGGCGCCTCAAAAGTAAAAAATAGCCCCTCTGGCTTTTGAGTCGACTCAAAAGAGTTGACTTTTGAGTCGACTCAAACGTCCGTGACGCACCGACTTTTGAGGCGCCTCAAAAGTCAAAAATAGCCCCTCTGCCTCTGGGTGCATCAGTAAGTAATTCTTGAGAATTCTCAAAAATCACTCATCAGTAAATAGGGAAAAACGTCCGTGACGCACAGCTGGCACCGGTCGTGCTGGTTGGTGGTCGTCCCACACTAACGGAATAATAGTTGAGCCCATTTGCCTTTTGAAAAGCACGCATAATGCTCGACATTTGCACTGACTTTCTTGCATTACCTGTACAGTTATGCCCTCTATAGCCACTTTGGTAGCACTCCATTCTGCTGCCCACAGTGATACCTTCTTGTCTCTCCTAAGGACAAATCAGGAATAATCTTTGAAAATAACCAGGAGTGATTCAATTGTTGCCCTGTATGGTAGGAGTGCCATTCTTGCCCATGGATGGTCGGAGTGGTCTATTGTTGCTCTTCAGGACAAACTGAAAAGCGTCACGTCTTTGAAAAAATCTCATGACTCGTCGACTCATGCCTACCCATGTGATCATACCACTGTGTTGCCCACGGATGGTATGGTGATACCTTTTTGTCGCTCTTCAGGACGAACTGCGAGGCGTCACGTCTTTTAATAGATCTCATAACTCGTCTACTGATGCCTACATATGTTATCATGCCCATGGATGGTACAATGTTACCTTCTTGTCGCTCTTGAGGACGAACTGCGAGGCGTCGCGGGCGTGGAAGGGGTCAAAGTTGTTGACCACTCGCAGCTGCGCACATGAGCACACAGAGAGCAGATGGGCAAGAAACAGACAGGGATAGACGTGCATATGAATGTGTATATTGAAAGTCAACTCAAACATGAATGGGAGGCGTCGCGGGCGTGGAAGGGGTCAAACTTGTTCACCACTCGCAGCTGTCCACATGGGCACAGAAAGAGAAGATGGCCAAAAAACACACACGCACACACACACAGATGAAGGGGCCCATCTCTATTTCCACCGACTGTGACTCGGACTCACAGGACGTGGTGGAGGTGGTGGAGGGGTGCAACGCATGCAGCGCATGCACCTACAGCCCAGCGAGCAGGTGTGGCTTCACACTGACAGCCCCAGTGATGCCACGTCCTTTCAAACGGCCTCCAGTAGCCACAGCGTGGATCCTTCGCCCACTTCCCTGCCTGCTGTCATGGCGGCCGGCTGCGCTGTTGCCACGCTACTGAAGGTAGCAGCGTGGCCGGCCGCCATGGTAGCATTCAGCAGGGAGAGCGAGGGATGCACACAGTGGCTACTGGAGGGCGTTTGAAAGGACGTGGCACCACTGGGACTGTCAGTGTGAAGCCACACCTGCTCGCTGGGCTGCAGGTGCATGCGCTGCACGCCTTGCACCCCTCCACCACCTCCACCACGTCCTGTGAGTCTGAGTCACAGTCGGAGGAAATAGAGATGGGCCTCGTGCTGCTGCTACTGTGGCAAACGTTTAGGATGTGGCACAGGCTTGCAGATGAAGGGTCTTGGACTTGTTCGGGATGGCGGGCTCATGTACACACAGGTGAGCCTTCAAACTCACATGTGCCGTGGAGAGGAAGGGCTGAATCTGTGTGCGGAAGAGCGGGAAGAGTGTTGCCTCCACTTCCTCTGCTGGTCGTGGCAAGCTGCATGCTTGCAGGTCGGAGAGAACGCGTGACGGCAGGTGCGAGTGCACTCCCCCGTCCTGTTAGGCAATGATGCGAGTGCAGAAGCAGCAATAGCGGCACACTTCAGCGTTGCAGGTTGTACAGAACTTGTGAGAAGAGGTGGGTGCGGGTTCCTTTGTCCTTTTGGGGCAACAGCAATAGAGGAGAGGAACAAAGTATGTAGGTACGGGATGAGGCACAGAATTATGGGAGGGCATGGCATGGCAGGGCAGGGCAGGGCAGGGCATGGCAGGGCAGGGCAGGGCAGGGCAGGGCATGGCATGCCTTCATCCTCCACTCACCACAGCAATGCGCAGGTCGAGCCGATGCTGCAGGAGTGGATGCAGCGTGTGCGTTCCCTCCAGCACCAGCTGATGGCAGCGCAACAGGACGTGGCATAGTGCGGAGTTGCACGGTGTGGGATGGGATGGAGTGAAGGGAAGGAAGGCCGGCAGGATCCGGTGGAAGAAATTCCGGCAGGTCTTGTTGCAACTACTGCCAGAGAGCATGTGTGAATACGGGCCCCGACTGTTGAGAAAGATCGGTTGCAACAGGATTGTGGAATTCATGGTTCGGCAGAAAGAAATACTACGAGCAACCTTAACACACGGCCACCATTTAGGACGGCCCAAGGTACTCACCACTCCGCTGCTGGCGCCACCGCTCCCGTCCCTTGCTCCTCCTGCCGCCTCCCACGATGTCTCAACTCCTGCTGCCGCTGCTACTGCTGCTGCCGCTGCAGATGATACAGATCCTGCTGAAACATAAGCCTCACGCTCACTCCCATGCCCATGGCCATCCCCATGCATGTGCACAGGGCGGTACCCCACCCTCCTCATTGTGCCAAAGTCAAACACCGGGGTAACTGCTGGCCTCCCAAGTTACTCACCACTGCACTGCTGGAGCTGCTGCCGTCCCTTGCTCCTCCTGCTGCCTCCCACGATGTCTCAACTCCTGCTGCCGCTGCTACTGCTGCAGCCACGTCAGCATGCCCATGCCCATCCCCATGCATGTGCACAGGGCGGTACCCCACCCTCCTCATTGTGCCAAAGTCAAACACCGGGGTAACCGCATTGCGCCCCTCCCGCACGTCCTGCAGCGTGCGGCGCAGCAGCGGCCAATCCACGACCGCCACGTCATCGTAGTTGGTGCCGTCAGCTGTGTCGTTGAAAAAGGAGTCGAGGGAGAGGAGGTCGCAGGAGAGCAGACGGGCGAGGTTGCATGCCAGGCTCGTCTTGCCTGAGCCGCTGGGTCCGCCTGGTGGGAGGAACGAGACGGAAGGGGACATATGGGAAGGGAAAGAGCAGACTCGAGGGAGAGGAGGTCGCAGGAGAGCAGGCGGGCGAGATTGCACGCCAGGCTGGTCTTGCCTGAGCCGCTGGGTCCTCCTGGTGGGAGGTAAAGGAAGGAAGGGGCACGAAGGCAGAAAAAGAGCAGACTCGAGGGAGAGGAGGTCGCAGGAGAGCAGACGGGCGAGGTTGCAAGTAAGGCTTGTCTTGCCTTGCTACTGGTGGAACGGAATGTTGAGAAGATGGGAAGATAAGCGATGAAGAGAGAGGATAAAGGAAGAGGAGAGGAGGTCGCAGGAGAGCAGACGGGCGAGGGTGCAGGCCAAGGGGAGGGAAGGTGATTCGAGCCATGCTGGTCTCACCAGAGCTGCTGGGTCAGCCTAAATGTCCGAACTATGGTTCTGTCAATCAAGACAAATCTCATTGGCGAACTATCAGGAGGAAAACACAAGGACGAGAATTGATGGATGAGGCAAGCGCAGGGAGGGGTGGGAAAAGGAGCGGAGAAAACGCGGAAAGCCAAGAGCAGAGCATGATAGCCGGGCACGAAAATCACTGATGGCTGGTCTTTTTGAAGCTGGGAAAACGGAAGGCCAAGGTGAGAAACAGTATGAAAAGGAGCATAGTAACGAAGCGCACATGAGCTCACTCAACAATGCGGGACTCCCGTGGAGGGGTTGGCGGGAATGGGAACTCACCAATGCCTACAATGACTGGAGGACCGTTGCTGCGAAGGAGTTTCTGCACAGAAGAAAAAAGGGTGAGAGACAGAGTAAGGCGAGGGAGGAAAGAGCTCCCATGATGCACAAGAGGAGAGGGTGAGGGAGGGCGAGGTGAGGAGAGTTTCGGGTGAGAAAAAGAGTCCTGAGATGTCTCAAAACTTGAGAAAGACACTTACGTGAGAAAACAGATTCACGTGAGAAAAAATATTTCCGTGAGAAAAAATATTTCCGTGAGAAAAAATATTCACGTGAGAAAACAGATTCACGTGAGAAAACAGATTCACGTGAGAAAACAGATTCAAGTGAGAAAACAGATTCACGTGAGAAAACAGATTCACGTGAGAAAAAAGATTCACGTGAGAAAACAAAGTTCTCAAAGATTCAAGACAGGGGAGGGAAGTGTGAGCTGGAAGTGAAACAAAATCCATGAGTCAACAATCAATAACACTTCCCATGCCTTTCAGTTCATCCCAGTCTGCTCAGTATTTCACTGCGTCGTAACCCAGCCAGACTCTGCAAAATACCTGATCTGTGCAGCATTACTTGCACTTCTGCTTTTCAGGCTCGCCATATCCAGACATCGGGATCACTGACCTGCACGGCCATCACAGCAAGACCGAGTCCTCGGTCGAAGTTGAATTGCTCTCGCTTTGGAATGAGGTCAAACCGAGCCCTCTGTGATGCAGATGCTTGACCTCCCATTTCCGATGCTGCACCACCCATTCCTGGCTCTACCCCTCCCCTCTGTGCTGGCATGCTTCCTTGAGCTGTTGCTCTGCCCCTCTCCTGCTCGCCTGGGATGCCTGGCCGCCCCTCTGCTCCCCTATACCTTGCAGCCCCTCCCTCTGCCATCCCTCCTGCTCCTTGCTGCCCTCCCTGCTGTCCTCCCCCCTGCTCTCTCTGCTGCTCTCCTCCACGCGCTTCGCTATTGCCTGAGTCCTCCCACCTTGCATGCTGCACGCTTGCCTGTTGCCGCCTGTCGCTTACGGCTGCACCTGCAGCACCAAGAGGCTCTCTTGCACCAACGGCGGACGTTGCAAGCCTGGAAGTCGCGCCATATATACCCTCACCACCTGCTGCCCCCATCCCCTCTTCCGCAGCAGCAACACCACCAGCAGTGCTGGTACTCCGGCTCCTGCTGGTGGTGCTGGTAGTGCTCGTTACAGCACCAGTGGCGTCAGTTGTGCTAGCAGCAGAGGCACTAGGAGGGGGTTCAACTTCAGCTTCACCACCAGCCATGACTTGCTGTATCATCTGCGTGTGCATGAGACCTACTGAGTCCGCCAGCCCTGTGAGCCCCCACGATGCCGGGGCTGCCATGGCTGCTGCTTCACTCGCCCTCGTAGGGGAACGGGTCCATGGCTCCTGCTCCTCCACACCGCTCTCCACCCCTCTCTCCTCCACCCGTCTCTCCCCTGGCCTGCTCTCAACCCCCCCGGCAGTTCCACCTCCCCCGGATGAGCCTGGAGAGCTGACGTTGATGGCTCGTGGGCGCACAGGGAGAGGCGCAGAGGCAGCAGAGAGGGCTGCGGAGATGCTGATGGGGAGAGGGGACTGGAAGGGAGGTGGTGATGCGGTGGAGGGGAGTTGGGACTGGTATGGATGTGAAGGAATGTCCGAGTGGGGTAGAGGAGGGGATTGAGTGGGAGGAGGAGGAGGAGGAGGTGGTTGAGATTGGGTGGGTTCGGGTGTGGTGGAGAGGGGAGGGTGGGAGGAGGGGATGGAGAGGAAGGAGGAGGAGGAGGGAGAGGAGGTGAGGGACTCTAGCTGATCAGACTCGAAGCGAACCCAGGAGGAGGAGAGTGGGGGCGTGGGCAGACGAGGGGCGCCTGGGCGGGCAAGGGGAGAGCAAAACGCAGGAGCGAAGGGGGAAAATCGGAAAGAGCGTGGGTGATATGGGGGGGGGGGGGAGAATGACTGTAAGGAGACACGGAGGAGACGCAAGCTGGTACCCAGGAGGAGGAGAGTGGGCGCGTGGGCAGAGGAGGGGCGCCTGAGGGGCCAAGCATAGAGCAGAAGGCAGGGGGAGGCGGGAGAGAGGTGAGCAGAAAGGGGGTTTGCAAGGGAGAATGTTGCCGTCATGCATTGACGCACACCCAGGAGGGGGAGAGGGGCCACGACGGAAGACTATTTTTTAGGTGCCTCAAAAATAGCACACGCAGGAGGAGGAGAGCAGCGACGTTGGTAGCCGAGGGGCACTTGGTAGAGGGTTGGAGAGGAGGAGAGGGCTCTGGAGTTGACTCAAGATTTGATGGAATAAAGTGGTGCAGGTTGGTAAACATGAGCAAAGTGCCGAACCCAAGTTCAGTGCAGGCTGGCATTCGACAATTTTGAGGCACCTCGAACCTTTTGACTGCTTCTGAGGCGGTTCAAAAAGTGGTGGAAGGAAAATGTGATGTACAGGTTGCCATGTCATTCAAGCGAAAACAGAACAGAGGCAAGGAAAAAAAGAAAAAAGCCGTGATGGGACAGGTGACTTGTAAGTCGACTCAGGAGACAGGACCAATTGAGGGACGCGAGGAATACAAAAAGGCAATACACCATGCATATAACGTACCAAACAACGTGATGCATATAACGTACCAAACAACGTGATGCATATAACGTACCAAACAACGTGATGCATATAACGTACCAAACAACGTGATGCATATAACGTACCAAACAACGTGATGCATATAACGTACCAAACAACGTGATGCATGACCATGCATGTCAAATGGCATGGGCATGGCAAATGCATATCGATATGCATGGTAATAGAGGCATACCAACATGGCGCATGACTATGTCGACATAAGCATCCGTGACCCAAGGCCCCTCCAATCTCAGAGCAGCTGCTGCTGTTAGCACCGTCTGTTGCATCAAGGTAACACAAGGAGCAGAAGGAGATGGGAAAAAAACAAATGCAATGTATATATTGGGTATGAACGGGTTGATTGGGTAAAAAACCCGAGCACAAGCATGATCTCTAGCATGGCTTGTCCCAAACCTTCGTTTCCTCTCAAATGCGCACTGTGAGATCGCATTTAAACAGACTTACCAAGTCCCATTGGGTCACAGACTCACACGGAGACACAAGGCCCCTTCCCAGTTCACCTGCCCATCTGCCCCCTCAATTTTGAGTGTATGTGCGGTTGTGCCCCTCGGCCAGGTGAATGGTGTGTCGATGCAATGCAGACACGTAGGCCACTAGAGAGAATCAGAGCTCCAGGGAGTGACAAACTAACAGCGAGACACAAGGGCCTTTCCTCAACTCACCTGCCTGTCCGGCCCTTTAATCTGCGTGTATGTGCGGCTGTGCCCCTCGCCCAGGTGGAGAACACCAGAGAGTCACAGACTCACAGGGAGCACGGATTCACAGGGAGCTTTAAGAGCTCTACTTCTCTCAACTCACCTGCCTGTCCGGCCCTTTAATCTGCGTGTATGTGCGGCTGTGCCCCTCCCCGAGGTGAATGGTGTCGATGCACACTGAGAGGTCTCCGTTAGAGAGAACCACAGAGTCTCGTGAGAAGCTGACTGCTACCGCGTAGGAGCACTGGATGAGACCGGGGAGAGTGGTGGATGGTACCTGGAGAATGAGAAGGGACAGAAACAGCAGAGAGGGGAAATGGGGAATTGAAACGAAAGGAGAGAACCACAGAGTCTCGTGAGAAGCTGACTGCCACGGCGTAGGAGCACTGGATGAGACCAGGCAGGGTGGTGGAGGGAACCTGGAGAAGGAAAGGAAGGGAAGAACAGCAGCAAAGGGGAAATCAGATATTGGAATGAAAAGAGAGAACAACAAATAATCTGGAGATGCTGACAGCCACGGCATAGGAGCACTGAATGAGGCCGCGGAGAGTGGTGGACGGTACCTGGGGGGAAACAGAGGAGAGGGGAAAAGGGGGTTCAGGAGGGACGGAGAGCACATCCATCCAGTACACCAGAGTCTCGTGAGAAGCTGACAGCCACGGCATAGGAGCACTGGATGAGGCCGCGGAGAGTGGTGGACGGTACCTGGAGGGAGGGAGGGAGGGAGGGGAGGGGGGTTGGAGTGGGGACAGTGGAGACAGGGGAACCAGGGAGTCTCGTGAGATGCTGACTGCCACGGCGTAGGTGCTGTCAGTAGCAAGCAGGTGGGCTGCGGAGACGACTTTTGAGGCGCCTCAAAAGTGGGGACAGTGGAGACAGGGGAACCAGGGAGTCTTGTGAGAAGCTGACTGCCACGGCGTAGGAGCACTGGATGAGACTTTTGAGGCGCCTCAAAAGGAGCACTGGAGTAGACTGGGGAGAGTGGTGGATGGTATGGTAGCTACACAGAGGAAGTAGCTCACCTCAGCAGACGATTCAGTGCGAGGTCAGATGATGCGGCAGACGCTTAAAGCTCGCCTCGAACTTGGCTCAAGGCCGCATGATGACGTGGATTCTTAAAGCCCACCTCAAACTCAGCCTGCGGGTGGCTGATGAAGCTTCTGCCCACTGCACATTGATCCTAACTGCCACCCGAGAGGAAGTAGCTCCGAGTCTCTTAAAGCCCAGCACGCCACTAACTATGAGAGCGCACCTCAAACTCCGCCCGCGGGCGGATGATGAAGCTGCGGTCGACCACACGTTGATCCCCCACTGAGAGGAAATAGCGGATGCCGCACTGCCGCACTCGGATCCACTCCTTGGTGCGCGTGGGGTTGTGCGGCGGTGAGAGATACACGTCCACGTAGCTGGAAGGGGTGGGGGGAGGGGAAGGGAAAAGTGGCGCGGTGGCGGTGGGCGTGAGGCATGGCGATACAGCAGATAGTGGTGGATGCCGCACTGCTGCACTCTGATTTACTCCTTGGTGCGCGTGGGGTTGTGCGGCGGTGAGAGGTACACGTCCACGTAGCTGGAGGAGGGGGTGGAACCGTGGAATGGTGTTATGAGATGTGGGGGTGTGCTTTTGGGGTTATAGAAACCTTGTACCTTCATCAGAAGAGGTGACAGTGTGTGGTGCAAGCGTTGATTCAACTCGAGAAATTTGGCTTGCAAGCCAAGTCGCCTCACCAACTCACCGGTACTCGTTGCGTGTCGTGCAGGTCGACCCCAGCACCTGTTTCACTCTCTCCTCCGCCACCTGCAATGCAGGCATGACACGTCAGCAAGATCAACGAAGATGCATTGTCGAAAGAGGATTGGGCGGGGAGTAGACATGACGGTTGACGACGGCATGGGAGGAAGAGGCTGTGCAACAAAACGACATTTCAGGCAGTCACAGCACTGAAACAAAAAGCAAACAACAAGAAAATACTAGGGGATTGGCAACGCCTGAGGTGAAGATAAAAAAAACGTCAGCATATGTCCCTATTAACCAAAAGCAATCTATTCAGGAATGAACGGGAGGGGATCGGAAAGAGAGTGAACCTCACAGTTTGGTCGGACTTGAGGATGTAGAAGGGGTGGCGAAGGGAGTCTGCCACAAAGCTGTTGCTGATGCGGATCTGATGTGGGGGGCAGCATTTGAGGAGCGAGGGGGAGAAAAGACATGTTGGTTCTGGAAGAGGGAGTGTGTGTGTTCAGTTTTTTTTTTTTTTTTTTTTTCCCCACAACAAACATCAACTGGAGGGGCTGTGGAGGGAGTCTGCAACAAAGCTGTTGCTGATGCGAGCCTGGTGGCGGGAAACAGCGTGTAGCACGGGGTGAGTGTCGGCTCTACCCAAAAGCTCTACGTCTGCGCGAGAGTCGGCTCGATGTGGAGCGAGAACGCGGGAAACACAGAGTGCATGACAGAGGCGAGTGACAGCTAGAGGTTCCCTAGAAGAGACATATCAGACCAGGAAAACGAATTGCGATTTGAAATCACCTCTGCATGCGCCAGTGACGGCTCGATGTGGAGCGGGAAGGCGGGGAACACGGAGTGCATGACGGAGGCGAGTGACAGGTGGATGCTTAAAGGCTACCAATGCCTTCACGCCACAAAGGGTCATTCCAAAAGCTCTACCTCTGCGTGTGCGAGTGTCGGCTCAATGTGGAGCGGGAAGGCGGGGAAGACCGAGTGCATGACGGAGGCGAGTGACAGCTGGAGGCCGCTCTGTGCCACGTCAGACTTGACCCTCTGCAGTAGCGTGTAGTGCACGCCCCCCACCACGGCAATCCCGAGGTCCAACAGCGGGCGCAGGCGCGAGTGCAGTGCGTACACGCCCTTGAGAAGGATCTGGGAGGGAGGGTGAAGAAATGTGGGTTCACATTAGCAGGGTGTAGTGCACTCCCCCCACCACGGCAATCCCGAGGTCCAGCAGCGGGCGCAGGCGCGAGTGCAGTGCGTACACGCCCTTGAGAAGGATCTGGGAGGGAGGGTGAAGAAATGTGGGTTCACATTAGCAGGGTGTAGTGCACTCCCCCCACCACGGCAATCCCGAGGTCCAACAGCGGGCGCAGGCGCGAGTGCAGTGCGTACACGCCCTTGAGAAGGATCTGGGAGGGAGGGTGAAGAAATGTGGGTTCACATTAGCAGGGTGTAGTGCACTCCCCCCACCACGGCAATCCCGAGGTCCAACAGCGGGCGCAGGCGCGAGTGCAGTGCGTACACGCCCTTGAGAAGGATCTGGTAGGGTAAGGGGAACGCAGGCCTGAATCAAGTAAGTATGGCGCCTCTTGAGCTACCTTCCACCAGACTTTTGAGACTGCTGCTCGCCTAATCATATGGCTGAACGCCTCTTGAGGTACCTTCCACCAGCATTCACGTGAAAGGACTTCACGTGGGTCGCAGGACTTGTGAAAGAATCTGGAAAGGGAAGGAGGGGGGACACGAGAGTAGTGCACGTTTTTCAAAGGAGGAACAAAAGCGCAAAGAGAGGAAGGGAGTTATATTATTAGGGAAGGCTACTTCAAAGGAAAGGAAAAGGACTGGAGTGTGACTGAAGCACCCTTCTCTTCTCTAAGTGTGACTGATGCAGTGCAGTGTCAAAGAAACATAAATCCGCCCTCGCTTTCTCCTTCTTGTGGCTCTGAACCGACTCACAACGCACCACAGTGGAAGGAGACGGCGTAACGAGGCGTATTTTGAGGCACGTCAAAATCCGCGTGCATTGAGGTGTATTTTGAGGCGCCTCAAAAAACCACTCACAATACAACGCACCACAGCGGAAGGAGACGGCGTGATGAGGCGGAACCCCGAGCGACGGCGGTCAACGGAGTCAAAGAGAGGCATCTCGATGGGCCGCCCAGCGAGGAGGTCCTGTGATGATGAGAGCAGTGGGCGCACACAGAAAACGAGGATGTGGCTTCAGGCTCTGCTGAAATAGGACCGTGAGGCGGTCAACAGAGTCAACCGAGTCAAAGAGCGGCATCTCGATGGGCCGCCCTGCGAGGAGGTCCTGTGGTGTGATGAGTGTTGTGAGAGCAGACAGAGAGGAAGCGTGGGGATTAACTATACGCTAGGACAGATGTGTGAGGTGATTAGAAAAAAATAAGAGTAAAGAGACATTTGCATGGTATTCCCATCCATCCATCCATGCATCCATGCATCCATCCATCCATCCATCCATCCATGCATCCATGCATCCATCCATGCATCCATCCATCCATCCATGCATCCATCCATCCATCCATCCATCCATCCATCCATCCATCCATCCATCCATCCATCCATCCATCCATCCATCCATCCATCCATCCATCCATCCATCCATCCATCCATCCATCCATCCATCCATCCATCCATCCATCCATCCATCCATCCATCCATCCATGCATGCAAGCATCTACCCTGTGCATCACCTGCATGTGGCGGTGCAACAGCGACATGTTGGGTGCATCCCACATCATGCATGTCAGATGTTGCCCCCCCTGCATCCATCCATGCATCCAGCATGCATGCTGCACCTACCCCCAGTCCTGACTAACGCCCAGCGAGGAGGTCCTGATGGGCCGCCCAGCGAGGAGGTCCTGTGATGATGAGAGCAGTGGGCGCACACAGAAAACGAGGATGTGGCTTCAGGCTCTGCTGAAATAGGACCGTGAGGCGGTCAACAGAGTCAACCGAGTCAAAGAGCGGCATCTCGATGGGCCGCCCTGCGAGGAGGTCCTGTGGTGTGATGAGTGTTGTGAGAGCAGACAGAGAGGAAGCGTGGGGATTAACTATACGCTAGGACAGATGTGTGAGGTGATTAGAAAAAAATAAGAGTAAAGAGACATTTGCATGGTATTCCCATCCATCCATCCATGCATCCATGCATCCATCCATCCATCCATCCATCCATCCATGCATCCATGCATCCATCCATGCATCCATCCATCCATCCATGCATCCATCCATCCATCCATCCATCCATCCATCCATCCATCCATCCATCCATCCATCCATCCATCCATCCATCCATCCATCCATCCATCCATCCATCCATCCATCCATCCATCCATCCATCCATCCATCCATCCATCCATCCATCCATCCATCCATCCATCCATCCATCCATCCATCCATCCATCCATCCATCCATCCATGCATGCAAGCATCTACCCTGTGCATCACCTGCATGTGGCGGTGCAACAGCGACATGTTGGGTGCATCCCACATCATGCATGTCAGATGTTGCCCCCCCTGCATCCATCCATGCATCCAGCATGCATGCTGCACCTACCCCCAGTCCTGACTAACGCACCTACATGTGGCGGGGCAACAGCCCCATGTCAAGTGCGTTCACATCATGCATGTCTCAAGTCCCCCTCGCTGCATGCGCCTATCCAATGCACGCATGCACATGCCTAACCATGTCGCGCACACCTGCATGTGGCGGTGCAATAACTCCATGTCGAGGGCATCCACATCATGCATGTCGCCCGTCCCCCTCGCTGCATCCATGTAGTTCACTTGCTCTATCACCGTTCCCTCCAGCATGCTGGCAATGCGACGAGCGAGACTGAAGTGGGAGGGGAAGAGTGGGGTTAAGGGAACACGGAAGGGAAAGGCAGAAGGCAAAGCTGCTGCATGCGCATGTAGTTCACCTGTTCTATCACCTTTCCTTCCAGCATGCTGGCAATTCGACGGGCCAGACTGCAAGGGGAGGAGAGCGAAAAACTACAGCAGTGAGGGAGACTGAGAATGGACAGTATTTAGCACGACAATGCTTACATCTATGAGTACGACATGCCTCTGCCATGCCATGCCATGCCATGCTGTGTGATCAGTCATCATACTAACATCGATTTGCAATAGCGTGTTTCTTCAAGGCGCATACAAAATTACATGCCATGCCATGACATGCCATTCTGTGTGATCACTCATCATACTGGCATACCTCGACTTGCCAGACCCAATCCCCACCAGCAGCGGCTGTTGTGCATCAAGAATCTGTTTGCTATCCCTTACGCCCCACACCACGACAGGTGATAATTGTCACGCCATCCATGCCAAACCATGGCCTCACGCCATGGAAATACATATCCATGCCATGCCATGCTAAACTATGCCATACGACTCACGGCTCAACATACCTTGACTTGCCAGACCCAGACGGTCCCCCAATCCCCACCAGCAGCGGCCGCTCCCCCCCAAGGCTCCGGTTACGCTCCCTCAGCTCCTGAATGGCACGCACTGCTATGAAATGTCCCGCGTCTAGGGTCTGGGAGAGGGGGGGGGAGGGGGGATGGGGGAGGAAATAGAGAGAGCTGGGATCACATATGCAGCATCTAGTGCTGATGTTCCCTCAGCTCCTCAATGGCCCGCACTGCTATGAAATGGCCCGCGTCTAGGGTCTGGGAGGGAGGGGAAGGCGAAGGGAGGAGCGGAAGATGAGCGAAACAGTGGTGGGGATCAAATATGCACCATCACATGCTGATGCTCCATCAACTTTTGACTGGCCCGCACTGCAATGAAATGGCCCGCACTGCAATGAAATGGCCCGCACTGCAATGAAATGGCCCGCACTGCAATGAAATGGCCCGCACTGCAATGAAATGGCCCGCACTGCAATGAAATGGCCCGCACTGCAATGAAATGGCCCGCACTGCAATGAAATGGCCCGCACTGCAATGAAATGGCCCGCACTGCAATGAAATGGCCCGCACTGCAATGAAATGGCCCGCACTGCAATGAAATGGCCCGCACTGCAATGAAATGGCCCGCACTGCAATGAAATGGCCCGCACTGCAATGAAATGGCCCGCACTGCAATGAAATGGCCCGCACTGCAATGAAATGGCCCGCACTGCAATGAAATGGCCCGCACTGCAATGAAATGGCCCGCACTGCAATGAAATGGCCCGCACTGCAATGAAATGGCCCGCACTGCAATGAAATGGCCCGCACTGCAATGAAATGGCCCGCACTGCAATGAAATGGCCCGCACTGCAATGAAATGGCCCGCACTGCAATGAAATGGCCCGCACTGCAATGAAATGGCCCGCACTGCAATGAAATGGCCCGCACTGCAATGAAATGGCCCGCACTGCAATGAAATGGCCCGCACTGCAATGAAATGGCCCGCACTGCAATGAAATGGCCCGCACTGCAATGAAATGGCCCGCACTGCAATGAAATGGCCCGCACTGCAATGAAATGGCCCGCACTGCAATGAAATGGCCCGCACTGCAATGAAATGGCCCGCACTGCAATGAAATGGCCCGCACTGCAATGAAATGGCCCGCACTGCAATGAAATGGCCCGCACTGCAATGAAATGGCCCGCACTGCAATGAAATGGCCCGCACTGCAATGAAATGGCCCGCACTGCAATGAAATGGCCCGCACTGCAATGAAATGGCCCGCACTGCAATGAAATGGCCCGCACTGCAATGAAATGGCCCGCACTGCAATGAAATGGCCCGCACTGCAATGAAATGGCCCGCACTGCAATGAAATGGCCCGCACTGCAATGAAATGGCCCGCACTGCAATGAAATGGCCCGCACTGCAATGAAATGGCCCGCACTGCAATGAAATGGCCCGCACTGCAATGAAATGGCCCGCACTGCAATGAAATGGCCCGCACTGCAATGAAATGGCCCGCACTGCAATGAAATGGCCCGCACTGCAATGAAATGGCCCGCACTGCAATGAAATGGCCCGCACTGCAATGAAATGGCCCGCACTGCAATGAAATGGCCCGCACTGCAATGAAATGGCCCGCGCTGCAATGAAATGGCCCGCGCTGCTATGAAATGGCCCGCGCTGCTATGAAATGGCCCGCGCTGCTATGAAATGGCCCGCCCAGCTATGAAATGGCCCGTGCTGCTATGAAATGGCCCGCGCTGCTATGAAATGGCCCGCGCTGCTATGAAATGGCCCGCGCTGCTATGAAATGGCCCGCCCAGCTATGAAATGGCCCGTGCTGCTATGAAATGGCCCGCGCTGCTATGAAATGGCCCGCGCTGCTATGAAATGGCCCGCGCTGCTATGAAATGGCCCGCGCTGCTATGAAATGGCCCGCGCTGCTATGAAATGGCCCGCATCCAGGGTCCAGGAGGGAGGGGAAGGCGAAGGGAGGAGCGGAAGATGAGCGAAACAGTGGTGGGGATCAAATATGCACCATCACATGCTGATGCTCCATCAACTTTTGACTGGCCCGCACTGCAATGAAATGCCCTGTGTCTAGGGGGAGGAGGGGGGATTCGAAAGGGGGGAGGGTAGGGACTGTAGGGATCATTATCACATTTGCAGCGTTAATTCCTGACGCTTCTTCATCCCCTAAATGGCATGCACGGCAATGATGCGCCCCGCATCTAGGGATTGGGCAGAGAGGGGGAAGAGGAAACGGAGAGGAATGGGGGTGGGGAAGGAAAAGGAGAAAGAATGGGAGAATCAATATACAGCATCAAGTGCTGCCGCTCCCTCTGTTGCTGAGTAGCACTTGAAGCTGAGAAAATGTCAGAATGGAGTGCTGACGCTTCCTGTACAGTGCCACAATCGAATTAGGACACGGAAGAGGGAGGGAAACAGTGGCAAGGGAGCGAGTGGATGTAACCGTGGGGATAATTTCGTTAGTACAGCTCAGGAGATAAATATTAAGAAACAGATAATCGTTTCAGTGGGTGAGCACTCCAAAAACGCCCCAGGCCAAGTTGTCTGCAGCCGTATCTCAGAATTATGTGAACGACACGCACCATGCTGTGTCGTGGCAAAACATCTGTCATGAATGGGATTCGAACCCATGCCCTTTCGGACCAGTATCTGAAACTGGCGCCTTAGACCAACTCGGCCATCCTGACATGGCTGACTGAACCCTAAGCAACTGTAATCAGAAGTCATACAAAACATATCCGCACCGATCAGAATTTATGCAAACATATCCGCAAAACATATTATGTACTCTGGCCGCTTTCTCCTCCCTCCCCACACACACTTTGCGCATCGACACACACACGCACACGCGTAACTATTTTTTAGTCGACTTGAAATCACACGCACACGCATAACTATGTCGATTCACACTCCCATACCAATTTTGAAACGTCTAAAAAAAATCATCCACTGCCGTACCAATTCTGAAACGTTTCAAAAAAATCACCCACTCGCGTACCAGCTCCTTGGCGATTGGCACCAGCCTCCACGGCCCCGCTCCCCCGGAATCCCCCCGCGCATCCCCCCGCGCATCCCTGCGCTCGACCTGCAGCAGCCCCAGCAGTTGCCGGTGATCCAGCACGTCCGAGTCGCCATCGCCGCCACTAACGGACGCACTTAACGACGGCGAAGATCCCGAGGCTCGGGCCGCGCCGCCATGGATGGACGACGCGGGAAACATCGCGGTGTAGCACCGAAGGCCTCTACGTCATGCCGTGGAAAGAGGCTTGCTAAACGTCCCTATGTTATGCTCAGAAAGGAGAATCGGCTTCTTAACCGCGGCACGTGATATGAACAAGCTGATCCGACGGCGAATTCTGTGGTAACCTGGCTCGTCTGCCGTGCCGAGCCCTGCGAGCTATCGCTAGAGGACTGACGCCTCCTACGGAGCCGTTGAATGTTATCGGCTCCTGAATAACAGCATGGCAAAATAAAACTGAGAAGTATGAAGTGCTGATGACCTGCCGATTGCTGCTCGGAGCCCCAACCGCTCTGGTGTCCCAAGAAAACTCTTTGGAGCACAACGAGACCCACCTAAACCGTACCAGTGTGAATTACAGAGTGTGAATTTCAGATGGCAGGGAGGGATGATGGACGGGATGTGCTGAAAGGTGGGAAGCGGAGGCCTTGGAAACACCCACCTGGTTTGGAAAGGGTCAAGGTTTGCATGATTGGCCTAGAAGACGAAGCGGTGGGGTCAAAGTGGTCCCTTCGAGGAAGAACCACGAATTGGGTTCCTCGATGTGGTGCTGACGTGGAGAAAGTTGATTGCATATTGCGGCACGTGAGCTGTGACAGAGCCTTCTGATGTGTCGCTAGCGTCAGCCGACAAATTGCTGAGTTCATATATAGAACGTGACTGTCCGCTCTATTAGCTTCTTGCGGATTGAGGTAGTGAAATCCATCTAAACGCAACACGCAACAGACCTAAGGAGCAACCCATGTAGCTAGAAAGCTCCTAACTAAGTGGAGCTAACTCAGCTATCGAAGTGAGGATAACTGATCTAGCCGTATATTCTGCCAATGATGCGGCCTGTGAGATTGTAGAGGAAGAAGCACGGAGCCGCTGCATCCAAGATGGACAATTCGGGGTCGAGCGTCTGGCCAAACCCCACTAAAATACACATGGCGATAAGGAGCGAGGCGTAGGAGGAATGCACTGTGACATGGTGCACCCAGCATATGCGGAGAACCTGCATAGATAAAGGGAAAAAAAACCTTTTATCAAACAAACAAAATAAAACTATCTTTGCAACACTAAAACGTGAAGCATGAATGAATCACCAACACTCAACACTTGATCTCCCACCTTTTTAAGCACATCATTAAGGTCCATGCATCGGTGGTGTAGCTGGCAGTCTCTGGCAAACAGCTCGCGCATGTCAGCCTCCAGCGCTTCCCGGTTGGTGCAGCGCTGGGGGAACGGGGCCGCGAACCGAAGCAAAAAGTGGGTCTGCAAACCGAAGCGAAAAGAGGTACAAGTGTGGGTGGGATGGCAGAAACACACAAGGAATGTGGAGAGATGGGGAAAAGGGGAGTGAAAAACGGGATCCAGAGCATGAGAGAGTGGAAATAGGAGGGGCAAGTGGCAGATGAGGAGAAGGGAAGGGACGAGGGTGGGGAAGGGAAGATTGAGAGAGACATAGCGAGCAAGAGAGAACAATGAACGACATACAGTCTGCTTGGTGTTGGAGGACATGATGAGGCAGCGGAAGTTGGAGCAGTGCGCATACGACTAACAAATGCTGATAGGAAGACAGAGCTTACCGCTTGCTTGGCGTTGGAGGACATGATGGAGGCGATGAAGCAGAGGAAGTTGGAGCGCACGTGTGCTGAGAGGTCCTCCATCAGCCCATAGTCCAGAATCACCAGCTGTAGCGCTCCCTGCTGCCCCTGCCCCTCCGGCTGTAGCATGCTTTGCTGCTGCAACGCACCCGGCTGTAGCCCACCGGGTTGTAGCACGGCCTCCCCTGTTGGTCGTGCAGGTGGGGGTGCCACTGCCGCCATGCGAGCGAGGATGTTCCCGGGGTGCAGGTCCAGGTGGATATGGTTGTCCTGTAGCAGCATCTTCAGATAGGCGTCCACCCCCACTGCTGCTATCTGCAGGGGGCGAGTGGTAGAGCAGGAGCACAGAGAGAGAAGGGAAAGGAATATGTTCCCAGGGTGCAGGTCCAGGTGGATATGGTTGTCGTGTAGCAGCATCTTCAGATAGGCGTCCACCCCCACTGCTGCTATCTGACGAGTAGGGAGAGGAGAAAAAGCAGAGGTTCAGAGGAGTGCAGATGGGCTGTGCGGCTCATGCATCTCAGCTGGCTCTATCGACAACACTCCTGAGAAACACCTGTGAGTTGAGCGAGCTGCTCTCTTTGGAGTGCAGCAACCGGTGCAGCGGCTCCCCTGTGCATCATCCACCAGTGCTGCACAACTGTATGAATCACAAGTCGTTTGACTGACACCCACGCACCTGTGTGTTGAGCGAGCTGCTCTCTTTGGAGTGCAGGAACCGGTGCAGCGGCTCTCCCAGCTCGAAGCTCTCCACAATCACTCCTTCGGACACCAGGTGTGGCAGCACTTGTGCAATAATGGATCTCTCTGCACAGCACACCCCACCCACGAACCTGTGTGTTGAGCGAGCTGTTCTCCTTGGAGTGCAGGAACCGGTGCAGCGGCTCCCCGCGCTCAAAGCTCTCCACAATGACCCCCTCCGACACCAGGTGAGGCAGCACCTGTGCGATCACCACCCTCTCCCTCACGGGATAAAAGTCGGTGTACAGGCGGCTCGCATGGTATGCTTCCACCCTGAGGTCAGCCTGACAGGCAGGGGAATGGTTGATAAGGAGGGAAAGGAAGAGAGGTCAGCAGCAGCTCTCCACAATGACCCCCTCTGACACCAGGTGCGGCAGCACCTGGGCGATCACCACCCTCTCCCTCACGGGATAGAAGTCACTGTACAGGCGGTGGGCGTGATAAGCCTCCACTCTCAGATCAACCTGGGAGGGAGGGGAATGGTTGATGGGGTCACGGAGGGAGAGGGGAAGCTTTGTACGAATCCCATTGTTACTGCTGAACAGTTTTCAACATCTCACTCACCCTCCAATCCCACGGTCACCCTCAATCTCAACCTCACCTGCTCAATCATCGTGTGGCACAACTGCTCTAGGCTATCCTGCACCCGAATCCACCTGAGCCCCGACACACATTGCCATTCAAGCCCACTCCCCCGTTCCTGGTCTTTCCTCGTGGCTCCCCATGCTCACCTGCTCTCCCATCGTGTGGCTGAACTGCTCCAGGCTATCCTGTAACCGAATCCACTTAAGCCCCGGTACCCATCCACCACCGCAGCCACCCCCGCCAACTTGCATTGCATGCCTAAAGCCCATATCTCCCCGTTCCAGCCCTTCCCTTGTGCGGCCTTAACCCGATGCTCACCTGCTCTCTCATCGTGTGGCTGAACTGCTCCAGGCTATCCTGCAGCCGAATCCACTTGAGCCCCGGGACACGATCCACCACCGCAGCCACCCCCGCCATCACCTCAAAGTCCTGCTTGATCCGCAACCCCACGCGCGGGTGCCTCACTTTCACCACCACCCACTCAGGCACGTGCGCACACGCGCCCCTCACTCTCGCCCGGTGCACCTGCGCTATGCTCCCCGACGCCAGCGCCTCCCTCTCAAACTCCACAAACAGATCCTCCAACGGGCACCCGAGGTATTTCCGCACGGCGCGGCGGGTATGCGAGAAGGAGTGTGTCGGAGCCTGGTCTTGGAGGGACCCGAGGACGAGGCAGAGGGAGGGCGGGAGGAGGTCTTCTCTGGTGGAGGCCCACTGGCCCCATTTGATGAACGCTGCTCCCCCCCGGCGCAGGGCGAAGAGTAGAAGCTGGTGGATGGCGTCGCGGCACTGCTGCTTCATGGAAGGTTCCGCTCGGGAAGCTTCCTGTGCAGCTGCTTGCTCCGACGGAGATTTGTTTGAGGAACCTTCCGTGGATTGATTCTGCCAAGCGGCCACCACCCCCTTGCTCTCCCCTGTCTCTTCTCCCGCTTCCATTTTCCCCTCGCCTGCCTGTGCGCCTGGGAGTAAGCGGTGCAGCAGCAGCAGGAGGGGGCCGAGGAGGAGGAGGGGGGAGAAGATGAGAGCGAGAAAGAGAGCCCGGAGGAAGAGGGAGAAGGTCTGCTGCCAGCGAGACAGCGGCCAATCAGAGCGCGCCATGTGCCCCTCGTGGGGCTGTCCGTGGGTCTCGTCGCTGTTAGAGGAGGGTATGTGAGTCTCTCCTTCTATAGTCACGTTCGGCAACGGTACAGGTTCTGGCAAGCCAAGGCACTGGTGGCATTGTCTAGCTAAAGGAATTCGCACTTGTTTTGCGGCATCGTTCCTACCGCTGCTGCTGTCTCTGAGACGTCTCAGGATTGAAGAGAGTGTACCAGTGCCCTTTATACTGCTGTTGCTGCTGCTACTACTATTGCCATTGCAAATGCTGCTACTGCTCCTGGTATTGCTCCCGCTACTGAAGCTGCAGCTGCTCCCCTTGCCTCCAGCTCGGGTGCTGCTAGTGGGGCTGCTGCTGAGACTACTGGTGGTGCTACTGGTGTCTGAACCGGTCCAAGTGCTGCTGTCACTGATTATCAGGTCAGTGCTGCTATCCAAACTGCTGCTTCTACTGCTGATGCTGCACTTGTTGTTGCCTTTGCTCATGCCCCACCGTTTCTCCACACTCTCCTCCTCAATCTCCTTTTCTCCCCGCCCCAATGCCTGCTCCACTTCCCCCTTCTCCGTTCCCTTCTTTTGCGGTGTACGAGAAGGGAAGGGCGAGGAGAGGGGAAAGGAGAGAGTGACTAGACTGTGAGTGGAAGGCCAGGGGTGGGGTGATGGGAGGAACTGGGAAGGGAGGGATGGTCCTGCTGCTGCTGACACCAATGACGGAGGGAGGATTGGAGTTGGCATGATGTACGGGGCAGTGCTGTTTGTCCTGTAGTGCAGCAGAGTGGCGGCCTCTGTCAGGTCCAAGACGCCACCAGCCTGTGGGATGCTGCCACGTGGCAGAAGGAAAGATGGAGGATGCGAGTGAGGTGAGAGAAGAAGCATGAGAGGTGGAGGAGAGATGGAGGATGGATGGAGGATGTGATGAGATGAGAGAAGAGATGAATGCCATACGACAAGCTCCCGCTCGAGACCTTGTTAGACGCGGTAAGTCACATGAAGCATGGTACACCGAACCACCCACTCATCTTTCCCACAAGTGGTGGATGAACCATCGATGGAGCTCTTTGCTACTCACTCGTGGAGGGTGGTGGATGAACCGCCATCAGCTTAGCCACTCGCCTTGCTGCTCTCCTATGCACCTGCCACCTTCCACCATGGCACACACCTCCCTCTCCCTCCTGCATACCCCCCAAGCCTTGATCCCCATAAAGTCCACTCAAGCCATCCCATCATCAACCAAACTCTCACATCAGCCTGTCACAACCCACTTACTCGTGGTATGTCTTGATCAGCTTCGCCACTCGGCTTGCTGCTCTTCTATGCGCCCTCCTCCACGCCGCCTCGCCCTCCCTTCCACACGCCCCTGCGGGACCCTTCCCGATTTGCACCCGCACTCGTTCATACTCCACAGCTATTGGCAGGGACGCACCCAGACAGACCAGCGTATGCTGTAGGGGAAAGAAACGGAATGGGTGGGAGGGAGGGAGAAGAGGGAGTGCATGGGGAGCAAGGGAGGCATTCTGAGCTGCAGTTTCCCACCTGTACCTGCACACGCACCCGCACTCGCTCATACTCCACGGCTATTGGGAGAGAGATGCCCCTGGGCAGACCAGCGCTGTAAGGGAAAGATGGAAGAGGGAGAGATATGGACGTCTCAAAACCGAGACCAGCACATCCCTCGGTTTTGAGACGTCCATACCACAACCACACAATCTACTCACGTGTAACCTTGGCAACATTCTCTTTATGATTGTCCCAACCCAGCCATTGCTTATCGAAGCGTCCCATAACACGTCCAACTCACACGTAATCTTGGCGCCATCCTCTTTAATATGGTCCCGCCCACTGCCACCGCCAGTGCAGCCCTCCCAAACACGCCTCCGCCTCCTGTGCCTCCCCCCATCTCCCCCAAACCTTCCCCCTCCGCCTGCCCTGGCGCATGCAGGCGCAGGTTCCTTCCCCAACCATGGTCCACGTCAGCATCAGCCAGGTCACGCATGATGCCAGATGGCGCACTCGCAGCATCATCACAATCATCACTGTTATAATTATAATCATTATCATTAGAAAGATCATCATTGCTGTCATCAACATACGCATTCTCCTCCCCATTGATGTCTGATTCGACTCCATTCCAGAAGTCATCCCCCCCATCCTCCTCCCCGTTCCCCCCATTCCCACCATCATCCCCATTAAACTCCCCCATCCCCACCCCTCGCCCTCCCCCGCTCAGGCTGCTTTCCCCCCTCCCCCCGCCTGTGCTGCTGGGCAGGCGCGGCCTAAAGCGGGGGTGGAGTGAGAGGAGGCGCGACAGGGGGGCGAGGGCGCGGGAGAGGGGGGCGAGGATGCGGGAGAGGGGGGCGAGGAGGGGCGAGGAGGAGAGGATATGGAGGAGGGCGAGAGCGGGTGTTGCGATAGAAAAGGAAGCGGGGAAGAGGGCCTGCTTGGGAAGGGGGTGGGGGGAGGGGACAGAGGGGGCAGGGGAGGGGGGACGGGACAGGAGGAATGTGGGCGAAAAAATGAAAGAACGGGAAGGAGGAGGGGAAGGCAGGGAGGGGATGAGGGTCGTAAGATAGTGAGAGTCGGAGACCATTCAACTCAGACAAAATCATGAAATTGAGCACGTGGCAGATGGACAGTCCGCCTGTGTTAGGAGAGTTGCACACGTGGCACGCTAGAGGATAGTCAACACTCAGTGCAGCACGCTTTACATACCTGGCAGACGAGAAGCAGCGCCGCAGCGTTTCCTGTCTGCAGCAGCTTCGCAACGGCTGACGGTGACACTGGTGCTGATGTTGAAGATGCTACTAACGAGGATGATTCTGTTGCTGGTAACGAGTATGGCGATGACGGGGATTGCAATGGCACTCTTGAGGATCTTCTTTGTCTATGGTGCGCACGATCGTGCAAGGATGACCGTCCGATTCCAGTAGCACATCCCACCGCCACTTGCACCACGTGCAGAGTCACATGCTGCCAAGAGATGCCGCCCAGTCCACCTGGACCCATCCCCAGCCGAAACGGCAGCCACACGTGCGCCTTCCCATCCCCCCTTGTCGCGGGGGAAGCGCACGGCGTGGGGTAGAGACGGGCGCGGGGTGGGGGAATGCGCGCGGCTCTTGACGTAACCCGGCTGTGGGTGGCGGAAAGCGGGGGACCTGCGACTGGGCGCAGGCGTGCGGACCAGTCGGGGGAAAGAGATGCCTGTATGGCGGGGGGTTGGGAGGGGGAAAAAGAGGAAGGGACACAGTCGCAACATGTCGCATATTAAGCCCCGTCGCAGAGTGAACCAGTCGCACGTCGTCGCAATTTACGACGTGCGACCAGTCCCACAACCACCAGAGTGCGAACCACCGAGAGACTTGCCCTGAAACACACCTTGGAGTCTCTTTCCTGAGAGAACGACATGGCGCCTGCTAATAACGCGTACGTCCGTCGTCGAATTCGCCGAGCCCTCGGAAAGCTTGAGCTGGTCAGGAAGTAACGACTCAGACCATAAGTCCGCTTCGCCTCGCGCCGCTTCTCGTTTACCCGCACTAAGGCGTAGTGGAGGCGAATAAAAACAGTGATCAGACGCCTATAGAAAAATTAGCGGAATCGACGGACTGCGAGCGATCCAGTTATCACCTCCACTCGCCAGTCGTAACATTCCGTACGTCCACATTACCAAGGCGTTTCACTAATCCAACGGCCATCGCTACTTTCTGTGGCGCTGCAAGGCCCAACCTCGCACACTACCCTCTCACAAACAGTACTTGCAGACCACTCTCCTAACTGCACGAGTAGCAGCGTAATATACAGGAGTCGCATATGCAGTACCAGCTGCCTCTCAAGACATTACACGTTCACACTCATCAATCTTGTGCCAAACGATGATGATCCACTCCAGCCAACTTTGCGGCGGAGATACCAGCAAGGCAGTGTTACAAGAACCAACGGTCAGATTTTCAGGAAAACCCAAAATGCCCTGACCTGAAGTGTGTGGTGTCGGTTCTCCGCCCAGCCTTGGGGAATTCTAGGCGCTAGTCGGAGTTCCCGAGGTCCGTGAATTCCAACCACTCACTTGTCCGAAGGCCAGAGATACTCCACTTGTCACGCCCTCGAAACATGAACAAAGCCAGAAGTGAAAGCACTACATAGTCGAAGAGGTAGTTTAAACACAAGTACATATGTAATGTGTTTGAGAAAAGGATGCTATACCTGTACACTGCTATACCTGTACACAACTGTACACCTCTGGCTTGTCACACCCCACCCGCATATAGCGTCATGCAGGCTAATGCTTCAAACAATTGAAATTCAGAAACTTGGCCCATTCTCCAAGTACATGGAGTGTAGGCAAGTGAAAAAAAACCCCTGAAACAAACCACTTTTATTACAAACCACTTCTATTACAAATAGACGACTTCCTTCCCAAACTAAGTGTACATGCACGAAGATTTCCTAGCCATGACACATTGGCCTACTGCATCCCATCTCTTCATGCCCTGCTGCTTGTACTGGTTATACACCTCGGGCTTGACACACTCCGTCCACACGTTGCATCCTGCAGGCTTGTGCTGCAAGCAGTTGGCAAATGAGTAACTTGGCCCGTTTCCCAAGTTCAGGTCGTAGAGGCGGGTTGTGAAGCCATGTGCATTGTTGTCAGCACACATACCCTGTGTGAGGTACAGAGTAAGAAACAGCAGGGGTAAGAGATGGAGTGGTAAATTGTAACAGTGAGTGATTGAACATACTTGATTGCTGTGCGAGCAATCATGGGATTTGCGGAGTTAGTTGATGCAGCAAGGCAAAATGGATGATGAGTTTAAGCAGGAAATAAATGAAAGGGAGGAGTAAACACCATTATCCACCATAAGTTTCCAGGTACTCTGAAGAAGATATGTCCAGCCTGTGATGAACATGATCCACTCCGCGCTCCAGGTGAAGGTTCCTAGAGCTACACATATTTTGCAAAACAACACCAGCTCATTGCGAACAACAAACTCATTGGTGTAGCCAAAGCCTCGCATTCCTCCCTGCTACTACTACAACTTTGTTGAGACGACTCAAAACCCGATTCTCGAGGATCTAAACTCACCTGTGTTGGTCGTAGATTCTAACAAGGTCCAGCAAATCGCACACCCAAGACTTGTTTGAAGAATTAACTCGTTAATTAGCATACATGCAGCCGCCTTTACCATCCTTTACCACTCTCCACCACGCCAATCCGTGTACTGTAACACCCTTCCACTTCTTTCAGAGAAACTCCAACTCACCTGGGGGAATCGAATGCCATTCTTCACTCCCACTGAATTGCCCCAGCTCTCCACATACTCAGCCACAAACACCGCCTTGTTGCGAAGAATGAACTCGTTGGCATAGTCGCACCCATACTTGCCGCTGTACCACTCTCCACCGCTCCAATCCGTGTACTGGTTGCACTCTTCAAAAAGTGCCCAGTCAAACAGGTCGGCCATGTGGGAGGGAGCTAGGGGGCCGGGGTTCTTGAGACCCACTGACATGCCGTACCTGATAAGGGGAGCGGGTGGTGGGAGGAGAAAATATTGTTAAGTTGGAGCGCTGGAGTTTTTTAGACCCACAGACATTACGTACCTGGTAAGGGGGGAAATGGAGAAAACTTGTTAAGAAAGCGTGGAGGTGGGGAGGGGGGAAGGGTTTGAACAGGAAGGCCCGGCGAAAAGGGAGGAAAATGGAGGAAACATGTGAGCTTTTCAAGATCCGAGGAAGCGAAAGGGCGAGATTCTTGAGGAAAGCTTACATGCGGTTCCTGAAGAAAAAAAAAGGTGGCATCAAGTGGATACAAGCAGTTGGCATTCGTGGGACAAGATCACGCACCACACTGGCTCATATGTTTGGTGGACTGATAGCAGTTGGTCTGGAACGTAGGTCAATGTGTAGATTCTGGGATTGGTCTGGACAGTAAAGTCATCCTTACTAGCCACTGCAATCTTTTCTGTAAAATGCTTACCTTCTACCTGCTTCATCTCCATTTCCAGCCAATCCCGTACCAGCGATGCTTACCTTCTACCTACTTCGTCTCCATTTCTAGCCAACCCCGTACCAAAATTCCCACAGGTCCTATGGCCAGCAGCGTAACTGAAGCAGGGGACATGCAGACTCACTTGTGCACTGTATTTGCAATCCACGAGTTGAAGTTGAACTGGTCCTTTTTTGTGATGGTGAAATGGCTGATGGGTTTAATCATGATGTTTCCAGTGTATGCATTCACACAGTCCGGCTCGATGCCATCGCACCCCTTGCGCTTCGCCAGCTGTTGAAGGGATGGGACAAGCGACCACAGGAGTTGAAAGGGGCAAGTCAGGATTGAGACCACGAGAGGCTGACGCAACAAAAACAAAAAGAGAAACTGAACTAAGGAGAGAGTTTAACACAATCAGAGAGGCAGAACACGTACGATCTCTCACATTGTCTCACCTCGAGCTATGCATGTGTGATGCACAATCCGCACGAAAAAATGGGGGGGGAGGGGAGGGGTTCAAACCGAACTCAGGGAGAGGGTTTAAAACACTCAGTGAGAAACAACACGTACGGACTCTCACTCTCTTACCTCGCGCTATGCGTGTGTTGATGCACAATCCGCACGAATAACTGTTACCCTCCTTACCTGAATCCGCTTTTCCAGTATTTGACGCACAGCAGTACTCTTCACATCCAGCCATCGCTCGCCCTGCCATACTTGCGAGCAGTCCTCGTTCTGCCAAAAAAAAAGAAAAAAAAGGTGTTTGAAGGGCTGGTGCTAGAAACCGAAGCATGTTATGTCAGCCCGTGAATGAATGGTCAGGTTATGACAGGAATTCTCACGGTTTTTTTTAGCATGTGTAAGCTACTTGCATTTCATCTCACCATGCACGCAATTCCACCGAGAGTGGATCTCGGAAATTGCTTGTAGTCGCTGCGATAATCCTCGGCAGTCCCGAAGCTGAAGTAGCAGATCACCTTCTTTCCCATCGTTTTCAACCTCGATATAGTGCTCGCCGACACGCTGAACCCGTCAACATCGTATATTTTCTCCTTATGCGACGACGTGTCGAGGTTCGAATCGGAGAGTTGCCAGTAGAAGGATGTTCCCGGCGTGGGAATGTACCATCCGTTGCTCGTGACGTTAACAGCGAGGCAAACGGCGATGAATGTCAGAGAGACAACAACGCGAAATATTTTTGCAATTAAAGACATGGCGGTAGAGTTCCGGGTGTTTGAATGGTGCCCAGGTGGTGCGTCGCGCGAATTGAGTCGTGCAGGTAATGTGTAAGGAGGCGGAAAGAGTTAGTAGTTTGTCTTTGCCACGGCCAATGCATGGTTTATAAGCGTTCAAATCATCCGTCGCTTCGGCGCTTCGGCATGTGTGCCAGCCGAACCGCAGCGGGAAACAGCGATACTGTGAGAGCCACTCGTTGCGCTAAAGGAACCTTCATGGCTAGCATAAACCAACAATCCTTTTCTCCAATCCTCAGGCCACGTGGCGAGGCGCGTTGTTCGTCTGATAGTGACGCTCCAGTGAACATGTTCGGTCTTCGCGTTGAAAGAGATATCCTGAATGGGAAGAAAATTATTGATGGTGCGTGGTTAGTGGAGGAAGCTACAAGGCGCAGGCAGGAACGACGTTGCTACTGATCTTGCTGCCTGGCTGCGACGTCGCTCCTGCTGCACGTTGCTCTCGCTTTCGGGTTGCAGCTGTGATATGGGGGGGTTGAAATGCGGAGACTCCAAGGGCAAATAACCGTTACGGTCTGACAATAGAGATTAATAATTGGTTGGAATACACTATTTCGCCTATAATAATCGGTCAACAAACACTCCTATAGCGGATCTATGTGATTCCCCACTCGATCTCGTTCAGGTTGTTTTCATCGATGAGAAATTTGAGAGTTTTGCTCGGCTTGGTGAGTCCGCGCTTCCATTTATTACCAACACGTGTCATGATTGTGACCAGGCCCCACGTTATCAGGGCAAAGAATCCTGATTACCCTGAATTCAGGATGCAGTTTTAAATTTACCCTGTCATTTCAGAATAGTGTAAATTTTAACCCTGAGGTCTCAGGATGTTTTTATATGAAATGCCCTGAACATTCAGAATGGCTGTAGTGTTCTTCCTTGTAGCGTCAGGATGAATGCCGAGGCCTGCCCTGACGCGTTGTCTCCGAAGACGAGTTGGAGTTTAGGACTCATTCAACCATAACCATCCAGAAGTGGCCTAGTCAGTAGAAAGGTACTTTCGATAGATGAGGTTCTGGGATCAAACTCACCCCCGTGCAGGCGTATATAGATATAACTTTAACTCTTTCAACCAACCAATCTGAACCCTGAACACTTGTTTTCTTGCCCTGACAGGTCAGGATTGATTTCTGAAAAAGCCCTGAACATACAGGAAGGCTTCGAAAATTTGCCCTGACAAATCAGGGCATTTTTTACGATTCTGGAAAGGTGCCCTGAGGCCTCAGGGTGCCCCAAATCCTAGCACGGGCCCTGATTGTGACAGCGCGCTGCGCGTTTTGATTTATTGGTACTACAAGGTCCAAGTGTTTAGATACTTTTAGAAGTTTAGGGTTGGTGACGAAAATTTGTTGCTGGAGCGAGCAAGACAAACCTTAGCAATTTATGCATGTGCTGGTTGTCGCGTCTGCAACAGTGCCGGTTGTAACCCTGACCGTTATAGCGACAGAATCGCATCACATGTATGTGCTGGATCTGCTTAACTTCGCCCTCCATTCGAGGCTCTCGACACAGGAGGATCATGACCTTGTTGTCAGCGAACAATGTCGCTGCAGAGCGAGGCCGCCCACCAAGGTCGGTGGGCAAGAAAGTCAACCAGCGAAGCTCCTGCGCAGCCATGGCGCCAGCATATATCTCAGCCTCAGGGATAGATTGCGCCACAGACGACGACCGAGTAGACTTCCATGACACAGCACCAGAGCCAAGCTGAAGCAGTATCCCTAAGCAGACCTACAGGTCTCCATGTCGTCGGCATAGTTAGAGTCGCAGTGAACGGTCAGAACAACTGGCTGTATTCCTCCATGCATAAGCCACATGACTGATGTAGTCGCCATGCACTTCGCTATCCCCACAGTGGCTGCCCAGTGAACAGGACGGTGTCTCCCAGTCGTAACAAAGCGAGCCACGACGCTGAGAGGAAAAGCGAGGTCCGGACGAATACAACTCATCACGTACATAAGGCAGCCCACAAGCTCTGTGTAGGGACTACGAGACTCAAAGGGCTCGTCAGGAAGGGGATCGGTGAGTCCGTGGTCAACGGCAAGAGAAGTGTGGTAGAGAACTGAAGCCCGAACCGCTGAAGGGCTTGCTGCACCATGTGTGACTGAGTAAGTGTGATGGTGCGAGCTGCTCTGTCCCTGGTCATCTGAAAGCCAAGGTAGCGGCGAAATTACCAAGGTCAGTGCAAGTGTGTCTCTTCTGCAATTCGGACTTCACGAAAGCCAGAGTCTGTTGTAGCAAAGACCAAGGCGTCGGCGAAGATGAGGAGGAAGAAAGGTGTGGGCTCAGAACGAACGAACAGCGACGGGTCCGCGGTAGAAGGTATGAAACCAATGTCAGGAAGTGTGGAGCGAAGAGTGTCGTACCACTCAAGGGGCGCTTGGCGGAGACCGTAGACTGGTCGTCTCTGGCTCCACTGGGTCTCAGGTGGGAATGTGACAGTGAAGTCAGGAGGACAGCGCAGCCACATCTCCTTGTGTAGGCGGCCCTGGAGAAAGGCAGTGGAAAAGTCCAGTGTGTGCAGCTCGTCGTCTTATTGTGCTACAACGTGAACCAACTCCCAAAGAGTGGTCATATTCGGGGTCGGAGGGAAGGTATGGAAGAAGTCTACTCCCTCACGCTAACTGAAACCTCTAGCCACGTAGCGCGCCTTGAAGACATGCGGCGATCCGGTCGGCCGCTTAACCTTGAAGATCCACATGCCATCGACTACGTTCGCCCTGGGAGGGGGAACTGCGTTGACGTAAGTGCATGTGGATCTCCAAGACGCCATCTCAAAGTCCATGGCTGCTATCCACTAAGAGCCCCACTGCCTTGACACTGCCTCACGGTACGTGCTAGGAGTCGGTATGTCAAGGGCGTCGGGGTCTCCCTTAAGGGCTAGCAGCATGGCACAGAGATGGGGAGAAGCGGCTGCCAGGAACTCCAGCTCAAACTGCATGTCCTCTAGGACATCACAGCCAAGGGCAGACTCACCCCCGGCGGACAAAGGACGAGCAATCACCACGCAGGTGGCGTAGTCAAGGCGGCAGGTGGCGGCAAAGTGAGAGACAGCGGCAACAAGAGCCGAGACAGACGACGGAGGGGCAGTAGAGTCCGCGACAAGAGAGGCGAGAACACGTGAGACAACAGGACGCGTAGCGCGGTAGTAATAAGTGATAGGTGAGAGGAGGCTGTAAGAGACGATGCAGGAGGTGGCGGGAGAACAGACTAAGGCGGAGGACGAGGAGGACTAGAACGAAACAAGATACAACGGAATTCGCTAACCGGA